AAAGAATCCGATACGTTGGGTCGTGGTTCAAAAAATTTTCAAATAAGTTTAACTAATATATATCGCGTTTTAAAGCGTTAAAGTGTTTTTTTTCAGAGTGAAATACTAATAGATAAATAATTAGTAATGACTACTACCGACTTAATATGCAAATTTGGAGACGTTAAAAACATGTTAGATCCTTTACAATTGAATTGCTATAATAAGACAAACGCCATAAAATATTCAATTGTTCATATTCGAAGTTCACAAATGATCATGACTGAATGCTTTAAGTCAACAAATTCAACGCTAGAAGAAAACATCCTCACCTTATTTTACTCAATCCTACCTTGAAATCAGTGTATCTGTGACGTTAGTTCTCTATGTATCTGTGGAATGTAAAATTGTTTGTCATCTGTGGCAATTTCTTCTATAATCTATGTGTGATATTAGATTTGGCGCTAAATATGTTGTACTGGTTTCTAGATTTTGTGCGTAATTAATATTTGTTAACACAAGCATTAAATAAATAAATTATGACAATTTTCTACTGGTTCTCAACAGGATCTTCTGAAATATGACTAAATTTAAGGTATTACCTAAACCGGTTACGTTTTTTAAATCTATACGTCGTCCCAATTTTTATTTCCAATACAAGTCATTTTTCGACACTTTTTCGGTACGTTAACCTAATTGCTTCTGTAAACTTTTATATTTTTCACATGGCACAATATAAATTTTAAAACGATTTTGGATTTTTAAAAACGACCTTATTGCCTGCTGTTGCTCTAACTAAATGAGCTACTCTGTTCTACACGTTATCGTCGAAATTTTTAACCTATGCACCTCTCGCGCAATGTAGTTTCTAGTTCTAGTTGTCAGAGTTCAATGTCTAATGTTTTACAGCTTAAGAAAAACTAAATATGAAATTACAAAGTTTAACGTTTGAAAACTTTAATATTTTGCACATGATGACACTATATAGCATCGACTTTTAATTAATCTGTAAACTTTGTTATCAAGCCTAAGCCACGCGGCTGGAATGCTTTTGCCCCGCTGAAAATACGATAAGCCAAATACATAGGTTCATCCGGTCACTGTCAGCAAGCTGTGTTCCCCGAGGACAAACCTAAATCAGCTGCCATCGTGCTGATTCGATATTCATGAATCCTATTGTACAAACTACAATAGTGTCAATTTACCAAACAAGAGATTTCATGTCTATATTGTGAGTTGTACAAATGTAATATTTGTATTGCTTGACACTCAGTAAATTGGTCATCTTGAAATTAAGCGCATAAAATATAATAGAAATTAAGAAGTTTACATATTTCATGTAATACTGTCCTGCTACACATAAATTTACCTGTATATATAACAACAAACACTTATAGAAAAAGAAAATCTAATTACGTGACGTTACGTCGCATATAAAAAATAACGTAATTTATTAAGTCCCAGTAAATTTGACTTGATCCACTAGCATTAACAATTTTCAAAACAGTAAACGTTGATGTCGGTTTGTTGCTAGCTAGCTAACTAAACTAGCTCTATAATGACTTACTAACGTTTGAATATTCAAACAGATAATTATGTAGAGAATGATTGTGACATTTGGTATTACATATCCCACAAATTGTCGGAGCATAAACAATAATTTCATTCATTAATTAGTATTTAGCTAGTGTAGTATAGTTTGTTTAACACGTATAGGGAATATCGAAAACGCAGTGACTCTTGTGACTTCAGTATAGTCGATATAGTGACATTGACGTTTACCAACTGTCATTGAGAGATGACAGACGGTTAATGACAATTTGTTATTTTGAAATAACGTCGGCTTAGGGATTTGTGTTGGTGCGACAAAGTCTTGTGCCCGGCGAGTAGTCTAGTTCTAACGTGAAGCGGTTGAGTCTTGTCATAAGTCAATCGTAGTCACGAACGGTCGGTTGTGTTGCAAAAAAAGTTAAACGGTTTTGATCGATTCAATCGTTATATATGTTGTGTTGATTCGCTTTGAGCTATGAAAATACTTTACCGAACGTTATTTCGAATATTCTTTATAATATAATCGTCAGACATAACAATTTAAAAATATATTCTACGTTATACAGTAAACATTATTATTGTTTTTTTTTACACGAATTACATAAAGCATTAGTGACATCTTCTGGCATACATATATTTTCCTCAACATTATTCTTTAAATGTAAATTTCCTAAAAATCATCGCTACTAAGCTAAAAGCCATCGGGCTCAATAACTCAAGTTGCATTTTATGTGCTTATTTAAAAATACACGTAAACGCAAAACCTTTTTAAACCTGTTTAATTGGCCTCGAACTACAACAACAGAATAGTGTTTTAACTATAACATATAATTTAAAATATAGTCTATGTAAATTTGGGTGTGGTTTAATATCCCGAAACTATGTTCAGCTCTGTAAAAGTTGAAGATGCCTCGTAAAGCAAGCGGTAGCAATATAGCTTACCGTTCAGTTTGGGAGCCGACGATATTGATTTCCCCCGTCTGATGTACTCCGCTCTCCATCTGTTGCTCGCCGAAGTTACGAGCATATAACCCTGTCTTTATTTTTGTATGTCACACTTTATCGCTGTAATACACATTCCGATCACATCGAATTGTGTTGTTTTCGTTTTATTATGACGATTATTTGTCTTCTGATTGAGTCTCTGCAGATCAATTCAATACTTACGAGTACAGTGAACTTATAACTACTAAATTAAATTAAATCAATAATAGATGGATAGTATAATAGATAAGAATGGCAATCGGTAACAGTCTCAGCTATACTGCTGAATGCCTCTCACACTTAGCAGTGCTAGTTTTTTGACTGACCTGGCTATACAATATTACAAGAAGAGTGAGATTTATATTGCTTAACTCTTCTTCTAGCAATGCTATAGAGAGGTGGTCCTTGGTTCAAATACCTGGGTAACTCTTTCGTGGGACATGAGTTTTAGCTTATTCATGTCCCACAGCTGGGCTTAGGTCTCTTATCGCATAAGAGATAGTTTTAAGCTGCTCAAATGTTTTTTGTTGTCGTTGTGTGGTTGGTGGACTTAACGACCATCGCCATCAAATTAAAGTCTCTCTAAGGCACAAAGTCAAATCTACAACAGTAGTTTGCACATAGCTTTATATAAATTAAAACAAATTTTTAGATTTTAAAAATAATAATAATAACCAGCGGGATTCGTATCCACGACTCTAACTTATTGCTTTGCTATTACTGTACCCATGGTGTATCACACGTCATTTTCAAATTTCTTCAATCCATTGTACTATTAATGTAAACCTGTTTTTTTTTATTGAACGAGCGGCTCTTAAAAACTTTAAACACGAACGATTTTTCCAATTAAAAATGTTTCCCTATTTGATAATAATAACATCTCGCCTTAATGGATGAGGAGAAAACAACAATCTGTCATATTTTGAGAATAGAAGAAAAATGTACAATTTGATTACTTTCATTGCATTGTGTGTTTCGTTGTTATACGAAAACACTTCAACTTACGCATTCTATCATTGAGGCCGGTAGAGGCAGAGTAGCCTAACTGTAATTTTATGTCTTGACTTATTTATATTTTTATGGTCCTGAAAATGTTAATCTACAAGAGCACAGTGACCGAAAATGGTTAACATAATTATTACACAAATAATAGTACAGATTAATTTTCGCCTAAGTAATAAAAATTAATAGTAGTAAGTTAATTGCGCATTTTATCTTCATCATTATTGAGAAACATGTTTTTTGTCATTAGGCCACTCTGCCTCTAGCAACCATAATTTACTTGTAAATAGGCCCATGTTTAGTGTGATAAAATGTAAACAACATCAGAAGGACATATAGTGATTTACATAGCCTATGTGGTTTGCAAATGGCCGTCAAGCTATATATGTATATAAATTGCGGTATTTATATAGGTTTGCTAAAAGCCGTGTGGTCGATTAATTTATACTCTGTATGAAGCTCGTATGTCGTACGTAGATCGCTACGAAAGGCGAACTTTAAATGAAAAATTCGCTTCGCTGTCGATTTGTAAAGTGCAAAGTGCAAGTTGTACTCTCGTAAGTAGGGTTCTGTACTACTGCCTGGGAAACAAGTAGGTACACAAATGTCACATTGTAACTCTCTTTAGTTATCTCAAGTCTGCTTAAACTCCCTTAAATGAATGATTTCATTTTAATTTATTGTTTATCTACACTAAGATTATAAGCTGAAGAGTATTTTTCTTTGTTTGAACGCGTTTGTTAGCCGCTTATAGAGGAAAACTTTAGGCTATAAATAAAAGCCTGCGACCAATAGGAGTGAAAAAACAGTTAGAAAGGTGAAAAAACACGGGGACAATTATTTTATCTTTGAATCGGTAGGAACGCACCTATGCATGTTCTGCAAAAATGGTTCACGAATAAAATTTCTTTGAATAATGAAAAATAATATTTTTTTTAAGAATCAAGCATAATAACTGTTTGTATTAATCACATTTAGTCAAAGTACTTCATATAGAAAAAGTATATTTGCGAGGTTAGCTAGTTACTACAACAAAAATAAATTTAAATAAAACATTTTAACGGTTTAAAACGCGATATATTAGTTAAACTTATTTGAAAATTTATTTTTAACTTCGGCCCTACGTTTTTATATCGCGTTTTAAACCGTTAAAGTGTTTTTTTTATGTATTATTATTTTATGCGTATTTAACAAAAAAAAATAGTTTTTAGTATAATTTGTTTTTTTGCGAGTTCAACTTCATCAACTGTTTCGCTGACGCGGCTATAAGATACAGTGATGACTGTGTAGGTCTTATCAATTCTCGTTTTTATCCTGTTTGTTAGATACGGAACCCTAAAACCTGAGCAGTAGAACTCATGCTAGATCTAATGAAAGTTATGGTCTCAAAACTTTACTATTATTTTTCTACTGACAGTTTCTGCGATGAGCGATTTCAACTGAAAATAGCCCTTATTAAAACAATGACATGCTTTCATTTTCAGATGGTGGCGGCAGACGAGACAGCCAACGGAGTTCCAGGTCAAATAGACACGCCTGGAACTTTCGGGAAACTCCGACAAACACTCTCGTCATCACTCCTCACCGCACAAGATAAAGGTATTTTAGTAATGAAAAACATATCTAATATGAAATACATATTTCTATTGTTGGTCTTTATTTAGTATAATATTTATATTATACTAAAGGAAGAGAAAACTATACGTTGTTATGTGTTTGTTAGTTTAACAACAGCGCTAGGGATTCTGACATAAAAATAAATAAATCAATAAAAATGGAAACATACTCGCATGTACATTTACAAAGTTACTACAAACAATTTTATATAATTTGAGAACAACGTCTGTGCTAATAACGTATTTTATAAAGAGTTTATAATTGCCAAAGTTACACGATGCCGAAAGTTGCGGCACAGAAAGTTTGTTTGGTACCTCATGATTTTAACGAGTTCGAAATATACATAAATGTTATACTTACTTTAAGAGAAGTTGCTTAGTGTTAAGGACATGTTTATTCTTAAAAAATGGAGTTGTTCTCTTTTATTACGTGATAATTATCTAAACTAATTATTAATGTTTGCGTTATCACATACGTTTAAAGTGGTTCTTAAGTGCCACAAATCGACGTGAAAATATACGAAGTGGCAATTTTTTTAGGCGTGTAATTTTTTAATCGCGTGCGTTTTAGATTACGTGATCCATAGTAAACATATATTTATATTAAGTCGTTAAATTATTACAAAAGTACTTTTTATTACACTCTATATATAAATTAAGCTAAATAAAAGTCGTAAACGCTCACGCAGGCTTCCGTACCTATGACTAAGTAATAATATGAAATAAATAAGTAAACAATAGTACCTATAAAAAGTAATTAGGTAAAATTATTTACGAATACCGACCATTAAATCAAACGCCAAATGCGTTTTTTAATTTTCGGACGGTTACAAACCACGAGAAACATAATTTTAATGTTAATTAGACAAGACAGACTATTTTAATATTTATCTATACTTATAATTACGTAACAGACACAAAAATATGTCAGCTCCATTTTCTAGGAACATCTTTTATTTAAGATTCAATAACTGTAATCCCTATTGTTTGAATAACAACATCCTTTAATTCGTTAACATAATCTCACTACCTATTTTATGATCCCAAATTTACACCGGTTTCTGTCGCAATTGTAAAGCTTGTCTTACATAAACTTGAGCTCTATGCTCTGAATAGGTTTCTACTAGGCTCTATATGCATGTACCCATATAGATATTCAGGATGTTAGCCCGTCTTTAAGTAATAGATTCAGTTTATGCAAATAATAATTACAGCGTTGAATATATGGCATCTTACATAATATATTCTGAATGTCCTAAGCCCAAATACTTACCATCTGCACCTTTGTTAATCATAGGTTATATTATATATACACTTAATTCCTAGGGTGTCAAATAGAAATTCTTAAGCTTCTATACACTTAAATACTGTCGTATGTACGAGTCTCCCCGTGACCACGGCTGCTGCAAAGCATCCGAAACGTCGGGCCGAAGTTAAAAATCATTTTCAAATAAGTTTAACTAATATATCGCGTTTTAAACCGTTAAAGTGTTTTATTTAAATGTGTACTACTCGCGTAAACTATAGACAGTATTTAACCTTATTAAGTGTTCTAGTGTTACCAGTGGCAAATATGGAACAGCTAATACTTTATTCAAAAGTAAACAGTAAATGTACCGCGCCTAACGTATTTTATCGCACTTCGAAAAGTCGATATCACGCTTATGCTCCACTGTGCGGAAACCATCAGAATTATCCGTCGTGCCTAAACAATAACCATTTATCACCTCGACTAGTTTCATTTAAGAATACCTGTCCAGACGAACTTTAGTGTTATTGAATAAACAATTATATTGTCCCAGGAAAGTAATAAGCGAATGCTTGCACTAATCAACTCGAACATAAATTCACAACGTATCATTTATCATAGATGTAATTCTATTAGATCTATAAGTAAATATACCATTCTGTATAAATATTAAGCGGCGTTACTTTTAGTTCGTGTTTTGTTTCAATTTTATTCTATCCTATTAGTTTTCTATAGGTTACGCAAAAATTCGGGAATATGAGACAAAAGTTTTTGTGACTTTTGTCTCATATTTCACGCTTCGCTTAATGCACCAATTTCCAACACCACGTTCTGTTTCATTAGAAATTGTAGAATTTTTTACCATTAAAGTTCTTGTGAGGTTAAACAAGAAGTTCAAATATTCTAATTATAATATTAAGAAAATCAAATTCTAATATCTATTGAACTTTAATATTTAATGAACTCGCGGGCACATATTTGTGTCCGCATCACTGATCAGCTCTTTTACAGGCAAGTAGTTGATCAGACTTCTGTGCCCTGCCTAACCGAAATAAAGTTTCCTCGGGTTTCGAAGTCAACACGTTTAACCGTTTAGCTACAGAGGCATCGCGCAATAAATAAAATAGGATACTCAAAATTATTCGCTGTAACTTTAATAAAATAGAAATATCGCGCCAACTCGAAATACGGTATGGAAAATTCCTGTGAATAAAGTGTTGGGGCATTATTAAATTCTATACGATGGCTTAGCGGTAGCCAAAAAATTTAACTCTGTCGGTATTATGAGAGCTAGGCAAAAACGTGGAGTATTTGATAACAGCTCAACGAAGAATTTATGAAAATTTCTCAATATTCCAGTGGAACATCGTAGAAAGCCAACGCTGGGGGCGGTGCGCCCCTATTGTCACTATTCTAGAAATGGAATTTCAACTTGTCTTGTTGTATTTACCATATTCAAATTTAAATTACGAATTTTTATAACCAGTTCTTTATGCATGTTTTCAATTGAAATGAATCAGATTTATTATTTTGATATAATTTTTAGTATTAATCGGAATCATATAAAGTTAATATCAATATTGGTATTTAATATCGTATTTCGATTGGCACCAAGTTTAACTTTGAGAGAGACATCTCAATGAGAGAGACATTTTTTACACTGTGACAAAGGGCGTGTCGTCATATAAATTCTCAGTATTACAGATTTTATCTACCTTTATTTATATATTTTAATTTAATGAATCTCTCTTGTGTACGTTGACTTGTGAAAATTATAAACTTATACTAATATTATAAAGCTGAAGAGTTTGTTTAAAAGCGGTAATCTCAGGAACTACTGCTACGAATTGAAAAATTATTTTTGTGTTAGAAAGATTATTTATCGACCAAGGCTATAAGCTATATAACACCACGCTGTGAACAAATGTGAGCAAAGTAACTTCGGCCCGACGTTTCGGATGCTTTGCAGCAGCAGTCTCCCCGTGACCACGGCTGCTGCAAAGCATCCGAAACGTCGGGCCGAAGTTAAAAATCATTTTCAAATAAGTTTAACTAATATATCGCGTTTTAAACCGTTAAAGTGTTTTATTTAAAAGAAGGGGAATAATTATTCATCTTTAAGGGCTTCCGTAGTGTGCTCCGCGAACGGTTCGAGGAAACAAAATATATGTAGAAAGAAAGATTCCCCTATAAATTATTAAAAAAAAAACTCAGCGTCAATCCGCAATCCGCGTCAGTCTGTCTATTTTATAAGATTAGCTTGCAAGAACCGTTATCATGGTAATAAAATTGGGTAATTATAAAAGCTGTATTAATAAAATTATTCTTCGATTATTATTATAATTAGTAGCTTAGATCTGAAATCTCTTATGAAAGAGGACAGACATACTAGTAAAACTCTAAAGGGATCATAGTATGCCATTTTATCTACTGAAGTACAGGATCTTGTGACGTTAATTAGTTATTTTACGATTATTGGGCAAGGGTTGGTGTGTGTCAATGAAATTGTGTTTATCATCAGTTATTGTTTTAGTAACGAAATTAGGACCTCGACCCGTTGTGACTGAAGCGAGTGTGGAGCCAGCGCCTACTGCCCCGCCCGCGCAGCCACCCCCCACGACGCAATCAACGAAGACTGAACGGTGAGTACAATTTATAGGATGATTAAGAATACGTATCACACGTTATACATTAAAAAGATTACGAAAAATTAAACACAACAAAAAAATAAATAAAATATTGTCTATATGTAACCTCGGAGTTACAGTGACCTCCCAAATTCTTGGAAATGAGTGAAGATTAGTTTCTTTTTCTCTTGGAAAAGCCAAGTTAAAAGTCGCACTGACTCTTTGTCGTTACCTCATACTGTGGCAATATTTACTGAACAATAAAAAAATGATATAAGTATACGAAATTCTACTAAAAAATTGAATATAGTTATGTTGACATTCTTGAAAGCCTTTAGTCGTAAAAGTAGTCATAATTCTAAATGATATAAGCATAGCAAAAAAGTAAAATGAACGAATGATATCATTACATTAAAAATTGACTTTAGATCGAAAAAAAATTACGACACGGGCAGGACTTGAACCGGCATCCCCAACGTTCCATGCTATTGCCCTCTCTCGATTTAATAACATGTCAATTGAATTGCACATTGTATATTTCAAAGCACTTTTAGTTCTTCTAAGTTCAACCGAAGTGTTCAGTCACTAGGAAAGAACTTTTATGCAATTGAGTCCTCATTTTAATATCCTTAAATTGATATTAAACAATCTGAAGTCTTAGAATTAACATCCGCTATAAAATGTTCATATTACCCAGTTTATAAGCTTCCGGAAATAAGTCGGATAACTTTCCACGATATCTGGTCGGTTTCTTGAAGCATGAAACAATGGGAGTAATTTTCATTGAATAGTTTTAATTGTTACTGACGAACAACATATAAATACTTCAAACTTTTAAGAGAAATAGTTAGAATTTTCTGCTTTATTATATCAAAGTTTACTCTTTTATACACTTAACCTCTGTTGTTTGTTGTGTTTGTCGCGAGTTTGAATCTTAATTAGATTTTAAAGCCTAACTTCAGTAATATAATACAGTCTGTAAATGAAATTGTTTCATGAAACATACTATATATCACATGTAGCCTCTAGCACTATCTACGAGAAATTATGCTTCGATATTAACTATATATGTTCTTTAATTTTAAATAAAACATAATATGTATGATATAGAGTTAACACATAGCTGTTGGCACTTATCAATTTTATCTACAAACAGTATTTCGGATCAAAGCATTTGATTGAAAAAATTGTTAATAAATAATAAAAAAATGAAAAATAATAACGCTTCAACCATACGTTTTCTTGTTTATGTTATATACAGCTTTTAATAGTAGGTATATATTCGTACCTCATACCTAAACAAAGCCGTACAACATCAGATTGTCGTTTAATATTCAAACGTCGCCGGTAGCTATTTATTCGCGAAACAAGAAAGTAACGAGTGTAGTGATTTCAAAATACAGAGGGTTTCCGGACCCTTTGACGAGAGAAGAAAAATTTGTATTCGTCGATAACATCGTATATAAGGCGTTCGTAATATTGATTTATTTTCGGTTTGCCTAAGGTATTGTATAAGGTTTTCCTAAATTATTCTATTATGTATATTTTTCTTGTTCCTTAACCGGACCGTGGATAAATCTAATGGGATATTGTAGTGGAAAAGTAATTCTGTATTATAAAAAGTGTAGTTCGTTAGTTTACGCCCTTCGTTTTAACACTAAATCATATTCAAAAGCACTACCACTAACATATCCATCATCATACAACATATCCATACTCACACATCCATACACAGACACTTATGTTTGCGCGTGTGCGTGCAGAATAAGATTTTGGATGTTTATTACACAACATTAGTTTTTAAGATCTTCAATTGTTAAAATTGAATGACTATTTCCCTACAAATTGTCCTAATGTAGGACTCTCTAACTCTTCTCTAAGTCATAAATAAAGTAGGCAATTATTGTCTGTTTAGAAAAATTTACAGTTGCGCACGATCAGTTTATTTTCGGTTCTTTATCTGGATTTTCTTTGAAGGTGTAAACTAGGAGTATTACCTGTAAAAGTTAAAGTAAGTTTCAAATTACCAGTTCTAACTGGTTATTGCAATTTGAAAACAATAGTAAGATTTAATCTACGAACATCGAAGATTTATTCTTTCTATAAATTGTATTCTTTAGGTTATGAAGTTGTTTTTTTAATAAATAAATATACAAGTGAAAATAAATGTATTTTCATCCAATTCAGTGAAGCCGGAAAAGCGCCCTCTAGGGCGGGGGCGTGCCGGGTGTGCCTCAAAGCATTGAAGCCAGGCGAAGTCTTTCACATCTGCAACGGTTGCCAACACCGAGTCTGCGAGGACTGCTCCTCGTACTCCAAACCCGCCAGTGACGAGGATGCGGTGAGTTAAATACACACAATTGGTTGGTTCATAGGTGACTATCATAGAGTGTGTAGGACTCATTTAAATAAAACATTTTTAAACGTCGATTTTGTAATAAACTAATACATTTGGCGTTTTAAACCGAAAAGTGGTTTATTTAAATAATAACCTTCCTTAATTCAAACCAATTAATATTATTAGGATTAATAGTTAAACTGAATTGATATTAATTATTTAGTGATTCGTTTAGCTGCTAACAGAAGTAGTGCAAATCCAAAGATTTAAAAATCGAAAATAAATTGAAAAAATTTTCGACTCGGGCAGGACTTGAACCGGCATCGTCAGCTTTCCGTGCTGTTGCTCTACCAATTGAGCTACCGAGTCCTACACCTCATCGTCGAATTTTTTCAACTTATTGATACATGCACCTCTCGCGCAATGTAATTTCTACCTTAACACTTGCGTATTAAGGCTCAATGTCTTATGCTTTGCAGCTTAAGAAATCATTGAAGATGAAATTACAAAGTTATAACGTTTGAAAACATTAATATTTTTCACATGTTATTGCACATGAAGGCACTATATAATTTAAAAATCGAAAATAAATTGAAAAAATTTTTTTTTTTTTTTTTTTTTCGACTCGGGCAGGACTTGAACCGGCATCGTCAGCTTTCCGTGCTGTTGCTCTACCAATTGAGCTACCGAGTCCTACACCTCATCGTCGAATTTTTTCAACTTATTGATACATGCACCTCTCGCGCAATGTAATTTCTACCTTAACACTTGCGTATTAAGGCTCAATGTCTTATGCTTTGCAGCTTAAGAAATCATTGAAGATGAAATTACAAAGTTATAACGTTTGAAAACATTAATATTTTTCACATGTTATTGCACATGAAGGCACTATATAATTTAAAAATCGAAAATAAATTGAAAAAATTTTTTTTTTAAATTATATAGTGCCTTCATGTGCAATAACATGTGAAAAATATTAATGTTTTCAAACGTTATAACTTTGTAATTTCATCTTCAATGATTTCTTAAGCTGCAAAGCATAAGACATTGAGCCTTAATACGCAAGTGTTAAGGTAGAAATTACATTGCGCGAGAGGTGCATGTATCAATAAGTTGAAAAAATTCGACGATGAGGTGTAGGACTCGGTAGCTCAATTGGTAGAGCAACAGCACGGAAAGCTGACGATGCCGGTTCAAGTCCTGCCCGAGTCGAAAATTTTTTCAATTTATTTTCGATTTTTAAATTATATAGTGCCTTCATGTGCAATAACATGTGAAAAATATTAATGTTTTCAAACGTTATAACTTTGTAATTTCATCTTCAATGATTTCTTAAGCTGCAAAGCATAAGACATTGAGCCTTAATACGCAAGTGTTAAGGTAGAAATTACATTGCGCGAGAGGTGCATGTATCAATAAGTTGAAAAAATTCGACGATGAGGTGTAGGACTCGGTAGCTCAATTGGTAGAGCAACAGCACGGAAAGCTGACGATGCCGGTTCAAGTCCTGCCCGAGTCGAAAATTTTTTCAATTTATTTTCGATTTTTAAATTATATAGTGCCTTCATGTGCAATAACATGTGAAAAATATTAATGTTTTCAAACGTTATAACTTTGTAATTTCATCTTCAATGATTTCTTAAGCTGCAAAGCATAAGACATTGAGCCTTAATACGCAAGTGTTAAGGTAGAAATTACATTGCGCGAGAGGTGCATGTATCAATAAGTTGAAAAAATTCGACGATGAGGTGTAGGACTCGGTAGCTCAATTGGTAGAGCAACAGCACGGAAAGCTGACGATGCCGGTTCAAGTCCTGCCCGAGTCGAAAATTTTTTCAATTTATTTTCGATTTTTAAATTATATAGTGCCTTCATGTGCAATAACATGTGAAAAATATTAATGTTTTCAAACGTTATAACTTTGTAATTTCATCTTCAATGATTTCTTAAGCTGCAAAGCATAAGACATTGAGCCTTAATACGCAAGTGTTAAGGTAGAAATTACATTGCGCGAGAGGTGCATGTATCAATAAGTTGAAAAAATTCGACGATGAGGTGTAGGACTCGGTAGCTCAATTGGTAGAGCAACAGCACGGAAAGCTGACGATGCCGGTTCAAGTCCTGCCCGAGTCGAAAATTTTTTCAATTTATTTTCGATTTTTAAATTATATAGTGCCTTCATGTGCAATAACATGTGAAAAATATTAATGTTTTCAAACGTTATAACTTTGTAATTTCATCTTCAATGATTTCTTAAGCTGCAAAGCATAAGACATTGAGCCTTAATACGCAAGTGTTAAGGTAGAAATTACATTGCGCGAGAGGTGCATGTATCAATAAGTTGAAAAAATTCGACGATGAGGTGTAGGACTCGGTAGCTCAATTGGTAGAGCAACAGCACGGAAAGCTGACGATGCCGGTTCAAGTCCTGCCCGAGTCGAAAATTTTTTCAATTTATTTTCGATTTTTAAATTATATAGTGCCTTCATGTGCAATAACATGTGAAAAATATTAATGTTTTCAAACGTTATAACTTTGTAATTTCATCTTCAATGATTTCTTAAGCTGCAAAGCATAAGACATTGAGCCTTAATACGCAAGTGTTAAGGTAGAAATTACATTGCGCGAGAGGTGCATGTATCAATAAGTTGAAAAAATTCGACGATGAGGTGTAGGACTCGGTAGCTCAATTGGTAGAGCAACAGCACGGAAAGCTGACGATGCCGGTTCAAGTCCTGCCCGAGTCGAAAATTTTTTCAATTTATTTTCGATTTTTTAATTATATAGTGCCTTCATGTGCAATAACATGTGAAAAATATTAATGTTTTCAAACGTTATAACTTTGTAATTTCATCTTCAATGATTTCTTAAGCTGCAAAGCATAAGACATTGAGCCTTAATACGCAAGTGTTAAGGTAGAAATTACATTGCGCGAGAGGTGCATGTATCAATAAGTTGAAAAAAATTCGACGATGAGGTGTAGGACTCGGTAGCTCAATTGGTAGAGCAACAGCACGGAAAGCTGACGATGCCGGTTCAAGTCCTGCCCGAGTCGAAAATTTTTTCAATTTATTTTCGATTTTTAAATTATATAGTGCCTTCATGTGCAATAACATGTGAAAAATATTAATGTTTTCAAACGTTATAACTTTGTAATTTCATCTTCAATGATTTCTTAAGCTGCAAAGCATAAGACATTGAGCCTTAATACGCAAGTGTTAAGGTAGAAATTACATTGCGCGAGAGGTGCATGTATCAATAAGTTGAAAAAATTCGACGATGAGGTGTAGGACTCGGTAGCTCAATTGGTAGAGCAACAGCACGGAAAGCTGACGATGCCGGTTCAAGTCCTGCCCGAGTCGAAAATTTTTTCAATTTATTTTCGATTTTTAAATTATATAGTGCCTTCATGTGCAATAACATGTGAAAAATATTAATGTTTTCAAACGTTATAACTTTGTAATTTCATCTTCAATGATTTCTTAAGCTGCAAAGCATAAGACATTGAGCCTTAATACGCAAGTGTTAAGGTAGAAATTACATTGCGCGAGAGGTGCATGTATCAATAAGTTGAAAAAATTCGACGATGAGGTGTAGGACTCGGTAGCTCAATTGGTAGAGCAACAGCACGGAAAGCTGACGATGCCGGTTCAAGTCCTGCCCGAGTCGAAAATTTTTTTCAATTTATTTTCGATTTTTAAATTATATAGTGCCTTCATGTGCAATAACATGTGAAAAATATTAATGTTTTCAAACGTTATAACTTTGTAATTTCATCTTCAATGATTTCTTAAGCTGCAAAGCATAAGACATTGAGCCTTAATACGCAAGTGTTAAGGTAGAAATTACATTGCGCGAGAGGTGCATGTATCAATAAGTTGAAAAAAATTCGACGATGAGGTGTAGGACTCGGTAGCTCAATTGGTAGAGCAACAGCACGGAAAGCTGACGATGCCGGTTCAAGTCCTGCCCGAGTCGAAAATTTTTTCAATTTATTTTCGATTTTTAAATTATATAGTGCCTTCATGTGCAATAACATGTGAAAAATATTAATGTTTTCAAACGTTATAACTTTGTAATTTCATCTTCAATGATTTCTTAAGCTGCAAAGCATAAGACATTGAGCCTTAATACGCAAGTGTTAAGGTAGAAATTACATTGCGCGAGAGGTGCATGTATCAATAAGTTGAAAAAATTCGACGATGAGGTGTAGGACTCGGTAGCTCAATTGGTAGAGCAACAGCACGGAAAGCTGACGATGCCGGTTCAAGTCCTGCCCGAGTCGAAAATTTTTTCAATTTATTTTCGATTTTTAAATTATATAGTGCCTTCATGTGCAATAACATGTGAAAAATATTAATGTTTTCAAACGTTATAACTTTGTAATTTCATCTTCAATGATTTCTTAAGCTGCAAAGCATAAGACATTGAGCCTTAATACGCAAGTGTTAAGGTAGAAATTACATTGCGCGAGAGGTGCATGTATCAATAAGTTGAAAAAATTCGACGATGAGGTGTAGGACTCGGTAGCTCAATTGGTAGAGCAACAGCACGGAAAGCTGACGATGCCGGTTCAAGTCCTGCCCGAGTCGAAAATTTTTTTCAATTTATTTTCGATTTTTAAATTATATAGTGCCTTCATGTGCAATAACATGTGAAAAATATTAATGTTTTCAAACGTTATAACTTTGTAATTTCATCTTCAATGATTTCTTAAGCTGCAAAGCATAAGACATTGAGCCTTAATACGCAAGTGTTAAGGTAGAAATTACATTGCGCGAGAGGTGCATGTATCAATAAGTTGAAAAAAATTCGACGATGAGGTGTAGGACTCGGTAGCTCAATTGGTAGAGCAACAGCACGGAAAGCTGACGATGCCGGTTCAAGTCCTGCCCGAGTCGAAAATTTTTTCAATTTATTTTCGATTTTTAAATTATATAGTGCCTTCATGTGCAATAACATGTGAAAAATATTAATGTTTTCAAATCCAAAGATGTTAATTCAAAAAGGGTTGTCACTTATAACCAACAGAAAACTCATTAATCTGAGACCATAGACAAATTACAATCTATTCCGGCACGGATCTCGTCTGCGTTAAATGATTGAGCGGATGCCACTGGCAATTTGTTTGATGCGTTGTTTGTTTCGAACAATTCGTCAAGATTATTGATAACTAAAACCTTTTAAAGACGTGTCGTTAATCACTTTTATTTTATTTTTTCTTTTTCGCAAAACAATGGTACTTCAAATACAAAAAATGACACTAAAGCCTAAATTTTATTGAAGCATTTCGTACAAGAAGTCATGCGCTTAAAATTTAAACATTGGAAATAAGAAAGTTTTTTTTTACATTTAATTTAGACTAATGACCACTCCTAGACACAAAGTGTTGTGTAAGTGCAAGTTTCAGTTTAACTACGTGTTTCAACTCGTTAATTTTAAGAAACCCTCTCGTGTAAACTACCTTTTCCATTATTATTTCAGTAAAAGTTTTTTAAAGATAGATGAAGACATGCAAACATAGCGTTTATTTGATGTTAGGTACCTCGCCCATATAACATTTAAATAAAATGTGCTATTCGGACTGTGCAGATCGATAATCCTCTCAATCACTATTCATCCATCAGAGTTCGTGGAGATGTTCAGTGTGCCGACGCAAAGCCGGTCCGCGGTTGCCACCAGCAGCACAAGACAGTACAGATTCCCTATTGGACGTGCCGGTACTTGAAGCTTTACAAAGAAGACACTCTGAAGCACGGCTCGGTAGCGGCGGCAGCAGCAGTGCCCTCGCTCCACCCAGATCCCCAGAACTGCGACGGCATTCTGACGTTTCGCCCGCCTCGCTGAAAGAACTAGAAAAGGTAATGTATATTCATTCTTATCTCAAATGTATTTTAGAGTCTCCGTACAGTACAGTGGTACATCTAACACAATTACTTTTTACATTTTAAAGATAAGTTGGTAGCGACAAGGGGCTATTTGCACTTGATTTTAGTATCGAAGTTTTGTTTATGTAAATTTTATATACTCGATGTATGCAATAAAGATATTTTTTAATTTATTTTAAATAAACAAATATTTAGTGAATTCCGATCACGTATAATGTTAGCCAAGCGTGAATATGCCTAGCCCACAAAAGTGAAACTACATTTAATATTATTATTATGATAAATTTTTTTCTACAACGACAATAGGTACATAATTTACGAAACTGAATGATATTCATAAGAATTACTGTTAAATAAGCTGACGGTATAATAGAAAGTATTAAAATAAATTTTTGAATAAAATATCTTAAATCGAAATTTTTAGACGAGAGTCTATCTCATCTAAAAGTGTGTCGGGCACGTTTTTAATTACGTTGAAACATCTTATGTTCTCCGAAGTACGTGTCGTGTCGAACTTTAATAGCAGAAGAATTAGAAATGCTATAAATACTGTGGTTTTTTTTTTTCAAATATTTTTTGCGATGCCGTTAGAAAGACAGGCATGGAAAAAGAAGTAACCCCATAACATCTAATGAAGATGGGCTATCGACCTATATCTGCTTGGATTAACCCTTTTTGGCTTTCCCATATAGACAATGGTTTAAGACCCGGGGGAATTTAAATATACTTTTCACCCATTTTCCTTCAACTTTTCAACTTCCACGTTGTGTGTGAAATCCCGTTTCCCCCTCATGGGGCAAGGGGCGAACACATTTCTGTGTCCGTTTCACTGATCTGTTTAACAGGCAAGTAGTTGATCAGACTCCTGTGTGTGGTTAAACCCACCCAAACCCATTATATTTTTTATATATATATAAACATTCCCACGAACACGTTAAATATATACTAAATTTTACACTCCTATCATATTATATTGATTACATTAACATTTACTTGTCTATCACACGAGAAAAACTTATTAGCTAAAATTTGTTCTTTACGCGCATTCTACTAAAGTATTCTAGTACATACCAATATATAAAGCCACTTAAACGAATTGAAAATAAAAACCCGCTCAATATATGCTTATGAATTAAAGAGCTCGAGAGAAACTCGACTTGTTATAGCTTTTCGTGAAAAGAATATTAAAATAAGTGCGGGCTGAGAAGTAAATTTTAATATCGAGCTTTTTATTAAACTATGGTAAGAAATGTCTTTAAGATGCAAATAGGAAAATCTAGTGCACGTTTTCCCAGTGCAGCTTTTGTCAGCCGTCTTCCATCTTCGCTCTATTGTCGCTCTTTGTTTTCAAAGCAATCACTTGTCCATTTGTTTTCTAGTATTTTATATGACGCCTCTTTTATCGTACATCTAGTTAATACACAAAGCATTTAAGTTTCATTTGAACTTTGTAATTAGTAACTAATTCTTGCACACATATAATAGAGGATTATAATATCATGAATTATAAATCATACATAATTCGATAACTCCATGTAAACGATCGGTTATTGGAATTATTAAGTGAAATAAATTAATTCATGAATAACAATGGCTTATGTAAATTTATTTAACCTTTCAATTAATTTCTCGTCATGTGAACGATTACTATATTCATATAAAATATACCTATAAACGGATAATACATTTTGAGAACGGCAATATTTTTACACTTGCTTAACCACGCTGCCCGCGGCGGCAGTTAAAGGGTGGTGGCAGTACTACACCCATGGTGGAGTCCAGGCGGCCCAGCACAGTGACGCCCACACGACGACGCTCAGTGAGGGCCCCAGCCCCACGACAACACTCGTGTGATGAGGACCAGCAAGGCCCTCCGCATCAACCGGCCCTGGCAGCACCACCACCGATGTCACGAAGGTAATCCCCTGTAGTCTAATTAAAAAAAAAAATTAATAGTTGATAGAAAACTATATGTTTTATAAGCAACTTTTACTTTTTTTTATTAATTTTAGTAACTTTCCCTTGGTTTCAAGCTCCTAAAAATCAAAACATTGATAGCTAAAACACTAACTATGTATTTAGAAAATATGTCCCAAATGTAGATATTTATATACACAATGCTTTCCTTTCTGCTGTGATGTGAACTTCGATTGTTATTTAACTGGATCTTAGAGATACTTTCTGTATGTGTTTTTCAACATCTATAAAACGTTTGAAAACATTAATATTTTTCACATGTTATTGCACATGAAGGCACTATATGATTTAAAAATCGAAAATAAATTGAAAAAATTTTTCGACTCGGGCAGGACTTGAACCGGCATCATCAGCTTTCCGTACTGTTGCTCTACCAATTGAGCTACCGAGTCCTACTGGGTAGGACTCGGTAGCTCAGATTATTTTCGATTTTTAAATCTATAAAACGATCAATTAATAAACGACTTTTAGACAAACGAAATACGACATTGAAATCTTCCAAATTATAATTATTTTTAGCTGCTTGTTCATTTGTTTAGTAGATATGTATTTTTTGTTGAAAATCCCCGTATGATAAGAATAAGAACCTGAAGTAAAGGAGCTCTACGCTATCTGTCTTTGAATTAGAATTTGCTAGAAATAAACTCTATATTATTTAAACATAATAATTATCATCAATAAATACACTATGAAAAGGTAATTTATGGTCATATCCTCGAAATTACTTTTGAAATGGCATTCTATTTCAATAAGCATTTGCATAAACGAGCGAAAACAATATTATATGTTACGATATTAATTAATTTGTAGTAATAGTCAATTGAACTGTGACATTTACGTAAATAGTTCCAACGGAATACGCGGCACTGTGTACACTGCGATTATACAGGTTGGAGGAGCGGATCAGATATGCACTGAAACAAATGAAGAGAGCCATTATCTATATTGGTTTCCCTTTATCGGTTATTTAAAAAATTACCTACTTTACCTATGAAGGTTTTGTGCGTCAAAATATGTTCACTTTTCATCGGAACAAAACCACAATGGCGTCTGACGGTATTTTTACGATTAATTCGTATGTAATAAGAACTAATATTTATTATACACTTTGTATGACTAGAGCAAAAAATAACACATTGTTTAATATAAATATCACATATGACTTTGTTGTATAGTCATTATTCAAGATTTTCATAATAAGTTTGTGTTTTGTCGATTGATTTGTTCCAATAATCCGTCGATCATGGTTGTCCAATACTTGAGATATATATATCAAAGGCAGTTTAAAAGCTTTGACCCACCATGTTGTTCTAGTTCGGTTTGATGGGCTCTAACGACTCCCGCAACAAAATTCATTATGATAAACGGCATTTCCACTTTAGATCCGCAATTAACTTTTTCAATAATTCCATAACTTTATAATCGTCGTAAAGTGAAATTGACATTTTTATCTATATCCACAATATTCGTATAACCGTTATCTGTAAGTGTAAGCATGACATTTAAGGTGAGCGTAAATTAAACTGTGTTTAATATATAATGATAAGTTTGACGGTTCACGCCTATAAATTAATCTTTTTTTCGGTGAAAATATACTAATTTAACGCTAGTTACCACCTTCAATTCAAAATGTTTTGAAAGGAAAAGCTATATACATACTATAGAAAGGTGAAAAGAAATATAAAATTAGATGAATTCCAAATAGTATTTATTTTCCTAATAACTGCATGTTTGAATTCTCGAATAAACATCACTTGTATTGACATATATAAAACTAGCCCTGTCCCGGCTTCGCACGGGTAGACATATATAGGTTTACAGATATTTAAATTATAAGCATGCCAATTAAAACGACCATGAATTACTAAAATAGAAAAAAATTGTATTGCGCTTCCTAGCTGTTAACGACCGTTGTCTATCTCGCTGTGTCGGAGGCACTGCGAGCGTTCAGTGTTAGGGTGCCGTGCACGCGTTCGCGAATTCCAGGCTCTATTTCCTTCAAGTCGCTGCGAGGGCTCGGCGCTTGACTGTCATTCGTTTAGATGCGATATTCAAGTTCAAAGAGAAAACTCCGTAAATAACTTTGACAAATATTATGCAAAGTGTGATTCTATCAATTTGTTAAATGTAAAAAAGTAGTTATAGTGACGTAACTACAATAGTTAAACATATGCTCGCGATGTTTTTTGTAGACATTGATATATTCTATAATATTGTCGAACATTTTTCGTCCTATCATACTTTTCGCAGTGTATGCGAAGAAAGACATTTTTATGGCAATTTTTTTACGCCTTCCGTTGGTTTTAGTAAGAATTATATGTATAGATATGTATAGATTTCCATAGTAATCGAGTACTTAATATAGCCCATGTTACTCAGTGATAATGTAGCTTTCCAATGAAAATAGAATTATTAAAATCGGTCCAATAGTTTTTGAGTTTATCCGTTACATACAAAAATAAAAATCTTTCCTCTTTATAATTTATAGTATATAGTATAGATAATGACTTCTGAATTTCTTAGTAAAACATTTTTATGTAAGGCTCTACAAAAATAAATTAATCGCCTTAAATTCGGGACAGTCATAAAATTGGAGGGGCGTGCTCTACTTTCAACTTAACACAGAAGAGCTTTTAATGTTAAATTACCTTTTACGTAAACATTTTATGACGTGTTACTTTTATAAACCACTCAATGTTATGGAAATGGGTGTTATAATATGACGTAGTATTTTGTATGGATTTAATAGTAATACGAAGACAAAAACCTAGACAGTTTTTCATTGTCTTCTAATATTTAAAAAAGAAAACGATTAAAAGAAAATAAGCGAACACGTAGTCTTGTTTGCTTTACGAGACCGAAAGCATTCATTCATTCATTACCCCGTGTCAGGAAACTCAGGAGAAAAGTGATATAACAGAAGAGCCCAGGTCCTGTGCGAGATGAGTCGTCGTGCTTTTTAATCAGATTTTTATTCAATATTTGTTGATCAGAGCATCAGCGGTCGACGTGGTGGGCGCGGGATCTCGCCGTGGCTCTTACCGGACAGATGTTGATACCGGCGACTCCACACCGCAGATCACTGGGCTCAGTGTTGATGAAGATAGACCTATAAGGCGACGGGGCAGTCAACTGTAAGTTCTTGGACAGGGGTCTCATCGATTACGATTTTAGTAACTAGAAAATGTTTTATACATAGACTATATCTCTATAAAACATGTTGGTGAAATGTCGCTTTTTCAATAATGTTCCAAAACACGCTTGACTAGCATAAGCGCAAATATTCCTGGGTTCATGTCCCGGGGAACAATAGATTGTTTCCATCGAGCAAGACGTATAAGTTTGATCTACTTGTCTCTCTAAAAAAATAATTAGCGATCCGGACACAGGAAACTGTTCACTCCATGTCCCACGGGGGAAAACAGGATTTCACACACTATATATTTATTTATAATAGGCCAGACATAGCAGCATTACAACAACGAACGGGAGCCTTAAGCGCCATGGCCGCTCTGGCGTCCCGAACGTCTGATTCATCGGAGTCCCTCACATCATCAGCTAGTGCTGCTACCGCTGCCGCTGCCGCCGCTGCAGCTGCTGCTCGCCAAATGTCCGTAGATGCGGAAGCCATAAAAATTGTGATACACGACGTTGACGATCGCACACCAAGAGGAGTGACACTGAGACGTGATCCGAATGATAAAGGACACAGATGTAATTTTGAACTTTCTTTTATTACTTCCTTTTAAGTTTCCAGACTTCCTTTACTTTCTAGTTTAATAAACTAAATTTGAAACCACATTTGAAAGTCTGGATTTGTAATAATCGTGACTTGGCAAGATTCGAAGTTCGCGTTTTTTTCACTAACGTTGAAAGCTTGCCAAATCAAAGTGGATGTAATTGGACACTTTCCTTTCTAATAACATACGTTTTTTTTGGCTGCATTTACTTACTATATTAAATATTTTTAAATTTCATGAGCTAAGATTTATATATATGAAATAGGTACGAGACAGATTTTGATTCTTATTTCATTGATTTTATACACTTTGGCGCGTAGATCAATTAATTATATAATTAATAAATAGTCATTACACATTTTAAATAAAGGACTGAGACATCAGACTCGTTGTTCACTGAATTACAGCATTCAGCAATCTATACTTTCTGTACGCTCATTGTCGTTTGTCTTTTATCACATAATCTAATTTTGACAAATCCGAATATATATAATTAAAGTTCATACCATCATAGATATTAATAGTGTTACATTTTAATACAGCACGAGGGTTTGGTATGCGAGTAGTGGGTGGTAAACCTGATGTAAGTGGGAGGCGTGAGGCAGTTATAGTATGGACTGTTCCCGGGGGACCGGCAGACCTAGCGGGCTTGCAGCAGGGAGATAAGGTATTTCATTAATTCATAGCATATATCATTATCATCTTGGTCGAAATTAAAAATACGTAACTATCTTATAATACATCGAGAAATGTTTAAAACTCTGGTGATAATAATTAACAAGATGGACTCGTTGGTGTAAAAATAGCAATGTCTAAAAATCAACAGGTTCTGGGTTCGGTGGGGCCAGTTCAAACATGTTTCTCCAATTCATGTTGGATTTCTGGAAATCTTGATATTAAACGGGTGCTAGTAATTTCTAAATTTCGTTCAGGTCACGAACTACCGTCCACAGAAAAGCTGTGAAGTTTAATCGCGATTCATTTTCAGTCTGTGGATTTTAGAATATTCAAAGCCTTTATAGGGCGATATCGCATCTAGTTTACCATACCATCAAGTGCACCTTATGTTTATCTGTCTTTCTCTATTATAGAAAAGAGCGAAATGTGTAGTGTCTAAATCTTTCAGGTCCTAGAATGGTGTGGAGTATCCCTGACAGAGCGCAGCTTTGAGGAAGTATGTGCGGTGCTGGAGCGAGGTGGAGACACCGTCGAATTGCTGGTGGAGCCTTGTCATCAAATCGAAGAGCCTCCCACACCGGCCGCTTTGCCTCCTCATCATCACGCGCTATATGGTATTCAATTATTCAGTTACATTAGCTTGACGGTATAATATAAAAAATATCAACTCTCTTAGGAGTTTGGGTGGCAATATTCAGAGAAGCGATAAAAGATTCTCGTCGATCTTAGTCTCTAATTTCAGAAAAATCTTTGTTGTTTGCGGAAAACTCTTTTTTTTAGAAATGTCAGTGTAGCCTGTTTATTTTGTCAACTAATAAATCAAAACAATATGGCAATAACACTATTTTTCGAATTGTTCAACTATCTAAATAGTTCTCGAAATTTTAATGCAGCACAAGAATCCTTTGGGCCGCGAAAGCGTTATACAGTTTTTATTGAAATAATAATTGCATTAAATAAAAAAAACATATTTATATCAAAAAATTACTTAACTTATAAAATGGTATATATTTGATAAACGGTATTAGTATTTTAAATACATAAAACACTCTTACGGCTAACTATAGTGAACTAATTAGTAGAGATTTATCTGCGCATGTGCAGTTTAACAATGTATAGAACGATACTGGAACCTGGCGTGTCCTATAAATAAAATTAGAAATACCACGCCAGAGCCTGCTCATTGCCATCGTGGCTTTTTACTTATATCATCTAATATCTAACTTGATTGTGGGTTTGAATCTCGTTTTGTTCGTAAATTTTTCATAGGTATATCTTTCCTTAAACATATGGGAGTATATGTCAGTAACGTATATTAATAGCGAGAAAATTATTATGTCAAATGAAAAACCAAATATCTCGACTAAAAAGTTTTACATGTCTCCGCGTCAACGGATGTCAAAAGTTACGCTTGGACATGCTACTCACGTGAAGTTATTACAAGAATAAATGTAACTTTCATTTTTTATACACTTACAAAGTAGGAGTTGAAAGCTTTAAAAATTATATATAATAAACCAGTAGAATTGATACTAAAAAGTATCTCTAACTGTTGGCCTATCTGTACGCCTTACAAAACTGTCCCACAAATTGCTTCACTGTTCCCACCGATATAATAAGCTCATCTCACCAATCGATTGGCACAAAAACCCATTATATAACATATGGAGCTGAATCCAGGGTTCAGCCAGTAGATCAATAAAACGTGTTGACGTCAAAATTATATGTTTATATGTACTAAAGCAGTGGAAACTCCAATATGTTTCAATTAACTGTTAGGCACTACCCTAGTTTCTAGAACTTTACTAATATTAGTTAACAAAGTTACTCAATATTTTACGAGATGAAATCATTTGTACCTCTGCTCGTAAATTATTTTAGTGGCATTTAGTATATGTTAGTGAGATACATGCATTTTGATTCTATAGAGATTAATAATACGTTCAGAACACGATCTGTCATAAAATTTCTGTGAACTAGTTTCTACTGTAGTCTTCTCTATTTTCATACAAAAGTTAAATAATTAATATTTTTTTAAAGGCTAGACAATGAAATCCTAACAGTTTTTAACACGTAATATATGAAAAGAAGGTAGATTAAATGGTATTTTTCCCTAATTGGATTATAAAGATGTAAATAAATAAGTACCAGACTTTTTATATATTATTAAAACAAAGATAAACCGTTTCTGTGTAGTATTTAGGGAGAGCAAGAATTTAGTAAAGCTGTTCCGTTTTTGTGTTGATTTCCTTTGTAAAAACTACACCTTATCACAGTCTATATAAAGCACAGTTTCATTTAATCCCTGTTCTCTATAACAAGGTTTCCAGATTAGAGAATAACAAATTCCTTTGATCCACAGAACCCGAAACGGACAAATCGCCATCGTCGCCGACCCGTCGGAAATTGCCGAAAACCCCGGTATAATACCCAAACAGGCTTTAATAATTGCAATATGTGTTGTGAGCAAAAGAGTTAAAGGACGTTTGGACTTTGTTGTGACGTCACTCGGTACCTTCTCCGATGCGCTTCTTTCCAAACATTGGATAACAGATCATACATAGATCTAAATTCAATAAATTGATCCAAATTTATTTCTAATACAAATAATATAATGGTTTTATGTATATTATTATAACTTCCAAAAGCGGTGATAATTAAGAAATATAAAATACATATATACATATACGAGTATGTATGTATGGTCCGTTAACCAAAACGCTAATGAAATTATTTTTCATATATTGTTTTTCTTACAATCTTGTGATCTATTATCGATAGTATTGTGTTAGATAAACGTATGCTGAAGCGCAGGAGTCGGTGTCCGTTCCTCTGTGATACTGTAGCACTATTGCTCCTACATCTTCCACTCTATTTGTAAGAGAGAGAGTTGTTTCTATTTACGATGGTAGGTAACTATTCGAATTTGTTAACTATTGAAGGAATATCTATGTTTAATTAAGATGTTCTACACTTCTCGATTTGTTTGTTATTTATTGTTATACGTTACAATTTGTATCGCCCGAAGCGTATGTGAAAAAATTCTACCTATAATTATTTTCAGATTTTTATTTTTTCTATCACCCAACCGATTTCATATAGCGACATTGCCGAGGGAAGTTTAGGGAACGATTCACAATTGACAAATACGACCTAATTTAATACGTAAGTGTAACAAGCGCAAATGTAGTGCTCGATGGTAGCTTAGGAGATTTTGATAAACGAACAAGCATCAAAATGTCAGAATACAGATAGCATAGTTCTGCTAGAGAGAATACCGCTTGAGCTTAAAGAGGAAATAGATGGCATATACTTCAATGAATAGTAACTCAATAGAAAAGCATACTAAGAATAAATAGAAGTGATAAATAATAGACAAGCCGCGGAAGCAAGAGTATGGACCATCTGCCGAGGTGAGAGTAGAGAACGCACTTGGTCTGAATCGAAGCAGTTCCTGTTTGTCTTGTCTTGAACATCAAGTGTCTGTACCGAGTCTTGCTGTTGACCTAGCGTAGTGTGATGCACAATGTTCCGAGTCGCTCGCGAATAGAAATAGGGGCTTTGGACGGCGTCAACTCGCCGCTCCCGCAAAACCTTGAGCGACAGGCGCGCGCGCACTAACGCTTACGTTTTGTGATGACACCATGTACATAGCAACTCGTGCTTAACCGATTATATTGGAACACAATATGCATGATGTGCCATGTACCGAACCGTCCCACATTTGACATCCAAATATTGACAGTCAATTTGATGAGCGATACGTAATTAATGAAATGTACTCTTTGAAATAGAGCCAATGTTATTACTGCTAACGCGTTTGCTTAACTAGGACGAACAAGTGTTGTTGTTTTAAATTTCACTACAGTTAAACATCGCTATTATTATTTAAATAGATACGATATAAAATACTACAATACAGGTACTGACAAACATGTGTGTGCATTTAGGAGATTAGAAGCTAATTCAACTAGCTGATAGGCAAATAGAGGAACATTAAAACTCGCCTACATTTACATGACTTCCGGCTTATCAACCGTACAGCATGATTAAGCTTTATGCATGGCGGACGAGAGCGTCAGATTTTATTAATTACTTTTGATAGCCTAAGCCCGAGCATGTTATTTTAACGAGTGAATCGGATTCACGATAATGAATGCATTGCTATGGTTGGGATCGAAACGAGACACAAAGAAGCCAATCGTCTGCATGTTACGGTTGAATGACGCCTCCAGAAATTACTGTTCATTTAGATATTCCTATACCTCCTATACTTTAGTTTCATTTTATCCTTTTCCAACCTCTTTTGGATTGCGAGATATATTTTGATTTGAGTATATGCAAAGTGGCTTTTTCCTTTTGTCTCTTACTTATCAATTCCGTATGTTCCGTACACTATGTTGATCTAGATCACGTCAAGATTCTATTGGAACTTATAAGTCAAAGAAAGAAATTAGAAAAACTTAAGGGTCGCATCTTTAGCACAAAAGACGACTTTCCGTTAACAAGCGATATCGCGAATACATAGCATGCGATAGAATCCGCGCAATGCGACACAATTACTCACATGAAAACCTCAGTGTACCTTAACCTACGGCTTTTATTTAAGACGTCAGCCTTACGTTAATAATAATTTTAAAAAGAAGCCAAATTGGATATACTCAAGTATTAGTTTATTACAAATAATGATAAAGTAACATATACGTAGGAACAGGAGAGAGCTGAGCGCGCAAGAGAACGTCCGCCGGCGCGTGCGCAGTTGCAAGTCTGGTTCGAGTGCGATCTTCGCAAGCTTATCATTTTGCTGATCGCCGCAGATGACCTACCACCTCGAGACCACACGTTGGGCTACGGAGATGAGCCAGAAGCATTTGCAAGGATACGCCTGTTACCATCGCTGTAAATATATTGTGTATTTGTTTAAAAAGATTGTACTTATGTTATTTATTCTATACTTAATATTCATAATCGAATAATGCCCATTTTTTTTTCCCTAAAGGCGGTTTAATTTGCAACCTAATTCTTGTTATATACTTTGTGAATATATTTGTTTTGACACATAGGGAGACCTGTCCACCCGTGGAAACTGACCCAGCTTCGGCCTCGTGCAGTCCTGTATGGAATGCAACTCTAGGTTTTGGTGGACTTACTGCAGACCTTCTGGCGGGTAGAGCTCTTGAGCTGACACTGTGGGATGCCTGTCCGGGAATCGATCCGGTTCTTATAGCTGAATGTACCGTTAGTATTCAAAATATATTAACAAAAACTACTTCAAACGAGTTAAATCGCGAACTAAATTTTAGGCATAAATTTTAACTATTTAAATAAAACACTTTAACAGTTTAAAACGCGATATGTTAGTTAAACTTATTTGAAAATGATCTTTAACTTCGGCCCGACGTTTCGGATGCTTTGCAGCAGCCATGGTCACGTAGAGACACGTCCACATTTAACTAATATATCGCGTTTTACACCGTTAAAGTGTTTTCTTTAAATGTGTACTACTCGCGTAAACTATAGACAGTATTAAAATTTTAACTAGTCATAGTTTTTAAGCGATTTAATCTTTGTAATCATTATAGTTTAATACTTCTGTGAACTAGACAAATAAAATAATGCAATTACTCAAATATTATTCTAACATGCATTGTATTTGTAATGCATGCATTCTAACATGCATGCATTACAATATAATATTATACACAATACGTATGTATTGACACATATGCAATATTCCACGTCGAAATATTTAATTTGCAATTCTGTAGCCTGAACTAGTGCCAGTTCTTTAATCTTATTTGTAAGATAGCTTTTTGGCTCTATATGGCGAGAAGTCCGTAAACGAACGTAATGGGAGATATATAGAATCCGGCTATTTCCTTAGATGGACCTAGAAAAGGCGTTTGCGGAGGAGCGTGCTGTTTGGTGGACACTGGAAGAGCGAGGATCCCGTTCTGCTAACGCTTCGCCTCGGTCCTCGTTGTCAGGTGCACGTGCTTTGCGACGTGGGGACTTTGCCTCACAACGATCTGTCTCAGGTATTAAGTGTTCTAAATAATAAATGGGATGTTATTAGCCTAAAAGTCGTAATTTAAAAAATAAAACAGAGATTTTTGGGTGAATTAACAAAAATATTACGCTATGGTATATGATTTATTGGTAGAATATGTTTATAAATAAATACAATGTTCTATTAATAATGTATTTATATAAATAGAGTTTTGTTTGATACCAAAATTAACATCTTTCACTTTAGTAACAAATTGAAGTGGACAATGTACTCCCGACCTCAAATACAGAAGTTGGGAGCACACGAAATCAACAAATATCCATTACAATGTAAACACATATTGTAATCCATTTTAGATGACGTGGATTCCATCGGTGAATGTGCCTCACTTCTACACCCAGACCACGCTTGGGTAGCTGGTTCGCGCCGTGGATCCTCTCAGTCGGAGACATTAGAAGTAGAAGTCTATCAACTTGGAAAAGATTTCTCACGTTCCCTACCTGGTTCGCGAAGGTCCTCCTTTCAACAGCAAGATAAAGGTAATTTAGGAATTTAGTAAAACCCTTATTAGTTCTTAATTTTTATGTATTATTAATATTGGATATTAATGTACACTTAAATTGAACATATTTTTTATATAAAAATAACAATGTATTTATTATTATATAATTACTATAGCTTTATGATATGGCTTGGGCGAAAATATGTTCCACGATTTCCTTTGGTAAACTCTCTAGTAAGATAGATTTATTACTTAGATGGAGTTAGCGAGGGCAGCACAGTGTGTGTCTCGCGCCGCGAGCGTCGTCGCTCCTCTTGCGTCCGCCGCGACCCCGACGACATCCTTCGATCTCTTCGCGCCGTCAAGGGTGAGCTCGGTCGCACGCTCTCGCTGTCTGGCTCCACTGCACGACGTGAGTGTTCAATTTACACAACCCGCTCTAGAACTTTCCTTCCTGTCACCTTTTTGTCCTTCGTTTCATCACCGCATTCTAGCCGTAAGACGTCCAGATATGAATTTAGGGACCACGCCAACGTTCAGGGGCTGTATTAATATGTATTTTTACCGATAATGTGATATAACTTAGGGCTTTAGGTTTGGTTATCGATCATTCAGTATCTAATTCATTTTCCAAATATTTATTCTTTACCTTTCTCTTGAATAGCGTAACAATGTGATCAGGGCCCGAATTCGCTTCAGGTTACCATATAAAACTGTTATGTAGTATAAACTTTCCCCCACTAGGCCTACCACCCACCACTAGATAATGCAAACATTGAGGGTACTGACCTGTACTGTTGTGCTTGTTCGGTCAGCGGCGACGGACCGTTAGCTCCTCGGTAAGCGAACGCCCGTGCCGTGCATGGGGACTGTCCGTGCGCGGTGTCGGTGTATACGATCCCTTGTGACGTCCGAAGACTGTCTATTCTCGCCGTGCTCCGCCTTAGACTTGAGCGCGTCCACGTATCGCGTCGTGTTCAAACAATGTATGCAAATACACAAGATGCGATGCCGGAGTCGTTCAGGCCGGGGCTCGGGGCGGGATGAGGATCTGCAGCCACGTAGTAGCATGGGTCATACATTGCTTGCGCGACGGCCGCGCGCCCGCACCGTTGAATGTGGCTGCGCCCGATGCTTCTCATCACTTCACTGTGTCTGTTCTGTACTGTCCTGACGCATGCCCGGTCGCGGGCAATCACGCTCACTTCATCTGTTTCTGTGTTCCGTCTATTCGGCTACCCGTCTACGTTCATCTCGATGGAATCGTATCGCCTAGGCCAGATAACAGACTCCATTACGCGAATTCCATTCATTATTCGAATCGCATCCTTGTAGCCTTCTTGTACATATGTTAAGTAGGTTCCGGTCACCGCCGGGGCGACCCCGGGCGGGTGCCGCGCAGTCGAGCGGACGAGTAGGTCGCGCATGTCGTAGCGCACTCTTCGGCAGTCGCATGACAATACTTCTCTTGACAACACCTCGACTTACGATCAATGGCTGCTCATGACACGGAATGCTTAACCATCGTAATGAATCGGAGACCGCTTTCAGCAACTATTAGAGCCTCGACTAACTCTAAGCTGCACTCGTTGATATGCTTCTTCTTCCATCTATGTGTTTAGGAGAGATCGAATAACAATCTATGTATTTAAAGACATAGCACGAAGCTGTTTGACGTGCTTATTATGTGTTTATAAGTGTTCGATTGAATGGTTCGTTCTGATTTTGTTGTATTTATTGTTTTCTTGATATGTGTAACGAGTTAAAATCGTTGGGAAAGTGGACAAAGTACAGTAGAAATACCCGTCGGACGTCCAGGGGCGTGTAGAAGACGGGTTAGCCGGTGTAGTCGTTGGGCAGTGTTTCTGTGCGCAGGTACGGCGACGGGCCGCAAAGGCAGCATGTGGGCGGCGGTGCCGGCGGCGGCTGCCGCGGCGGCGTGTGACCTTCCCGACGAAGACGAAGTGCCCCTGGGTCCAGGCCAGATGCCGCCGCGTAACGCTCATCTCCCGCCACTGCATGCCGAAATAAATATCAGCATTATCATGATCAAGGGACAACTTGAGCTTGAGGTAACATGTTACCTCAAGTAAACCTTTAGTATTTTTATTATATTATATAATTAAGTACCTTTAGTAAACTCCCATTTAGAATTATATAAAGATTTTAATGTTTTCCGATTTCTGTTTCTATATAACAATTTGCTATAAATTGTAAAATCCTAACAGAAAGCTGTTATGGACGATGTCTTTAATCCATTATTTCTATTAGCGCTGTTTTACTGGCTTTAAAAGTCTGTAGTCAAAATAAAATTTCCTACTTTTATAACCTCGTGTCGAGCCATCGATTTCTTTTCATTTCGATGGCTTTCGAAAGCGAGATTTAAACTTCAGCCTGACAGTAAAATAACGATTCTCCAATCAGGTATCGCACGCACGACGTGTGTACGGTGTAAATGGCGAGGTACCAGATTCCTACGTCAAATGTTATCTCCGAGACGGTGACAAGTGGCTGCATAAACGTAAGACACGAGTCATTCGTCGAACAACTGAGCCGCACTTCAAACAAACACTTAAATACCAGGTAAATAGATATAAACGACAAAACTCTAGTTCTCTAAATCGGCAAGACACATTTTATTTGTGTCATCGATTTTATTAAAGCAATGTTAATGAGACTTCCGAAACACTCGCTTATAAACTGATACAAACCCAGGACTTAGAGGAAGCGGAGAGTTTCACCACTCCCAAGACAAGAAAGCAGTTTTTTTTATAAAGCAGGATATCCAAACATGAAGTTCGCTTGATGTTAGGTAAAAACACTAGGGTGTTAATCATTTCTTTCCATTCATCTAAAGAAGATGCGCTCTGTCAATTTATTTTAGCTTTGGATATTCAAAATTCATAGACTGAAATCGAAACGACGAATTCCGTTTTTCCATTCCTACCACCCATTTTATAACAAATTTCCAGACGAAGACCAACATGTTTCAGAATAGTACATTATGATATAAGTGCGGTAAGTTGAAAATTACAGCCGAGGCGAGGGCTATAAGAAAGCAGAGGCTGTAATTTTCAAAGCGCACGTATATCATACGACGTTTTATGACATATTTACGAGGAAATTAATAAAACTCTAACTTAGTTAAACGAATAAATCTTTAATTCATTGTTAAAGCAGTTATCAAAATTTTTACTTGTCCACAAATAAGCGAAGCGCGCGCGATCAACGTTTTTTTTAGGCAAAGTTACAAAAACAGCCAGTATTACTAATAAAGTTAATTAATATTTTTGTGTTTTTGTTATAGATAAATTTTTGTAATTTATTGTCAAAATTAATTAAATTAAGGAATTAAATGTTTATTTGTCATATTTTATTTCCCAAAGTTAATTTTGTTCATAAAATATTAACCACTTTCTTGACATCAAACCTCTTTGCTAAGAAAAAAAACACGTGCCTTTTACATTACATTATCGCAAAGTACGTAATGAGATACATTACGATATTGCAATTGGTGGAATTACATCCACTTTACGAGCAAATATGTTATAAAAATTATAATTGTATGCAAAGTGTTACACCCAATGGAATCAAACTTACGAGCCGTTAATGATAAAGTTTAAACTCGGCTTAATTTTTCACAGGCAAGTGAATCACTAGGGCGCATCCTGGTCGTAATGTTGTGGCAACGTTGCGGAGGTTTCGAACACAATCTGGCGCTGGGCGGGGCAGAAATCTGCTTGGATAAACTAACTCTGCCGCAGCGCACTTACGGCTGGTACCCGCTGTTCCCAGCTACCTCGTTGGCCGCTGACGAATCACCAGACTGATCCAGGGAGCCGTCGCCGGAACGCAAAGATGACTAGTTCCAGACCGCGACGGCTCATTTGACAGTCATTTTTTGTCCCAAACCCACGGCCCCAGTCCCTAGAAATGATATGCTGATACATCCTAGCTGCCCGTGAACCGAGAATCTGCGGCATCATTCTTTTAGTAGACATATACGGCCAATCTAAATGCGTATTAGTTTTAAAATTAAAGGAGCTTATTTTTTTGTTATTAAATTACGCGGGGCACATTAAAAGTTTGACATAACCATTTTATTTGCGTTAAATCAATTATGGTATGCTTTTTACTATAATAATTTTAAACATGTATTATGGTAAGTACTGTCTGTAGTTTACGCGAGTAGTACACATTTAAATAAAACACTTCAACGGCTTAAAACGCGATCCGAAACGTAAACGCCGAAGTTAAAAAATATTTTTTTAAATAAGTTTAACTAACCGCATTTTAAACCATTTAAGTGTTTTAATTAAATGTATTATAGCAGTCAATAAATCTGTCCTACTGTATTTTTTCTAGAGTTAGGAATTAATGACAAAGTTTTATAACATCGGATCCCCGATAAGCAGATTTACAACAAAAACTTATTAATGTGCCAAACGTTTGTGTATTACGTGTTTTAATCAGGGCTCGAAAATTATTTATATTTTCAAATTCCGAATTGAATATGATATCTCTAAACTCTTTGCGGTTTCATTTTCCTGGTGTGTTGTCGTCTCATACCTCACGAACTCGGTACTAAGTAATTTCGAACCCTGATTTTCCAAAGCAAAAAAATCGAAATGCTTAATGAACTTATTCGATTAAAGCGACTTCGATATTTGCCTTGACATTATCTAGGTATTACGATTTGTAGAAATTTTATATGTTGTATAGTAGCTTCTAATATTTCTACTTTCTATTTACATTTTTTTATGTATCTATTTCTAACAGAATCTTTAATAGAAGTATTTCCCGCTTTTAATATATAAAAATGTTATAAAGAGCTAACAACTTCGTCTCAATAAAAATTTCAGTCTTAATATTAAGAAAAGGTAGTATGGAATATTCCAAGATACGTGAGGATAGTTCTATGTAAATTTCTCGAATCTTCATCCCTAAGTGATAACCCCAACTTCGACTTTGCCTTATACGATTAAAAATACCTTAAGTAAACCTAGCACGTAAGAACATCTAGGTACTATTCTTCCAAGGTTGTGCTTTAGTGAATTTTCCCTACATTCTTAGTAACTCGTTTCTCGGTGTCAAAATGAGCTGTAAATATAAATTATTTTCCAATAAAAATTTTCTACGCACAACTACTTTCGTGATAACACTGTATCGGCCTTTTATACTCTAGGAAGAGTCATTTCATATTATCACTTCACTATCTCTGTTGACGACAGTATATCGATATGGTAAAACCAATACATCTTCACTTAGCATATTATACCTTTAAGGATTTAGGTATAATGTAGTTAACGGGCGTAGAGTACACGAAATGCACAAATCGGGCCTACAAACATTTAACGCCACATATATGCATATATTTTCAATCGGTGTTTGCTAAACATATCTGTATGGTATTAAAATGTTATATTGTGAAACTCTGTGTTCTTCTAGACTAGCTTGACAATATGTTCTTAATGTGCCCTACTAGATACCTATTTCAACGATATTCAATCTATCTGAAGTAATATTGAATATCACCGTAATAGACTTGACGAAGATCGTAGTATGTAATAAAAGTGAGCTTTTTACTTTCATAGTAAATTCAATTTTCTATCTACACCTCTATAAGCAAATATTAGAACTTCATATAGGACATATGAATATAACGACAAGCAATTTTTGAAACTACCCACAGAAGAGAGAGTTATATTTTAAGATACATCAATATATTTTATTGCAATAAATTGAGAGTTTATTTAAGTTAGCAAATGTTGATGTAAAGTATATTTATTAGATCACAGAATATATAAGTGTTTAAACATTATATTGATCTCGATTCTAACATCGTGTTGGAGACGATCATTTACGCTTACTATTTTAATATTGTAACGAATATTCTATATAGGACAAGATACGGTTAATATTAGGAATAGAATGCCTCTGTGAATCTCACTGCAAATTTCTCTGTGCCGTAAAGACGACCCTGATCTACATATCTATAAAATATCTGTTGTGTACCTGTGACAAATGTGATACAAATATCATAATTTTGGAATCGAATATCTTCACTACATAATATTTACAATTTTTTCTTAACTTATATGTATTTCTTTATAGTCATATGTGGTAGGGTTTTCTCTACAAATATTAGGGTTGCCGCTCTCAAGAACATACGATACATATACTTACGATATCGTACGATCGTACCTTAATATTTATAGCGAGAACTCATCAAGTCCTTGTACGTAAAATATGTGTGTAAAAGTATAATATTACTTAATAAATGTGATAAAAATCTGATATTATAGTGATCGGTGTGTTTTATTTATAATCCCATTTTAAAATAGGACAAAGCTCAAACTCATAAATCATGACAGCTTATTACAGATGTTACTTGTTAAGTTCGAAATAGCTTTAAATTAAAGCGAACTGGTGAGGAGGGATTATAAATGGCAGTTGATGGCAATTTAAAGGTCCTTTGAGATCCGGATTCCGACCGGAAGTATAAAAGTTTCCTACCCGAGAGGACAATGTTTACAGTATTAAGGAGTACGTTACTGAATAAATAAACTTGATTGACATTAACATTGTATATTGGGTAAAGTTTTTAAATATGAGAGAAGTCTGCGGGTCCACACCACTTGGTGACGTGCTGAATTATTGACGAAGCCGTCGGGTTTCCATTCCGCACCGCTTGCGAGACACGTGACCACCATTCGCGGTTAGCGCACCGACCTAAATGCAAAAACGTATCGATTAACGGGAAATTTTAAATAAAAACCACAAAAAGTGTACGTGTTCGAAGTTTATACGTTATGTTTTCTAAATTTTGCAAAAAAAATAATATTTTTTAAATATTAATAGAGATTGCATATCAGATATAACGAATCAAAATTGAAATTACAATTAAGTGGGTAACACTAGTAGAATAATGGAATATTATTAAAAAATGTAATTAACAGAATTTATGATCAGCGAGTATATATATATCTGCCTCTATATAGCTGCCTCTTCCAAGCTACAACTCAGAAAAGAAAAAACTTAAAAGAGGCATGCGTAGTGTTACATTTTAATGTTATAAATCTACGCATACCCATACCCATATCTATGTAGTTAAATAATATATATGTATATTTAATTTAAATAATTAAAAATACTACAATGCATATAAAAGGTGTTTTAAAAAATCGCTCGCACGAAAACTTTCCGACGGCCAATTCCCTGTTGCAATTGTGTTTTTACGTCTATTAGCGGGAATTGCGTAGCACAACAGTCAACAAACGTTTCGGTGTTCACAGAACGCCACTTGCATTTTATAGCGTTATTTAGCGTGCTGAATAAAAAACGTTTATACAGCTATATATTCTTTTTATCTATTATAAAGCAGATTTTAATGAAAAAGGATACCTTCGTAATAAACAGTAATAAGAAACATAGAATGTTAATCTAGTAGTCTTAAAAAGAAGCGATGGTAGACTATCCGTAGATACTTTTAAGCGTGTTTTACAGTTACGTAACAAAATTAAAATACCTGAAGCCGTAAACTTAGTTAAAGTACAGAATTCTTTAAATGCCAGTATTAAATTAAATACACTTACCATTAGTAAAAGTTACAAGCCTCGATCCGAGAGGATATCCTGTAAGAATGCAGCACGATTCGCCTTCCGCCACCTTTGGGGCATACCATCCACGACTGTCTACCGGAAGGGTCTACAATAAAAATCACCACAATTTTATGAACAAAACTTATACAAGAGTGATGAAAAATCAATACCTAGATGCGAGTACTATAGAGGTCTTATGTACTTAAATAGGATAAATTTGCTTACTTTAAACATAACTAGAGAGCGCTATTTGATTTGAACAAAATGTACATTTTAATGATTTTATAAATTATTTACTTTTAAAAACTTTTATATTCTTACACATGATGACATTGTATAAATTAACACCTATTTAGATTTTTTTTTAAAGACGACACAGATGGGACTTGACCCGGCAACCGCAGCATTCCGTGTGTTTGCTTTAACTATATAAGCTACTTCTATTAATTTATTTACTTTCACGTACATAGTCACGACTATTGGTATATTTTATTTTAAACCGTTTAAATTGTTCAATCGATATTTAAGACACTCACTTGCTCGACATCTCTGTCCATTGATAGCGCCAGAACCCAGTCTCGAAGTGCGTCCAATGTCTCACCTTGGACACAAGCTCGTTCCAAGAGAAGCGGCTCACGGGACCAATCCGTACATTCTATATAAAGAGAACATCATTCACTTCTAGCTTAGATGATATTATCAATTTATTTAGTATCCACTTAAGCAGTAGATATTTTTTATTTCTTTTATCTTGTACTTAAGGCCGCCTTTTATTTACAAGATTTTATCTCTTGTACTTTGTATTTTATGGTATGTATTAAGAATAAAAGTAGGTAAAATTTCCGGCTACTCAATTTGTCAGTAAAATGTCAATGTCAAATGAATTCGTTCCTTTTGATTTTCTCTTACTACACACACAGGTCACACTCCTTATTATAAAGTTTTATTTTAACCGTTACGCCACTTAGCAAACATGAGATTATTTTTTTATAACTTTCATTTTATATAAAAATTCAACATTTCTATTGTAATATATTCGTGATCATTTGTCACGTTGTGTTAATATTAAATAATGGTGTAGTTCATCCGTACCGAAGTCCGTGTAATCTAGTAAATTTTGTGAATCCTCGTCGGCCGCTTCCGCCAAATCCAAGCAATGGTTGAGAATAACGAAGGCCTCCCTCGCTCCGGCATTACCTTCCTCACGTATGATTACACCAGACGCGTAGAACGCTACGGATGTTAAACGATCATACTAGTGTTTCTAATACAGATTCTATTAACTCATACAATATTGTGTCGAGAAGTATCGTATAAACTGTCTTTGCTTCAAAATACGAGAAGTTACTATAAGAAGGTGGGAGGGGTTGATTAAGTTTTTTTAAATCTCGTTTGCCCTCGTGGGGTATGGGGCAAACACAATTCTGTGTCCGTTTCACTGATCGGTTTCAGATCGGCAAGTAGATGATCAGACTTCTGTACCCTGCCTGGAGCTAAATGGTTGATTGAGATGCATTATTTAATAATTGACTCTAAAGCAAGTATAATCCATAGATTTAGCAAAAACCAAAATAGCGCACTCACCAACATCAGCCACAATAATATCGGTATAGCGCAGTAAAGCTCGTGCCGCTTTCGACGCAATCTGAGGCACGTGCAGACCCAACAATAACGTGATCGCCTAAAATATATATTTAATATTTTCCTCACAAAATGTTAATCATTTATATCGTATTTGCACCGTACTATTGTATAGGCATAGAGGTGTAATTTGAAAATATGAAGAGCATAATGTTCCTCGCCTATTCTAGAAGCCTCTACTCTGTACTAACTTGCGTCCATGTTACCACTCACTTACTATTACAAAAATATTGCTAAACTAAATTATTTAAAATTACATATTTGATATCGTACCTGAATAGCTCTGTCGTCTGCACCGGCAGCGACAAGTACATCAGCAGAGTCCACTATAGCGTTGACTGCTTTAGGAGACATTGACACCCGCACCAGTATCTCGTTGCATACAGCCTTCGCCAGATTAGCGTCAATACTCGGTACACCTTGTGCTCCATCGTCTAATATCAGGTACTGCCGCAGTGTATCTAGTACTTGTGACAGGGCTTCCGGTATGTCTGCACTTTCTATATCAACGCCTTCTAGACGCTAAGAAAAGTAATTATAAAAAAAAGAAAATAATTCAATATTATTTGTAATGACTTGTGACATGGCACGAATTATATGAATGCTTTATCAAATAACAGGTATATTTAGATAGTTTTATGGGTACGAATTTCAGAATTCCGTTCGGGTCGCGAACCGAATTCGCTAGAGATCCATTACAAATATCGGAATACTTTAATATATTTTTCTCAAACGTAGGTCATGATTTAGCAAACCAAATACCGGCAAAATACCACAAAGCCACAAGCAAACATATAGATACAAACTATTGTCTAACTGCTAATAGACCTATACTCTCTGAACTGATTGCTACTAACAAAGAAGAGGTAATGTAAATTAGTAATAAGCCTCAAATACAAGTGCTGGAATAGACGGAGTAACTACTAAAGCTGTAAGATATATTAAAGATTTGATATCAAACAATTTAGCAACGTGTATCAATAACAGTTTTTGTAGTGGGAACTTCCCGCATTCTTTGAAAGTGGCAAAAGTAAGCCCAATTTATAAAGCAGGTGATAAAATGAAACCATACCATGGATATGATTGGACTTGTAGTAATAAATTATAATTAAGAATAGTTCATAGTTTCTCAGTAAGTGATTTTGTAAATCTTAAGAGAAATAAACGTCTTAAACCCGTAAACCAGTATTTCAACTTAAGTCAATCCTATCCTGACTGAAGTAAAGTTCTGTAAGTCAAATTCATTAGTAAAACGGACAGAGAAATGTCCACCTTAGGTGAACACGGGTTGACTCATATGTATATAATATATTGCAATGCTTAAAAGCTACAGGTTTATAATTATCGTTCGCTATTCGTTTTTGAATGAAGACTTTCTGATAAAAGAAGAACGAGTAATAGAAATGTATTTACTTACTGAGTGCGTTTTGAATATGTGTGCAGCGTAACGTAACGCATAGTGCGGCGCACGCGCACCCGCATGCGCAAGGCACCGCTGCCACTGGCCAGCCGCCGCCAATCGTTCTAACGCCGAGCTTTCGACGTCTAATTCTGGCTCTCTGACCTCGACAGTAGGTTCAGATTCGTCTTCATAATCTTTTGACGTACCTATTGAAATGATTTATATATTTAATTTGAATATTAAAACATATATGATGCAAATGTATGTTTAAATATATTGGCGACCACAACGTCGCCAATATATTTAAATATATTATCAGGGCGACCAGCGCAGGCGTCGTTTTGAACACAAGTGAATCAAGAGTTCACGTGCAACTGGCGCGTTGACAAATAACAATGACTCGAATTGACAATCAACAGTTTAGACATAAAGTTCATATTTTTGAACATTTGTATTTCAATTAATCGCAAAAGAAATATAAATCAAACCTTTATTAAACTTTAGGGGCCTTTTATTTTATGAATATTTTTATTGATAATGTGAAGCTATCAGCTACTTTAAACTTATTAAAAGTGCGTGTTAAAAAAATAAGATAAATAAAGACTTTTTAAAGATAGAAATAGAAGATCACCAACCTGGAGCATCGTTCTCAACTCCCTCTAAGAGTGCGGCGCGTAATTGCTCACCAACTTCACTTTGGCCTATAGCATCAAATCTACAGAATAAAGGTTTTACTATGTAAGCATTATATAAAAAAGGACAATAATTATCAATTAGTTTTAAAAACTTATTTTTGTTATTGCACATGATGCAATAACAAAAATAGCATTACATAAATCAAAAAATGATGATGAGACGCGCAAATGTTAAGGTCGATATTACATTGCATTAGCGGTGCATGTAGTATCAATAGTTTGAAAGTTTCGACAATTAAAAGTAATACATGGTAGTTCAATTGGTTAGAGCAACAGCACGGAACGCAGTGGGTGCCTGTTCAAGTCCTGTCTATATCGTAATGTTTTTCAATCTACAAATGAAACAAAAGAAACACCGTATATAAAAAATTTAAACAGTTTTCATAAACAGAACTCCAATATCGTGAAACTTATTTAAACAAAAGCAAGTATTAACTGCGCAATAAGGGCCTGAAAATTTGCCTCAGTGACACTAGAAATGTTTTTTTATGAATGTCACGGTTTCTTCTCCAAAGACGTCTTATATACAGTAATAGACCGAACAAAGCCGTAACAGACCCTAATCGGACGCGAAATGGTGGATTTAACTTTACAATTAAATCAAGCATTTCAGCCAGCGAAAAGGCTTCGTAGGCAAATTCATTTCCACTCGCGTTAAATTGAAACCCCGTGTACACAGATATTTTAAAGACTGATTTATTTATTCATTCGCTCATTCGATACTTTATCATCACGCACATAATTTATTTTCGGCTACAACTGTACGGTCTCGTAAACGAAACGAATATTCAGCGATAAATTGCACAATTTTATAAACACATGTATACATTTTACACATTTTAAGCTCGTAAGTGTGTCTCGTGACAACCTAGTGCTTATTGCGGTTGTTTTTATATTCAGAAATACTACTACATAATGCTAGAGTTTTTTTGTTTGAATGCGCTAGTCTCAGAGGCTACTGGCTCGAAATGAAACATTATTTTTGTGTTAGTTAGACCATTTATCGAGAAAAGCTATAGAACATTACGCTGTGACTAATAAGAGCGAAGAAACAGCGGTAAATGTAAAAAAACGGGAAATATTATTCTATCTTTGTGGGTATTCGATGCGTACGCTACGAAAACGGTTTAAAATAACCAAAAAATATGTACGAAAGAATTATTTCTCTTTAAATGATAAAAAAGTTTGCGACACTATACGTCTATGTTTAAGGATTAACTTGCAAGAACGACGGGACTTGAATGACGTCGTGGGGAACAGCTTCAAATTACAAACATGAAGACGTTTGCAAAAACAAATTTGGATGCCCAAAATAACTAACCTATGCGAACAAAGTCGCTGACACAGCTAGTAATACCAATAACAGGCAATAATTGAACTTCGACACTTGTTCAGTGTGTTATAAAAATTACAAATATTTACTTCACTTTTATTTCTAATTACCTCTCAACAAGCATATCTGCAGCAGCGCGTCGTGTTTCGCCGACTAATTTGTCTCGAGCGAGGCGAGTGGCTCGCAGCGCGGCACGTTCGGCGAGGCGCGTTGCACCACCCGAGGCAGCCGCGGCGCTCGCACCGACCAAAAGTCGAACAGCTTCCCACCATTCACCCCTTATGAGTAGTTATTATTATAGTGATATTACGATTGCATTCAATTAAGATATCTTTACCAGTAAATTATATGTAGGTAATTTTATGGTGTTGGTTTTGCAGTGTTGGACTAAACTTAATAGCTGGTTTGTTACTTTTTATTGCGTTTGTGTTTAATTATTAATTCATTTAGTCTCGTAGTTCAAGTAGATTACATTCATTCAAGTAGTGTTTTAACTAACTTCATATATACATTATCTGTGAAACATTTTTAGGATCCACCTTTGTGTCATATACTTTACTCTAATTTCTTTAAAATTGTATTCTATTGGTGTTTCTTGTATAAATAATTAAATATTTTATTTTATTTTCTTGACAAACTTAACAAAACACAATACTTCATAATTTGCCTTATACTAAGCAAGTGATAAAAAAAATAAAGATATTGTCGAAACACAGAATATGGGTCGCAGAAAAATACGTCAGAAATAAAAAATAATTTGCATAATTACCGATCAGCATGATCTGCTGCTCGCTGTAGTAGCGGCGGAACAGCAGGAGGCACGGACTCCTGGCCCTCCGGTAAGTATTCACGAGACACGCGCCCAGCTTCCTCCCACAATTCTATAAGGGTCCATTACGTTATTTATTCGAATGTGATTAAATTATTAAAAAAATAAAATTTAAAGGACGTTACGAGTTACGAGTACAGATTAAAATAAAACACTTAACGGTTTTAAACGCGTAATATGCGTGTTATCTAAATTATTGAAACGTCGTGTCATATTTAAAATAATTTATTTCACATTTTACCCCGATAAAAATGTTTTATTTAAACTTGGTCTTTTCTTGTGTATATGTTTATTTCGATTCGTTTATTGCATGAATGTATTTCCTGGTCTTTACGGTAACAAGCGTTTCTTCCAGGCAACCTAAAATTTTGGAAAAACAAAATGATGTATTTGGATGACGTGTGTGATAAAAAAGACTTTTAATATTAGATAAAAAATATGATATATAAATGGGACTAGTACCGAGTAGCTTATAATGTTGGACCACGTCACGTGGTCGATTCGCTCGTATCATGAGAGTCTCGAACTGCTGCAAGTCACCGCGTTCGGCGGCTGCCCGAGCCCCCTCCACTAACACGTCCTCCACCTTATAACCATTATAAAAATTGTATTTGTCAGAGATATTTCATAAAACTAAAGCTTAAAGTTATACGCCGAGTTTTTATTTGTGATAAGTTTGTAGAAACCTACAACTATTCTAATCGTAATTTAGTTTAAATGAATGAAAAACATATAGTACATGTATGTTGTTATTCTACGCTATGAACTGCATTGACAAATATATTTATATAATGGTAAAGATCAGACGGATGTAGTCCTGCGTGTTGAAGTTGTCAAAGATATTGAATAATAGGATTAATAAATACTATTAATTTTGTAATGGAGATTATTGTAGGGACAAATTTTATATTATTGTTTAATATTTATTTATATCTTAATTAACTTTAACTTAACTTCATTATACATTTAAATTCTACTTATACTCTTAAACTGTAAGATACTACATTTATTATTAAATCTAAGCTAATTTTATTTAATATAAAACTCGTCTGTTCTTTTTCTAAAACTCTTCTAACATTAAATCTTACTCAACCTATTTTTTTATTTTATAAGCACTTATCACAAATAAATATAAAAACGAAATATTTATCGACTATAATTTGAAAAAAAAAAGACACAGGCATAAACCGGCATCCACAGCGTGCTATTGCTGCATGTGAAAAATATTAAAGTTTTCAAATGAATATCTACATATTTTAAGGAAGAGTCACTATATAATCTATAATCAATAAAAAAAACCTAACCACTGACCATATGTTTAGCGTGCTGTTCAGCTAGAACAAGCGCCCTTTGGTGATGTCCTCTAGCGAGCCACATTGTTACAGCATCTTCTGGTGCACCAGCTCTAAGGAAAGCGGCTTCTGCCTCCTCCGGCTGTTCATCAGCTAGTGCGGCTGCTTCGTGCCTTGCTATCTCACGCTTCGTTATACCACCACCAAGAGAACTCAACTCAGTTGCTATATCCCATCTGTACATCACATTTAGGGTTAGTTATAATTTGATCTTTATATAATAGAAATTAGGTTAGAAAAAACGCCCTTCAGCTTATTTAATTAATTTGTTCAAAAAAAGGAAATCTAAAAAATTGCCGTAAATGTGTATGTCTTAATATAATAACTTCTTTGCAAACCTATCTTTACATTATCTAACGTTAACCTTTGTGCTTGTAAGGCCCAGCGTGCACCAATCGAGGCGAGACCCCTAGCAGCAAGTAAACGAGCCGCAGAAGCAGCAGAAAGCGTTGCCGCCCATTGCAGCGCGGTTTGCTGCTGCACGGGGACAGGAGCGTGCGCACGGGCAACGCGTTCAGCATTTTCCCATTGACCACTATTACGGTACATTGCAATTGCGCTCTTCCAGTCATCTACACAAAAATGTTATAGTAAATCTATATAAACATTATTAATGAAGTGTAAAAGATATAATATAAATATGTCTAAAAATCAATATTATAAAGCTTAAGAGTTTGTTTGTTTGAACGTACTAATCCCAGGAAGAGCTCGTTAGAATTAAATCATTATTTTTGTGTTAGTTGGACAATTTATCAAGAAAAACTTTGGCGTATAAAACATCAAGCTTCGTGTATAAGGAGCGAAAAAATGGCGGGATAGTGTAATAAAACTGGGGAAAATATGCATCTTTGTGGGCTTCCATTGCCGGCGTTGCAAAAACGATTCAAGAAAAAAAATATGCATGAACGTTAAATTTTAAAATTGACCTAAAAGAATGTCCGCAAACTATAATTTTTAAAACCAGGGAAGTTGCTAGCAAAAACAAATAATATGATGCCTAAAATAACTCTACTCGGAGTTTGAATTCTACGGCGACAAAGTCGCGAGAACAGCTAGTAAATAAGAAACATCAAATATTTAGAAACGCACACAACATATTATATAGACATTTATAATATAAATTGATATTATCCTTACTAATATTATAAATGCGAAAGTAACTCTATCTGTCTGTTACTCTTTCACCCCAAAACTATTAAACAGATTTGAATGAAATTTGGTACACATATGGAATAGACCCTGAGAAAGGACATAGGCTTTATTGCGAAAATGGGATTGTACGGGGTTAAAGGGGGGGGGGGGTGAAAGTTTGTATGGAAATTCGTGGTTTTGGAAGCTAGAACAATGAAACTTTCTTCTTTGGCTTTTTGGGAATAGGAATAGGAATTGGGAATAGTGGGAGTGGGAGTGATTGTGAGAGTAGGAGTTAGAGTAGGAGTGATGTGAGGTGAGAGTTTTGCGGCAAAGTAGCACTTACAACATAGATTGGCTGCGATAAATGCGCAATTACATAAATTAATAAACAGCCAAAATAATTAAAAATTCTACCCCAAGTTACTACTCCACGCGAACGAAGTCGCGGGCACAGCTAGTCTATAATTATGTAAAATATTCGTAACTTACCAGCTTGTATGTAATAGTTTTCAGCAGCTCGCAGATCTCCCGCGGCGTGTAACGCTTGTGCTACATGGCGTCGCGTAGCTTCTACGAGCGAGCTACGGTGAGCAGCTACGAGGCGTAGCATCGATTCATATTGAGATGCGTCCTAAGATTTTGGTACACAAAAAATAGAAATAGAAAAAATAGAATAAATTTTAATTTCAATAAACATAATATATTGTTTTTCATCCACTTAGATCAAGAAAAAAATCGTGTTTTACGTAATCATACCTTATACATTGAAATAGCTTCATCAGGATCACCGAGTCCTATATAAATCTGCTCGGCCTTCCTCAGCTGACCGTCATCTCTTAACTGCTTTGCTAATGGTATAAAAATGTCCCGCGTCTCCTCTTCCGAAAGATGTGCTGTAGCCACACGCAAACCATCGGTTATCTTTCCAGCAGCATTGTATGCGCGTACGCATCGGTTAGCCATACCGCAGGAAATTAGGACACGTTCGGCTGTTTCCCATTCCTTGAAAAAAAGTAACACTTATTATATTAAGTAATTGGTAAACTATTTTCTAGTTAGATTTCAAAATTAGGAAAAATAACGACTAACTTCACTATGAACAAATGTACTATTAAAATAAAACATTTGCATAGTTTCGAAATATATTACTCAAATTGATTTACAAATAATTTTAACTATGGTGCGACGTACTCTCTCCGTGACCACGCCTGCTGCAGCATCCGAACCATTGGGTCGTAGTTAACATTATTTGTTAATATATATAAGTAATGTAAATGTAAGTAATATATTTCGCGTTTCAAACCGTAAAAGTTTCATAGTTTAACGTGTATTACCCGAGAAAACTACATATAGTACAAAATTTTGGCAACATTAATTTCATTACCAAGTTAAGCTAGCGAGTTTTCAGAAAGTGCACAATTACCTGGACCGTTATAAAATGCTCGCCCAGACGTTCACATTCTTCACGAATCGAATCTTTGTCAGCTATTACCTGTAAAAGAAAGAGTCTTATATTTTTTCATTCTTGTTTTTATCGCCTTATTATTTTTATTACAAACTTTGTACAATGTTCGAACAAAGTATTTTTTTGCAATATTTTCAAAGTCATTATAAGTTCAAAGGTCAGTTTTAAGTGAGTTTCGGCACTAGTTTGCTGCATCGATAAAAGTGAATTTTATATATTCAGTCGTAACATAGCTTTCAAAGGTCTATTGCCAGTGAAAGCATGAATGCGCGTTGCATAATAATTTCACACCGTAAGCTCTTAAAGGCCTTTGAATTTTAATGGAGTGTATTCGCTTTATTAGAATTTAAAGCCAGCTGGAGAGTTTGGTAGATGACCTTCTCTCGACATAATATAAGATTAACTTATGTCAACACATACAAAAAGAGGGACCTAATCCGATAAATGACAAAACAGTCGCCTACTATCGAGAGGCTATCGATGGACCAAAGAAACGCCTATCTAATTAACTATGGTCTACTAAAAAAGCCTGTAAAGAAAACCAATCAGTGAAACGAACACAGATGTATATTCGCCCCATGCCCCACGGGGGAAAAACGACCCTTTCTACTTTATTAAGATGAAAGAATTAATTTCGCTTGTAGTTATCCAAAGGTGGGAAACAATTAATATGTGTATGCTATAGGCTAAAATAGTACAGAGCTGAATGCTAAGACTCAATGATTCATATTATATATAGTCTCTGGTTATTACAAACACATACCTGAACAATCTGTAATGCTTTTTTATAGTGATGTGCCTCTATAGCTGCCGACAGGGCTTCCCTAGTAAGGCCGGCCTCTATGAGATGAGGTACAGCTGCTGCTGCCCGTCGTGTAGATACAAGCCATGCTCCCCATTCGCCCTCTAGACGAGTAACTTCCCCGGGACAAGCCTAGTGTATTAATTCTGTATTAATCTAACGTTCTCTAGTTGGTATTTTGTGCTATTTGTATAAAACGTGGTACATATATAATATTGAAAAATATAATATTTAAATAAATTAAATATGATTAAATAAAAATAAAATATAATTTATAATAAACATAGATGATTAGATATTAAGTCGCATATTAAACCTTTAAGAGTGTTTTATTTTAATTTAAGCGTTATTCGCGAAATATAGCGGAGTTGTTCGTGGTGATTAAGGGCGGACAAGTACTTACTTCCCTCGCGAGCTGCACCGCCCTGGCGTAGTTATTGCCTCTCGCGTAGTACTCAACCGCTGTTTTATTGTCTCCACGCCTCTCCGATATCTCACCGGCCATTTCCCACCATTCCTCCTGACAATTTTAAAACATATTTTTAGACTGTACTTCGGTCCCTTTTTTGTTAATGGTTTTATTTAAAATGTACGAGTTTATTTAGAGCATGGTATATTTATTTACTTTTTTACGCATTGTACGCTGAGTTTTACGAGTTCTTGCTAACTAAGTCATAACATTTAAACATAAAAGTGTTTATAATATGTTCAGCAATGCAACTGTTTTTCTGTAATCTCACTTACTGAACTTATTATTCTTCTCAAAAGTTCTGGGAAAAAAGGAAGCAACGAAAACTTTAAAAAATTAAATTATCGGAATTTAATAATAATATTTTTATAAGCTATTAGGGTCGTAAGTAACAGTTAGTAACTATAATAATAATTTAACCGAATTTACAATTTAAGACCTTGGTATCCATGGACGGTAGTGGTGGTGGTGGATTTTGTTTCATCCATTTAATGTCCAGAAAACGATACCATCTGTAGTTTAAGGAGTAGTCCACATTTAAATAGAACACTCTTAGTGATTGAAAACTGTAAATGACTGGCCTTAGTTAACATAAATTGTAAAGAAGGTGAGGTTTGACCTGACTGAGAAGAGACCATTTGTGGTTTTCCAAATATCCAAAGACAATATGACTAAGGCATTTTATCTATCATCTATGCTCATCCCATGAGGAGGAATCTCTTAAAAAACGTAGGGGAAATCTGACCTCCGACCCCTTTTATATAGCCACAATGATACATTACTATTAGTAGAAAAATGAGGCTGTCGAAAACAGTCTCGTTGCTAGACAGTATACTTATATATCTCATCTAGTCTACCCGCCTGCACAAGTTGATCGTGCACAGCATGTAACAGCTCGTCATCGCGTAACAAAGCCGGGTGCTGTAGCATCGCGGTCGCCGCGCGTCTCGCCCGCCCAGCGAGTATCCAGACCTTGATCGCACCGCGAACGTCACCGCTCGCCGCTAGTACTGCGCCCACTTCTCCTTTACGACCTTTACACCAATAAACCTACCATTACAAACTATAATTTGTAACACGTATGTAATAAGTGTAACACTAACTTTAATGCTGTGATTGAATTAAAAATCTATTTGGATTGAAAAATATGAACCGACATCCACAGCTTTTACAATTAAAAGTTATATATCTTTGTGGCTTTTTAAAGAAACGGAATATATGTCTGTGGAATTCCTTTAAGATTAATATTCTTATTTAAATGATTAAAAAAAATGTCGACAAAAATATACATATATCTTTAACTTGCAAGAACGACGGCACAAGTACGATGTGGGTAACAGCTATTATTTATAGACCTAAGGAGGTTGCAAAAATAAATAATATGACACTCAAGATAACTATTCCACAGGAGCGAAGTCGTGGACACAGCTAGCTAAAGGAATAAATAAAATAACGAAAACTAATAAATGTCATAAATATGCCTGCTTTCCCCAACTTCCTCTAATAGATATAACCTACCAGTGGAATTCAAATAATCCATATATTGTTGTTTTAACGCTGGAACAGAGGCTCTGTCAATTCTTTCAGCCAGTGTTATAGCTTCTGTCCACTTATTAAATTGCTTGTACATATTGATAGCCATTTCGGGATGGTTTGCTCTTCTCACATACCACTCCTCCGCTGTCGTTAGATCGCCCGAAAATATGGCGAGTTTCGCTTGTACTAACGGATTTCTTAAGCCTGAAAGATTTCTTTCTACTACAGGTACTAAAAATAAACATCATAAATACTAACATGGTATATAATTAGTAATAACAGTGTATATTTATATGCCAGCAACTGGGCTGGCGTTGTAATTGTCCATTAAATAAATTCTTATGACCTTATCTATCATTAAAGGCATTTCTTTTTATTATGGAATAAAATAATAAAAATTCAGACAATACCAACCAGTAGTAATATCCCCTCCACCTTCAGAAGCCGCTAACTGGACAACGCTATCCAGATAAAAGGATCTCGCCTCGTCACCCAAACCTTGATAGCATTTTACTGCCAGCTAGAAAACATGAAAGGTTCTAACAAGAGGACACAGCAATTTAAGAAAATGATTTTAATTTATCTTAAACAAGGAACATACTAAGATTTTTATTCAACTTTTAAATATTTAAGTTTCCAATATAACGAACATAAGTTCGTTACGTACGTATACGTACGTAATACGTAAATGCAAACGTGTTGGTCATACGTTATTTTAATTTTTACAAGCATAAAGAGAAAGAAAACAAATATATTTCAAACTCTTACAATAAGAAACTTCGCGGTCACACATTCAATATCTAAGTAAGTTTAATAAAACATAATATCAATTAAGATTTTAAAAATTTACGACTTTAACCGGCATCCACTGCGACAGGTATATTAACATTACAGGTAAACTATTATTGAAAGGGTGAAAGCAATCTAGACGAAAGTGCAGTCAACTTTCTTTCAAGCTATCTTAATTTAAAATGCAATATAGAAACCTGAATATCTTGCTTATCCAGAGCTTTTTCAGCAAGCTGTCGCCACAGGGACGCCACATCAGCACTCGTATTGACAGACTCAAGATATTGCGCACAACCCGACAAGTCACCATTTCGTAGAGCATTATCTAGAGAAGTTATACTTATCAAAATAGTAAGCACAAAACATTTGCAAATATAGGCAAGACAAGTTCAGATTGCTTCGCTCCTATGGCAATTTAATAAACCAAACCAAGCGTAAGACTTTACAGATATACCTTATAAGCAAAAGGAATGTAGACAATTTTTGGAGCAATATGAATGGGTGAAAAATCGACTACTTTTAACTAACGAGATACAAATACAAGAATCAAATGTATTATTTTCTTAATTGGAGCGTAAAAGGAAGATCAAAAAGCAAATATGTTTTCAAAACATTTATATTTTTAATGTGGGGTAAGGAAATTTCATCGACTAATTAAAATCAATAGGATGAATTATAAACGAAATAAGTACCCACATATGGTTTAAAACCGAATATTTGAACGTGACGTAATGTTTTTAAAATGGCTGAGCGAGTAGCTCAATCACTATAAATTTTTACGTTCAATGAGCACAAAATGTATTGTTTACCACAATTGGGCGCATAAAAGACATTTTAATAGCGACGTTAACAAAGGCCATCAACAGGTGGCTCATCACACCGAGGCAAGCATTTATGTTCGCGTAAGATAGTAAAAGTGCTCTCCATGATCATAGAAATGCTCAGCTGCTTCTATTGGTAGATTGATATGGAAAATCAGGGGAGCTTTGACGAAGTTGTTGTAGTATATAATATGGATTTTTTTTAGCTGTATTTGTTCCTTTTTTTTACTTTTAGATTCGCATGTATATGTAAAATTAAAAAAAACTGTATATTATAGTGTTGCAGCTGATAAATAATGACTATTTGGTTCAAATTTGTGACTCTTTAATTATTAATGTTCGAGTAACTTTCTTAGAGTTGTGACACTTTGATATTATTAACACAGGCAGTGGCACAGCTTTGTAATTCGATTTTTAAATTGAGAATACAATAAAATATATGAAAATAATGATGTCAATTCCAACTTCTAGAATTTGTTTCAGTTAACGCCGTTCTTGATACACATTGTATCCAATCTACTCTAGCCACTAGACCATAAAGTGACCGAAATAATTCCACCAGAGAGTCATTATGAAAGCCAAACAAAACGATTCGTATCACGTAACAATAATAATGTAATTAACGGTAATTCGAGCGGAACATTAATTAATGTTGTACCGTAATAATTAAAGGTTATAATTTCACAATCCCCAAGTTACCTTGACACGGTAATGTTAAACTTAATTGATCCGCTTCTACTGATCACAATTTGTAACCATTTGACTAGAAATTCTCAGAAGCCGTTGTTATAGCTTCATGCTGTTTTTTACGAAATTGAAGTACATATTTAAATGGAACACTGTAACGGCTTAAACGCGATATATATTAGTTAAACCTATTTAAAAAATATTTTTAACTTCGGCCCGACGTTTCGGATGCTTTGTAGCAGCTGTGGTCGCGTGGAGACACGTGATCTCCCCATTACCATTACCGTGTTACCAATTATAATATTTTTTACTTATATATGTCGCGTTTGAAACCGTTAAAGTGTTTTATTGAAATGTGCACTTCTCGCGTAAAGTACAGACAGCTAATATTATTATGTATTTAAGATATGCCTTACTAAAAGCAAGTCTATGCTCATCGAGAGTCACGTAGGGCAGATGTCCGCCTTCAAGGGAAACTTTCCTGTCGATTACCTCCACCACCGTCCCCCCTCCACACTCGCACATTTCAACACAGTTCGCCTCCCAGCCACTGTACCTATAAAAAATTATTAACTTTCATCGTCCGCATTATAAAACTTCGATCTAGGTAGTCCTAGATCGAAGTTTTGTACGCTGATCGCCTCTGTAGCTAATTGGTTAAACGTGTTGGATTAGATCAAAATTCAAATGATCAACTACTTGCCTGTAAATAAAATAGATTAGTAAAACGGACACAGAAATGTGTGTGTGCTATGTCGACGGGGGCCAACGGGTTTCAATTTAGGACTAATAACAGTATTAGTAATTATTTAGTTCTGTCATATTTAATTAAACTACTGTTTTTTAATAGACATCACTCTATTATATGTCATTTGATTTTGTTAAGCTATTTCATATAAGATTTTTTTTAAATTTCGCCATACATTCATGATTTAGTTTAAAAAGACAAAGAGAGAAGACCAAACACAAAACTTTCCTGAATTGATTCTTACATTCAAACTTTTGCACAAATAAATCTCTCAAGCCGAGTTTAATCTACAACTCTTAGATATTTATATTAAACACCATTTTGAAGTTCTATTATCTATCTACGCCGTATTACAGTTTTTAATTAATGACGAAAAGTTCTGGTCCTTCGAGCAGGATGAAAACGTGTATTTACATTTACATTTTACTTTCTTACCAAATTAACAAATGTGTGGGCGTCTGAGCCACGACTGCATCACTATTCTCTATCCACTGGACGAAACTGACTCCGCTTGCTATTATTTCCTGAAAGTTTTTTATTAATATTCATTATAAATAGATGTTGAATACTCGGCCGTGAATAGCGAATAGAACTAATCAGGGACACTATGACGTTATGCCTCTAGTAATGGGCTACGGGTAAACAGACTAACACGTTGTATAAATTAGTTTTAAACAACAATTAAACTAATTAAGACATCGGTATCATTTTTCCTTAGATTATTTAGCATATTCTTTTTCGGGCTGTTCGGCCGACGTCAGCGAGAAGGGGTTCTCGAGGTATCGAGGTAGGAGTTGTTGTTAGGTCACCGATTGCTCGAAGAATTAATTCTTGTTAAATTTAAAATGTTGACAAAATTTAAAAGCCATAATATTTCCCCGTGACTACGGCTGCTTTAAAGCATGCGAAACGTCGGGCCGTGGTAAAAAATAATTTCAAATACGTTTAACTAATATATATCGCGTTTAAAACCGTTAAAGTGTTTTATTTGAAATAAAGCAGGTAAACCTTTCTTATATTACTTAACTGTGGTTCACCTGCCATCACGAGAGCCCCATGCTTATCTGTCCTCTAACATAAAGGACATTGTGATTGACACTGATTTAATCCTTCTAATTCTTTGTCTCATGGTCTACCTTATCGCCTGTATCCACACGCAGTAGCGCGAGTCGTCGCCTGGTGTCCCGAAGTAATAACAAATGTCCGCTCTCATTAAGCTCCAGCCAATCGATCCGAGCCTCGTGCCACCAATGACCTAACTGTGTACCTGGCAAGTTGCGAAATGGGGAATCGTTATTATTCGATTAGGTAAATGAGGTTACATGGGCCCTTTGTACTGGCAATTTTAAGGTTAGTCTAAAAACTTGATAATGTTGGTACATAGAAGTCGACAGTGCATCTCGTTTAGATATTTTATGGCTGGGGTATTTTACCTATCATGTGAACGCCATGTTCTTTTGTATCAATAAATATTAATAGTATTTATTAAAGTTTTTAAGTTGGTTTGCTGTTTGCTAATTTTAAGTAATAAAAGAGTTAATAAATTATAATTCATCAAAGTTTACACAAACAATTATTACGTATTAATTGAAATGAATACTTTTAACGCGAAATGTATTACTGAACATAATTAAAAGTTACATTAAACTTAAATTAAGACTAACTACTTTCGAATGCGTTGCAAAGCATTCGAATGACTTATAACGGTTTAAAGGGTGAAATATATTAGATCAGCTACTTTTAACTAATACCGATCAGATGAAACCGATACTTGAAATGATATTATTAATATTTATGTTATTAACTAGCTGTGCCCGCGACTTCGTCCGCGTGAAATAGGGAATTGGGGTAGAATTTTTAATTATTGAAGCTGTTTATTAATTTATGTAATGGCGCATTTAAGGCAGCCAATCTATGGTAAGTGGTTCTTTGCTGCAACACTCTTACCTCACATCACTCCCACGCCCACGCACACCCCTACTCCAACACCCACTCTTATTCCCAAAAAGCCCAAGAAGAAAGTTTCATTGTTCTAGCTTCAAAAACCAGGAATTTCCATACTAACTTTCATCCCCTTTTTCAACCCCTATCAACCCTTCTTTGGCATAAAAGTAGTCCTATGTCCTTTCTCAGGCTCTAAAATATCAATTCAAACACCAAATTTCATTTCAACCAGTTCACTAGTTTCGGAGTTAAACCCGGACAGACAGACAGTTACTTTCGCATTTATAATATTAGTAAGGATGTACGATAGAACTGTAAGCATATTTGATTAGTGCTCATAGATTAACAAGGAAAAAAGCACTTAGTTCCGTTGTAGTTTTTATTGTAATTTCTATCATGTTTGTAGAAAACATCTTCTTACCAGTTACCAGGTCTACGACAGCAAGTGTTTGCCTATCGAGTAAGTACGCGAGATGCTTGCGATTATCGCTGTGATCTCTTTCGTTGATGCGCACGCTCAACACGTGCGGATTGACCCGTTCTGTGCGTACCTGTATATTCATTGAAAAGAGGTATAAACAGTCCAGTGCTCTCAACCTCACCCCGGCCAAAAAGTATGGTTCCAAGCTGAAGAGTTTATTTGTTCGAATAAGCTAATCTCAGGAACGAATGGTTATGCCTGTGTTGGCTAAAGTATTCATTGAGAAAGACTTTAGGACTTAACATCAGGCAATAACTATTACAAGAGAAAAAACAGGGAAAATTGTTCATAGTGCGTGTGTTGCGACAACGGTTCAAGGTACCCATAAAAAATATGTCCTACTTCAAATAATCTAAAAAAATGTCCTGGACAGTTTATGTATGTCTACCTTTTAAGAATAACTCACAAGAGCCATATTTATGGTTTGTCAAGTCATCTAATAAGCTGGTTTTACCGTATGCAGAACTTTGTCCAAGCCATATTCGACAACGCTGAGCTCCCCGGCCCGGTGTAACAGACACGCACCGCCCACCGCAGCGTATATCCGCTCGCCCGTTCCAGACCAGGATATCTATACATACAAAAAAACATAGTTCTTTCCCTAAAAAAATATATAAATTTCAAACTGCGTCTGTGCCTCAACGTTCAGACATTACTGATCAATTACTTGCCGGAAAATAATACCAATCAGTGAAACGGACGCAAGAGTGTGTCTGCTTCGTGCCAACGCATCTTTTAATGGGATTTTTTGCATGTGTTTATCGGTCAAAAAATACGAAATAAGCATATGCTTAACTAATATAAGTATATGTAATTCTAACTAAAGTTTCGGAAGCTTTAAAATAGTTGTTTTACATACAAAAATCAATAAAGATACAATTGGCAATTGATGCTTTCATTCAGACTTAGTAGAACAGATTTAACGATTAACGAAATATGCGGGAGAAATTATTAAGGAGCTTAAGTGGAGTTAAATACTTTTAACATAAGGAAAAGCAAAACTCACTTCGCTGGTCAATCCACGGGCTATATCGCAAAGTATCAATGTGCTAGCTGTTCGGCAGACCGCGTACCAATCGTGGCCTGGAAGATCAAGTTATTGATCACCGTGTCTTGCCTAAATCCTTTTTATTTTCCTTAGAGGGGGACAGGCAAGCATTGGTTTCACTGGATGGTAGGTGGTATATAACATATAAACAAGATATTCGGAAATCCACAGACTGAAACCGAAACGCGACGAACAGGATTTTTCATCTGTGGAAGTCGATTCGAGACCCAGGCGAAACTTTCAATATTCCCACTACCCCCTACATTTCCAAGGGGAAGACCAACAGGTTAAAAATTATAAATTGATTATAAACATGTTTGATCCGGTGGGAATCAAATCCACGACCCTTGATTATAAGCCTTATATTGCTACTATTACATCAACGAGCCTGCTAATGGCAGCGTCTTACTTGGTTTGCGCCTCTGGTTCTGAGCTTACCTGATAGAAACAGATTCGTATATGGTAAATCACATTTCCCGTAAGTGGACACAAGTCGCAGCGCCCGGTTAAAAAAAGGTGTGGTCCCGTCCCAGTCGAAAATGGAAGAAGACGCGATGGAATTGGTCGTGCGATGGAGATGGATTGGATTAGATTTCGGATTGTCCAAAGCCAAATCAGGTCTATAATACATATTTTTTTGATGTTATATGACTTGGTTCCTTCCACCATGTGATCCCCATGCCTATATCCATGCTTTTATAATTTGCTATAAGAGGGTAAAAAAGTGAGGCCCACGCCGTAGATGGAAAAAATTATGTAATTAAGGTAAGTTAAAGAATCTACCTATAAATTTGACTGTAAATATGTCTCCGTGCCTAGATGTAACAGTAAGAGTTGGCGCGTCTCCCACGAGCCTTTTCAGAAGCAGCTGCCTCGCGCTCACGTGCTGCACCTCGACTGATTCGCGCCAAACCCAACATCTTAAAATAATATCTGAATATAATTATATGTAAAGGATAACATCTAACACTACTTATATAGAAACATACAAGGAGGTTTACAATTAATTTTAGTTGTAAGTTATGAATTAAAATTTTATAAATGTGCCGTTGAAACATATTAAGTAAGAATTAGGTAAGCAAGAAAACTGTCTTAACAAGAATATTCACGAGGTTTCGGTACAAGTACATCAATTCAACGAGAGACATGAAATTTTCGTACCAGAATAAATGAGGTCAGACAGTACACAGTACAACAGTAGTTGATCAGACTTCCGAGCTGTGCCCGACCGAAACAATCGATTATTTAAGTAGGATTCAAACCCGGACACATTAGTGCTTAAAGCAATACTAAGCAACACGATTTACCATTGCATTACGGAGCATTTATTATGCAATCAACTTATTTTTTATGTAACATTTTAAAAACTACTCTATGTAACCAGTAATATCAAAATAATGCTAAATATGCACAAAAAAAATGACCGCTTACTTAAGCACAGCTTCTAATACAATGACAGCGCCTGTCTGCGAAGTAAGAGCCAGCTTAGTACCATCACCGCTCCACGCAAGCCCTCGCGTTGCATACATGTTGGGTAGGCTAACAGGCGAGAACTCAACAGTACCAGATTCCTTCACTTCACCGATAAGACAGCCGTCGAAAATACCGAATGCGACAGTCTAAGGATAAAACTTCAGTTTAGTGTTCTTTAACATTTAGTTTAGGTACATCTAACACCAGATTAAAATTAATTTAATGTGTCTTATTGTTAATATAATTAATATATAAAAAATGAAAGTGTTATAATCGAAACTTTTAATCGAAGAAATATTTATAAAATCTTGAGTCGTAGTGAATATGAAAAATAGTACACAAAACATAAAAGTGGTCTAAAACTTATGTTGTTTATTAAATATATTATTTTCTAAATCAAACACTTTTTAACCGTTTAAAACACAAAATGTATACTAATTTACAATTAATTTTATTACGGCTAGACGTTTCGGATGCTCTCAGCAGCCGTGGTCTAGGGGGAAGTGAAAAAGGAGATGTCCCTAATGTCAAAGTCAAATCTGCTACACTAGCGCCATCTTTGTCCTCGTAGTTTGTATTTAAAGAAATCCAAGTTAAAAAGGTTTTTTACTTAAATGTGTACTACTCGCGCAAACTAGAGACATTACTCAAAAATATTTTCTTAATATAACATATTAGATAAAAATACAAAGGGCCTGTTAGAACTGAAAACAATAGGTTCTCTACGTTTCGCTTGAAAATTTGACCTGACAATTAATATTTATTATATTATTGTGTGTGTGGGGTGCGTGTGTTTGTATGTTCAGGTTTAGTTATTTAAGTTATAATGAACTCACCTGACCTGAAGGATTAGGGATTGCCGATATAAAATCCTTCTTATCTGGTGGTAGAGTAGGTTCAATGTTCCTCAGCATTATGCCTTTTTGAGCATCGTACACCGTTACTCTACCATCGCAGGCACCAACAAGAAGCTAAAGAAGAAAACAAATGATTGATGACCATGCTTTTATATCAATAACTAGCTGTGTCCGCGACATTGCCCGCTTAAATAGTTATTTTGGGCATCAAAACTGTTTTTGCAAATCTCCTTTACAAATTACAGCTGATACCCAGACTTCGTCCGCGTCCCGTCTTTCTTGCAAGTTAATCGTTAAAAATAGACATATTTTTGGTGTCTTGAACTTTGTAGCGTACGCAAAGCAACCCCTTAAAGACGTAAAATTTTCCCTGTTTTATCCTTATTTTCCGCTGTTTCTTCGCTCTTAGAAATTGCATCGTGGAAGAAAATTTTCAATTCGAACCTGCACTTTCTGAGATTAGCGCGTTCAAACAAACAAACTCTTCAGCTTCATATATTAGTATAGATTATTCATGGAAAATACTTACGTAGGGAGTAAGTAAGACGAGTGAGGTAGGCGGAAGAGTGTAACGTAAAAGGAGACGACCGTTAACGTAGATGGTACCATCGATATGGCCCGACGCTAGAGTTGCATCCTGGCTGCGCGCGAGAGACACACAGCACGACCCGACAGACCAAAGACTTGAACTCTTGTTGCTCTTACAATCTAGCAACCTATTAAAATATTATTGTCAATATTTTAATAGGTTGCTCTACTAAATATTGTAATAAAAATAAAAAAATGTACTAAACATTGTAATAAAAATAAAAAAATGTTTTTTTTTTAATGATAAGGCAAGATTCGCTGTCAACCAATTTTTGGTTTGGATATTCGGAAATCCACAGACTGAAACCAAAACGCGTATAAGCTTTTTATCTGCGACGACGGTTCGTGACCCGGAAGGAATTTCTATATTTCCACCCATTTAATATCCAGGTTTCCAAACAAAGTTCAGCAAGTTTCAGAATTAATAAGAAACATTTTGGATCTGGGGGATCGAACCCACGACCCCTTATTATTGATAATTAGCCATAGCTTGTCTTTCATTGTACCAACATTACCAACATAATTAGACCAACGAGCCCTTAAAATTTTGTGGTACTAAACGAGTTAAAAGATTTTAATACGCCTTATTGTGAAAGATCTTGAGTTCAAAATATTCATCTTACCGTGGTGAAGAATATATTATTATGATTTAGATATAAAGGCGAAATGCAATCACTACGAGTATGTATTCGATTTCTTCATAAGTATGTATAAACCGAAAAAAAATCACTAAAAATACTGTAGGTAGGTAAGTATATAAAAATTTTCACGAAATTTAATGTTTTTTTAATTAAGTAACATTCACAAGGGGTACAAGCTTACAAAAAAACTAAATACCTACGAAATTTATATACACAAAAACGGAAGCCAAACATTAATAATGGACCTTATTTTTCCATCGCTGGTCCCAGTAAAAAAACCATTTTCGGCGGGCAATAGATGCAACGGCACTCCAGTCAATGGAAATTTATTACAGATCACTTTCTTTCCACTCCAGTCGGCACCCACGCGATAAACGAATACCATATTGTCACTTTGCGCCACCCCAAGCAGTTCTGAATTTTCGCTGAACATTATACCTGAATGATCAAAATAAGAATTAAACATGCTAAATTTGACCACTAAATAACGCACTGCGTTGTGGTAAGAGAGTCTTATATTTAAGTCGTGATGAACTAAATAAATTGTTGTGGTCAGTTGGAGCTGACAAAGCTGATCTTATAAATTGCTTAATGAAGCAGATACGGTCAGCCCGATCTCCTATGTGGGAATCGGACCTTCCCAAATCCCAATTCAACCAACTATTTCAAAGGCAAACTATGACTACCACTGACTAAATACTACCAAATTCTTATTCAATTTTTACACCTTATTTTGATTACCATGAAGCTGTATTTTCATGAATAGCTCTGTTTTATTTCTTTATATAGCAAAAGAAAACAAACAGATACATTACACAAGTAGCTAAGGAATAACAATAAGGAATGAGGTTAAAAGATTTTATATTTGATTATTGATTTTATATTATTGATTAGATACACAACAATTATGTGTGAAAATTCTCAACAACAGCAGCGAGTATGTCCATTTGATAAATCACAAATTATATTATATATATATAGCACATACTTACTATTAATTATATACGATCTCTTCCCAGCACTAGGATCTGCTGGTTTAGTACTAAATTTATCGCGACGCGTCCCATCGCGATCAAACAAATAAACAAGACGCTCGCTGGTCGCTACTGCTAATTTCGCATTATTCGGAGACCAACTTATAGCTGCTATGGGACTATCGGAATCCTAAAATGATTAAGAAGAACACATAATATTTAATATTTGCAGAAAAATCCTATTCCAACTAATCTTCTTTTCTTTTTTGTTCGTAATTTATTCACTGACATGTGCTTCTAATATCGTCTTATAATATTTTAGCCGCATTTTATCTACGTATTCTACGTTACAATTTCCTTATTATCCTTATACATATGACAATATAATTATTCCTTGCTGTTTGTTATTTTATTATTCTCTGTTGATTGTTTTGGTAAATAGTATCCAGGCAACGGCATATTTTCAAATAGCCCGCCAACCACCATTTTGTCACATATAAATTGTAAAAAGTACAGACCAAATAATTAGGGTACACCGTTTCCACAGTGTAAAACTGTTACTCTTGTATTTTTAGAAAGTGTACATGTTTAATGAATTCTATTTGCAAATAGGCTGAGTACATAATATAATGCATAACTCATGCAGTTTTTAGAAATAAGAAATAATATGTAAGCTTTAAGTAATATGTAAGTAATAATATTATAGGACATTCTAGAAGTATTATTTACGGATGGGCAACTAATTTGAAGCTTTAAAAAAATGAAATGGTCACACTGACAGTTAGCTGTCACGTCAAACCATAGAGATTTTGCTCCAAAATTGTCAAAGTCTTTTCAATAGTGTTTCGTGTTTGTGAAGACGTTTTAAGGTTAGCACATTTTAAATCGTTTTAAATCGAACATTGTGTGGTGTTAATCTAACAGTGAAGAAATAAAATATTATTCAATATACGAATTAGTTTCTGTTTTCATAATGCGTTTTGATAATACTGCATATCATAATTGTTTACATAAAATGAATGAGTGTCGGCATAAGTAATACTTCACTACCGTATTTCTGATGTAAGTAATTTTTTTATTATATATTTCAGGACGTCATGCCGTTCGCGCGTTACGTAGAAACAGGGCGTGTAGCCCTGGTAGCTGATGGGTCATTGAAAGGAAAACTTGTCAGCATTGTAGATGTCATTGACCAAACTCGTGTATTAGTTGATGGACCAGGCAGTGGTGTTCCCCGCCAGAAGATCCGTCTGAATCAGTTACATCTTACGAAATTCCGTTTAAGCTTCCCATTCACAGCTCCTACACGGATCGTGAGAAAAGCGTGGACAGACGCCAAGCTCGACGAGAAATGGGCTGCAAGCCAGTGGGCTCAGAAACTTGCAAACAAAGAAAAACGCGCACAGATGACTGACTACGACAGGTTCAAGCTAACTTCAGCAAGAGTTAAGCGAAACCGCGCAAGAACAGCCTGCTTCAAGAGTCTTAAAACAAAGGCGGCGCGTACTGGCGCCTTTGGAAAGAGGAATATCCCTAAATCAAAACCCAAGAAGCCCCGTACAAAGAAAGCACCAGCCGCCAAACCAGCAAAGAAGTAATTCTAGTTTTGTGCCCTAAATAACATGTGTTAATTTGTGCAGGACATTCAAAATAAAGAATTACTTTAAGCTAAAATATTGTTATATTGATATTTTTACAATCAAATTCCCTTTTTTAATGCATAAGGTGAGTATTTTGAATTCATATTACTATATGGTTATTTTATTTCACTTATAATCTTTTATTTTGCAGGTGAAGCCGTTCTAGTGGAATTAGTGAGAGGTATGTTCATAACCTCTTATTTAATTTATAACAATATGATATATTTAGTAAGCATCTTATTTTATTAATGATGATTTGAATATAGTCTCGTTCGTATGAAATTCCTTGATTTCAATATTTACCAAAATTAACTGAACACCTTTTTCATTTTTATATAACCTATAACAATATGTCATATGATATAACTTTACCATTGTTGTTTTAGATGTAAGAGAGGTGTGTCATCATGTTCATAAAGCTGGGTAAGTCAAGATTAAGTATAATTTAATATTAGCAATAATTCTATAAAAATCGGAGGAGATATTATGATGACTTTAAAAATAGTCTCGTTCGTATGAAATTCTTTGATTTCAACATATACCAAATTTTACTGATACTATTACTTTTATTGAAACTAGTCTATTAGTATCAGTACCAGGTTTAATTTGATGTCTATTTTTAGGTGGACGGATGGAATGGATTAACAAAAAATATCTACAAGATAAATATTGTGTAAGTATTAATAACGTTTATGCATTTTAATGTTGTACACCCTACCAAAGCCGATGTGTGTTTGGCTATATCTAGCATGCTTGACTCTGGATAGGAACAGTGACACAGCCTGTGTAAGATTTACAGCTAATTACTATAGCTGTATTTCCAAGGGATGTCTGTTACATACACAATCTTATTCAAAGCGAATGCATACCTACTAAATTTTCCCTCATTAATGAAAGTATTTTTTGTTACAGGAAACCAACAATGTAACACAGTTTCTCCAGGAAATGTAAGCATTAAGGAATCTATTATTATTATTTGGACCCTACCAAAGCCGATGTGTGCATAGCAATATCTAGCATGCTTGACTCTGGATAGGAACATTGATACAGTCTGTGTAAGATTTACAGTTATTATAGCTGTATTTCCAAGGGTTGAGTGTGACACTGTTTTACATATAATATTTCTCAAATGATGTCTCGAAATTTTTTGCTAATAACAATTTTTTTTTTAGGTCAACAAACCAGAGAGTGCGTATTATTTAATATCATGTAAGTATACAACAATTCTATAAGTCTATATACAAAAATGTGTGGTAATGGTTTTATTTCTTATGATGATTAAGATATCGCCCCAGTCAGAATTAAATTGTTGATTGATTGTTACTGATTTCTTTTAAGACACTAATGTGTATGATAGCAAAAAGAAGGCATTTCTAAATTACATTCTCATTTCAGATGTGCCCTACTTATGCTGCATAATAGAGACAATCAATTCAACAAGACAAACTTGTAAGTATTGTCAATTAACATTTTAACATTATTTAATCCATTTATTATGATGATTTAGATATCGCCCCAGTCAGAAGTTATTTGTTGATTGATTTTTTCTGATTTGATATTTAAAAACTAAACTTGGAAGATTAAATTTTGATGTATATTTCAATTTTTTTTTTCTTTTACAGTATTTCAAGCATGATGATACAAAACCTTATTTAAATATACAAGACAACATAAATCTGTAAGTATCCTGGAATTAAAATTAATGTTATCTTTTATAAGTATGATTAGTAAATGTCTTTATGATGATTTTGATATCGCCCCAGTCAGAATAAATTTGTTGATTGATTGTCCTGATTTAAACTGTATAACAGGCATTGTTGTTTTCACATTAAACTGAAAACATTAACATTTGACTTATATTTCTAGATGCTAATCAAGTAAGCAGAATATGACAGCACTCCCCTACAAATAAAGTGAGTTCAAAAAATATTTATTTTAAACATTAAGGAACAATTTCTACAAATGATGATACTGTTATCGCCCCAGTCTGAAATTTTGTGTTGAACGATTTCCTGATTAACACAATTTTCTTAAAAACTTTGTTTTGTATTGTAAATATGTATAACAATTTTTTTTCTAAATTTCAGATATACATCAAAATGATTGGTCCAGTTCTAAGAGTCTTTATAATGTAAGTTGGATATAATCTATTTTATTTTTGCTCCTTAACATCTGTCTTAATTTTGAATGACTCCTTTATTTTGCTGACATTAAAATATTGCCAACATGATGTTTTATACAAGCATATATCATAGACCTATAGACCTTTGATGATAAATTTTTACTGATTTTCAATACAATCTGTAATAATATCTAAGTAATAACAACTGGCAAACAATAATCGTTTTTCCCATTTTCAGGTGTGTCCCTATTCATCATTCAAAGTTTTAAGGTTAGTCTCACTCTTTTTTCACTAGAGTTACGGAACTTTTCTATGATGATTATCATAGTTATCCCTGTCTCACAAAACCGTGGGGAAAATATGGTTTGGTAATATCTGATGCAAAAAGAATAAATCGCAGTATAATTACATTAATTTGTGTATTCAAAAATGCCTTTCTTTTACAGAATTTCATAGTATACACTGCCAGTGACTACTCTACCAAAGAAGAAATTTCTAAAGGTATAAAATCCCCAATTGTTTGAATTAAATTCAACTGTAATTTTCTATTCTCTTTACTTAATTTCATTAGTTATTAAATCTGTTGTATATACATCTATCCACATCCTATCGACCCTTATTATTATTTTCTATCGGGGACACCCTTGACAGGACGGGTGGGTGATCAGTCCACGTTATTCGCTGACCATTTCACCCATTTCCTCCTTACAGAGGTTTTGGCCTATCGACCCTTAATAATTTGATCTCAAAATGATGATTATCATAGTTATCCCTGTCTCACAAAATCGTGGGGAAAATATGGTTTGGTAATATCTGAAAAAAAAAAATTGCGCCATAAAATACTTTATATCAAAAACTGGCAAAAAATGTATTTTATTTATTTATTTTTCAGATACAGTTCCGTGCTGCACCTGCTCTTCCCTTATTTGAATGTACGTAATCTTTAAAAACTTTAATTTCTTGCACATGATGTCATTATATAAATTAGAAATGTTATACACTTGAACCGGCATTCTGTGCTAATGCTTTAACCTGTAATTCTCTTTGGAGAACATGGTGGTAGCTCAATTGGGTTTTAAGTAACCAAAAAATGATGATTTATTATAGACAAGCATATATCTAAAATATTATTGAAGAAATACTTTTTCTGACTATGACAAAACATTTTTCTGTCTTATTTACATAAAAGTATACTGTTTCTTATAAGTGTCTCTTTCGCAGGTACCTATGCAGGTTCGGAAGTCTTTTGCTTTTTCTTTTCAAATAAACAACTACTAAATATGTTTTTTTGTTTTATTTTTAAAGATGCTACCAAATTTGTTCAAAAGGCACTGATGAAAGCATTATATATCACTTGATATTATATACCTACAACAGAACTTTTTGTCAAAACGTCATTATGGCGATATTGCCGATAAATATTTAAATTCCCACGAAATACAACAAAACTAATACAGTTTACCACAAAAACCACTTCCATAGTAAAATTCTACTTGCCAATGTTTATACAGCAGTTTTATTCATTCTACGGTCGCAAGTGGTTAAAGTACTATCATTGGCTTAACAATTATTGTACTAAAAAATGCAGTATATTTTGCTTATTGAATTAGAATCAACTCGAGAAACAACATGCCAAATAAAGGTATTTTATTGTATTCGTTATAAAAGGGTTATTTTGTTTTTTAATAATTCGAAATACACATCAAACATAATTATAGTATATTTGTCACAATTAATTAATTTAAAGGGGCTGCCAGTAACAGAAGCTAATAACTTGGAGAATCATTATAAAGCTCTTAATATATATTCTGGAAAAGTGAAAAATTGCCTAGAAATCGACACTGAAGGAATTAGTATTTTAAATGTTTTAGGCAGCCATGGTTATAAGTAAGAAGTTTGCAAATGTTTATTATATTAACTAAAGAAGAACATCATTTACATTTTCTAGTGTGTTGAGTCAATAAATTCTTTGTAGTAGTAGAAGTAGTATAGTTCAAAAATAAATGAATTTCAGTTACAGAGTTGAATCACAATCCATGGCAATCGATACAACTGCTATTGGGGGAAGCATGGTTAAGACTCAAAAAACAATTTGGACGCTTACAAAAGTTGAATGAATATGTTTATTTTAACGAATAAAGACATAGAAACATAATTTATTTTGCATTTTCTACTGTTAATTCGCTTTGGCAATCACTAGGAACCCGATCTGTAAATAATTCTGGTATCTGAAAACAAAATTATTAGTTAGTTACAAAAGAAACCTAATTAAGAAAAATATATGGCAGGAACCCCCCCCCGTGTTCACTTGATGGAACGTTCATTGTCCCAGACATATAACATCTCAACCATATACTAAATATTGTCTAAATTTTAAGGTTTCATTGTTAAAGTATTTAGGTTAATAGTATAGTATATACTTTTTATATGTATAATCTTATATTCTTTTCTGTTTCGGATGGACGGAAACATCCGAAAGGGTTTGTAAGCCATCTTTTAATATTGTATTTGTACTGTTATTTTTCATGTGAATGAATAAAATAACTATATCTATGTTGGCGTTGGATATTCGGGAATGTACAAACCAAAACGAGATTTTTGTTGCTTTTTTGTTTTGGATGGTCCGTGACCTGAACGGAATTACGATATTCCTATCACCATCCATTTAATAACCAGACAGACTTACATACGAATACTTACCAACTAGTTTCAGAAACGTTAGGTATACATTTTTACGAACATCTACAAGCCGGTAGGGATCGAAGCTACAACTCATTGATATAGCTACCATAAGACCAACGAGCTCGTTTATTGTTTACACGTTTGAAGTTATTTGCTTTAAATATGCTTATGCAATAATTAAGGGGGAAAAATACCTGCGGCGTGAAAGCTTCAACTCTATCAAGTAATGAATCTGAATATCCTGGAGTATAGAACCTAAAAATGTTTTATAATATAATCAATACCATCTCATTCAATTCATTGTTGTTTTCAAAATAAGATTTTTCTCTTTCACCTTACTATTTCCTCAGGGAAGCAACTGTTTATGATATTAATATACTCTTTCAGTGATGTGCCCGGCACCGTATCAATTTCTTGTATTCGTTTTAGAGCACCAGTCGTTACAAAAAGTCTTCTCGCACGAGCATCATTTGGTAATATCTAAAAATATAAGAAAGCCGTAAAGGTTCTTTGTGTTTTTTATAAAAATATGTTTTGAACTACGGCAATTTCAACAAACTCACAATATTGTCTTTTGTAATTTCCACCGGAAATAAGAACACTTAAAATACTGTCTATGGTTTACGTGAGTAGTACACATTTAAATAAAACACTTTAACGGTTTAAAACGCGATATATTAGTTAAACCGTTAAAGTGTTTTATTTAAATAAGAATACTTCAACTTGACAATGACAAAATTTTGAAAGTAGGCTTTGACAGTTACGTTTTAAGTTAGTATTTCTTATTCGTAATTTGTTATTGTTTACTGCTTGGATTGAGGTTATGTTTGGTATATTTAAAAAACAATCAACTTAACAATGTCTGGAAGAGGTCGAGGTCGCGGAACGAATTCTACCCTTACCCATGAACAGATGCAGGCACTAGGTATCGCGCGTGGCGATAATGCACAACAAGTTTTGGCTCCACCACCCTTATTTCCTAAGTTAGATACAAAACCTTTGCCTTTAATTTGCGACGCCGCCACAAGTTATATGGTGATAGTCAAAGATCAATTTATTGAATATTTACACGAATCACCGGCATACGTTAAAGCTAGTAAGGAAACGGATGGCATAGAGAGGTATTCGGATAAATATAAGCTATTAGCATTGGATGCTAATAAGGAAAGAATTTTAGATTGCATATGGACCAATTTTCCACCAGAATTGCGACCTCAAGCTGGTCGTGCACGGTCTGCAGCTAGAAAGCGAAAACTAGATGACCCAAATGAAATGGAAAGGCGTTTAAAAGTCCTCGAGAAAAAGGAAACACAAGAACACACAACTGAGGTTACGGACACAGGTGAAACTAGCAAAAAAGATGACATTGATGAAGATATTGAAGATGAGGAGGAACACGAGGATGAAATAGATGATGGAACGGACTATGCTAATAATTATTTTGATAATGGTGAAGATTATGAGGATGAAGATGATAATCTTGATGATGACCCAGTGTATTAAAATATAAAATATAGAACTGAACTGTGATAACATACATAATTGTTAATTTTTAAAACAAAACTGTTACTTATGTTTCTGCAATATATTGTTACTTTTTGAAACTAGAACTACATTACTTAAATAAATTTAAACATTTTGTTATCATAAAATTATAATCAGAAAATGTCTGCAATAGCAATTGGGGACACCAATAGATCACCCATTCTTATTGCTGTCTAATAGAGTATATTATATTCTGGAAATATGATTTTTTACCTTAGCATATTGAGCCAAGACATACTTGAGTATGCAGGCTGGTGCTGCATGGAGTAAAGGCTCCAGGGCCGGTCGGTGTAAACAGCATTGGAGAGCTTGTTTCAATGCACAAGATACCCGGGCCTTGACTTCACCGGATGATTTTGGATTTGTGTATAACTTAAAATTACAAAGACATTACTTGTATAGGCATTGTAGGTATATTGTATTCTATTTTATGGAGTTATTGTATATGTAGTAATGTCTTAATATATTTCTAATAATATTTGTTTTGAGACTACATTTGCTTGTCTACTAAAAGAAAACCACAAACCTGAAGTAAAATAGGAAAAGCGTTCGCAACAGCCACAGCGAGACTATGCTGTGGGGAATGCTTCGCGATATGCCCAAGAGTCCATGCTGCCGCGCAAATTTCTGCGTCCTCTGCATCGTTCTTTTGCACTGTCTCCACGCAGATAACTACAGCCTGTTGAGTTATTAATAAACTAACTTTTTAATCTCGACAATTAAATTCATCGTCCGATTGGTTCCAATTTGTTCGCGCTTAAGATTGCCAAATTAATAAAATGTGACTTTCGAGGTCACGTCTTGACGTCGTCTAAATCTGATCAGATTTTAGAAAAAAAATTAAACAGGGGGGGACTTGAACTGGCACCCACAACGTTTCAACGTAATGCCATCATGAGTTTCAAACTTCTGACGTGATACCTTTGATTCGATAACAGCCATAGCCAACTGATCTGACTGACCCGCTATATACCCTAGCGCCATGCAAGCAGGAATTCGCGCTCCGCCTGTATTTTCAAACATTAACTCCACTAGGGGACCACAGCCTCCAGTGTTGACGACTAACTGAGCCAGCTGCAAAATAAATTAAAATATGAGAGATATTACAAATTATGCCGCAAAACATGTAAGTAATTTTTTTTGAACAAGAGCTTTATAAAGCGTTCTTTTATTTAATTTCTCGAATTTAATAACATTTTTATTCTCATTAAAAGTCGAATCTAAAACCGGATCATGGGTTTTGATCCTGGTCGAAAATCGACCTTAGGTTAGACATTATAGACAACGGGTTTACCATTGAGCTTAAAAACAGTCCGCTTATAATTGCACAGTGAAAGTCAAGCAATTCACTTACATCGACAGAATGCTTAACAATGTCTCGCAGGAGACAGGCTGCAGCTCTACGCACCGGTGCGGAATCGTGCCCAGTATGCAGTAGGGCGGGAGGCAGAGCCCCGCCCGCCACTGTTGCCTCAGCCAACTCCGCCCTTGCACTTGCAACAGCTCCGAGAGCACAAAGAGTGCTACGCTGTTGGGAAAAGAATGTAAGAAAGAGTTAGTTGATAGAAAAATATGCTATAACCGTATAGCATATTCTTCTAAGTTCTGATTAGCAATAACGGTACAGACGGCTGGTTGGTCTAACAGCAATGTATGGCTAATAATCAATGGGTTGTTCTCATCCCTATCAGGTCAAACATGTTTCTAACCAATTTATAATTGTTCGGAAACATCAAACTTCGTTTGAAAATCAGGATATTAGATGGGTGGTGGGAACAACGAAATTCCATCCGGGTCACGAACTACCGTCAACAGACGAAAAAGCTTAATAGCGTTACGGTTTCAGTCTATAGATTGTTGAATAACCAAATCCAAAAACATATATACCCTCGTTACCATCTTGTTGAGATGTTATAAGAGCAAAGAAATCACTTGCTCTTCAGCTTCAAAACCTCTAACCTAACGATACCAAACTATTTATACTACACCACAACAAAGTTTGTATTCGGTTGACATAAAATGCTTTATTGTGACACTCGCCTTTAATTTAGGGTCTTGGTTTTCTAATCCACGAACGAGATGTGGTATAGCGCCCGCATCCACCACAGCTTCCGGTTTATGTTGTGCCAAATCTACCAGAGCCCCAGCAGCTATCTAGAGATATAGCCTATTAGAATCATACTGATATGTATGTCTAACGTCAGAATTAGTACATCAAACCTGTTTTAAACTCATTTCGGGCTCTTGAAAAGTAAGCACAAGTAATGGTAGAGTTCCGGCGTCTACAACTAGACCTGCCAAATGCTCATTATGTTTTCCAATATAACCAAGCGCCCACGCCGCATTTTCTTTAACCTGTAGGCATAATGTTAATGCTTAGTACAATAACCCTCAGATGTATTTTTTTTATTTCTTGTTAGTTCTGTTACATAAAATCTCAAATTTTTTTTTTTAAAAACAACTTCAAGCAATAAACAAAAATACATGATACAAGATCTTGATTTAAGTCAAAATGAAACTACGACGATTTCATAGTTAAAAGTTTCTTAATTAAATTAAAATTAGGTAACTATACCTACGTTACAAGCTCACATCACCTGTGTATCAAAATCTTCAAGACATGAAACTATATGCTCCAACGCACCTAGGCGAACGATTGCCGAAGCTAGTTCTTCGTTATGTCTAAAATAAAAGAAGGATTGGCATAGGTATCCTATCTAATTTAATGAAGATAATATGTAAATAAATATTTAAGAAATATCTTACTTCGCAACCGCCCGCATTAAGTATAGAGCTGATCGCTTATAATATACCTGTTGAAATAATTGTATGATTGATTAAATTAATCTATACTTATTTATAGTCCGTTAGTCTACGAAGGTATTACTTGCGGTTGTGACAGTTGAAGAAATATAAAAATATCTATAGTAATATATAAAGATGAACAGTTAAAAAAAATTAAAAATTATTTTGTGTTAGAGCATTTATCGAGGAAGGCTGTTGGCTATAATACATCGCCCTGTGACTAATAACACTGAAGATACAGCGAGAAATGTGAAAAAATTGGGAAAATGGTTCATCATTATGGGTTTCCAAGACGTACCGTACCTACGCTGCAAAAACGGTTTGAGATACCCAAAAAATAAGTATGAGACAATGATTCCTCCTTAAAAGATCTAAAAAAAGTCAATTTGGATGCCCAAAATAACTATTCTATGCGGACGAAGTCGCTGACACAGCTAGTAAGAAATAAAGACAAATCTGAGCACAGTAATTATTATAATATGTAAGTTGGATATTTATTTTATTGTTGAAATTATTATAATTTTCACATAACAAGCATATGATAGTATTCATAAAGAAAAAAGAATTTAAAAATAGAATCTATAAATATTACCTACCACTGTACAAATGTATCATTGTTGAATAGAGAGGTACCTATGGGTGACAGACAAATAGAGAATGAATACCATTTTACACCTTACATACGTCACCCAGAATAATGAACAAACGTGTTTTTTGAGAGTTTTATGAGAACTTACATTATATTTATTTAGGTTTTCAAGTGTCGAAGTAACCATGCCTCCGCTTAGCAATTGTCTAGCCACACCTTCATCGTGTTCGGCAAGCCTTGCTGCTGCAACGACTGCACATTGCCGCACTGTGCTGCATGCGTCCGATAATAAAGGACGGAGCAATTCTGTTAAAGAAGTGGAGTTGCTCTTCTTAGAGGAAGATTAAGAAACGGGTGAAAGACTAAGCTAATGTTAGTTTCAAATAATGTTTCCCTTTGTTAACAAGATAAGTAGTTGAAACTAATAATATGTTTTCTCCGGACTTAAACCCAAAGCTCAACGCAGTTCATTCACGCGTGGAACTATTGAACCATTGTTATTAAGTTAAAAATAATTACTTATTGACCTTACTGGGAGTCCAATTCAACACTGGAAATTGACTAAGTTCCTAGTAGTATAAGGCGTCATCTACAATAACAACTTAATATAATATAGTGAATTATTACTGATATTTTATTTTGGAAACAATTTACCAGATTAAAATTCAACTCTAACGCTGAATTACGCAGTTGATTACTAATGATTAAGTTTTAAATACTAAATATATTGATTAACTTATTTTATATTTAACTACGGCCTACCATCGGAAGCTTTGCGACTGTGGTGACGAAGGGGCGTAGTTAATTGAAATCTACTAATTATTAAGTGATATGGTTACATATGGCAAGGTTAAAAGCGTCACCTAGAACTCCCGCACTTTCCAGACATTTAACATTGGTCGACCGTGTCGCTAACTCTGCCATGGTTTGAACAAACACAAGTCGTGCTTTCTGGTACGTTTCAAAAACTGAAAAACGTTTTTTACAAAGTTTTACATAATTATATAATCTATTGTTGCTTTAACATAATTGTACTCTTTCTCTAAATCCAACCTTACCTTATCTCTTCGGTAAACAGTGGTTACATGAGGTCCTAAATTCGAATCTCATGTACCTACACATACTCGAAGTGTAATTAACTACCAGCCTGTTAAAAAATTCGATTCGTAAAAGAGACATAACAGTGTGTCTGCCACTTTAAACTAAGAATGAATGTTGTGTTACTTTAGATTTTGGAATAAAACATATATAACTAGTTAATTTAAAAATTGAAAAAATTTTCGACTCGGGCAGGACTTGAACCGGCATCGTCAGCTTTCCGTGCTGTTGCTCTACCAATTGAGCTACCGAGTCCTACACCTCATCGTCGAATTTTTTCAACTTATTGATACATGCACCTATCGCGCAATGTAATTTCAACCTTAACACTTGCGTTTTAAGGCGTATTTTTTTTTTCAATTTATTTTTGATTTTAAAATTATATAGTGCCTTCATGTGCAATAACAAGTAAAAAATAATAAAGTTTTCATATACCTAGTTGTATATTTCGAGGGCTGCTCATTGAATGACTCATTATTTCAACAAAGAATTAATATTGTACAAGCAATTCTTCAAAAATTTCACTTTGTTATGCTTTTCGAGTTTGACTTAATCGGCAACTAAATGACATAACTTGACTCTCGATCATACAAAAAAAAATCGTTTTGTCGTAATAGCGACTACAAGGAGGTCAGATTATAAACCCTTTCAAAGAACCCAAGAATTACGAATGACAGAATTAAAAATTAAAAATAGTCACATCAGCTAACAAATGAAACTAAGTTAAAATATATTGCTGAAATATAAGTTTTAATATTCGTTTTGCATTTTGTTCAGATCGAAATAGTTTGGGGGAGGACAGGTGCACGTGCTAGTTTCAAATTGTGGGATGAATGAACCTACGTATGATCTATTGCTCAAACTTTCAACCTCGGTAGCTACAACGTGTATGCAACCTGGCCATGTGATCACCGACGTCATGCTATTTGCACACATGCAAATTCATTGTTGGCGGCTGTCACAATACATTATTAAGTTCACGCACACATAGACATCCGCAACCTGTTACCGGACAACTCGCGTATCGGCAAGCGACGCGTGCGCACATCTCATTTTACCTGCATCGATCAATTATCTTTAGTTAATTGAATACAATGAACGTCATTTATCGGTGATCTAAGTAATATTATACATATAAATATATATAAAAGCAAGAATATTATTTTTGAAATGCCGTACATTATGGTAATGGGCAGTTTAAGTGCAGCGCACTTATCTAAAGATGAAGGTGCTACTGTATACGGACTGAAAAAGGACGAACGAGCATCGCTTGTAAGAGTGAGTGTAGAAAATTATGTTAACACACATACGATTAAGCTGTAATGCAAATGATCGGTCCTATGAAAAACGTTGAAATGTTATTTAGCCTTACAGAAGTTTTTACTTTATTTTGAGTGTAATAATATTAAAATAATTTACTAACTGTATAACTTATCAAAAGACTTACCTTTACCCTGAAATATCTTGTAATTATTATTATCAGACACACACACAAACAGGTAAATTACTAGTTATATTACGTATGTATTAGTCCAGTTCCAGTAATTTACGTTAGTAAGTATATACACTTAGATCAACAGGCAGATATCATCTAAATAATTACACTTAATATAGGAGTAGCCAATAGGTACCTACCTATAAGTTATAATAATAAAGTCTTATTTTTAGTTGTAAATAGACAAATTAAAATGCACTGAATTATAAACTACATATTCCATTAAACGCCGGTATCCACTAAACAGTAATTAAGTAAACCCACCGCGTTTCAAACCTTTAAAAGTGATTTATTAATTCAATAAGTAGTTCATATCTGAGATTGTCAATGACGTGTTGAAATAGTTAGGTATTTTTATTCCAGGAACTGAACTCCTCACTTGGAATGACAGCAGCTACATCGTCAGACACAGAGAAAACGGTTCGAGTAACACAAAAAGGGTTAACCCTGGTGGTTGTTAATAGAATCCATGGCTTGTTGGGTTATGACGTCGTCTCACATGCGATGGCTATGACGAATATGAATAGAGAACTCGTCTCTTTCACTATGTATAAAAAAAGCAGCCAGAACGCGCATGGCCACAGCCATTCTTCGAGCTCACATAAATCTCAAACACATGGCAATGTTGTCACACTGTAGCAAAGATTTTGATAAATATATTGTTTTGTTGCAACATTAGATACGTGCTGTTCTCTCTAAACTTTTTGGCCGGGCTGAAGTTAGCGCAACCACCATCTTGCGCATGATACTGTCAATTTTAAGCAAAAAGTCGAGTCACCCCGCACCCCTTTGTCACAACTGATACCAGCTTTTTGCGACCTGCGCAACAATCCGCGCTAACATGAGAGCGGCCAAAAAAATTTAAAAGCACTGTATCTTATTGTATGTATGCTAGTTTTGTTAACATGCCCACATATTTAACATATACTAAATGTATTTTTTAATCCACATAAAAATATACCACATACATTTGATATGTTACTATTGAAAGCTATATTTTTATATTATTTATCAAAAGTTCTTTTTAAGAATTTACTTAAGAGTATTAATTTAAATAATATCCTTATTTTGCAAAACTCCTCCTTACTTCAATACTATACACAATTATTCTTTGGCTCGTGTATTTTAGATTATTTTGTATATATTTATTTTTTTATAATATAAGAATAAAATACATAATGAATAGAAACCTGGTTTAATTGCGTTTTATAAAGGTACGTAAATAATACAAAAAACTATCAGTCTTAATAATATTGCATCTGTGTTTTTATAGCTCCTTAATCCAATAGTATAGATAGGAACATAAATAGATCGGACTTAACATAAATCTTTTTGAAAGGTTTTTTGTTGCTACAGATAATAACAAAACAATAGGGTTAATATATAACTAAATAACAAATAATTTTGCCAATAAAATGTTTATTGAGTATTCGCAGTAAAAACGTTAGTTTTTAACAATGTTCACGTTAGGCCTTGAGCTGTATAATGAACTAGGTATACCAATAGAATACGGGGCTTTTATTATCTGTATTGTATATTACGTATTTTTTCTGTATACGTTTCACAGATCGATAATCCAGGGCTATATAATATGGGTATGTTAAAGTTTTTTTTTTTAATGGGTACCAAAATTACCTACACATTATTTATATGAATGACAAAATCTGATGATAGTTATACAATATCAATAAATGTAAGATATATTGCACAAGATTTTTTGTAATGGAATACTTAATTTAATAATTATTCGACAAATATGGCAGTTGTAGATTCTCCGAATTCGTTTACGCTTTACACAAATCATCAATTCAAATCCAACTCAATTACATTATCTGTTGTACACAAAAAGAAATATTCTAACCTTTCTTATGGTTTAAAACACAAAATGAATTAGTTCACTTATTTACAATGTATTTAAAACTATGGCCGTAGTGTTTTATTTATATTATTTATATCAAAATTCTAACATTTCTTAGTCCTGTAATTGAATTGAGATAAGCTTCAAGCTCAATGTTCCTCTGAGCCGATCCTGTGACGTTCGGACGCCAATTTCTTTAAGGCGGCCGCATACTGACGCTGCACGTCCATCAACCTCGAGTACTCCGTGTGTAGGGCCGCCTTTTGCTCCTTCTCGGTTTTATACTTCTGTTCCACCTTTCGGACGGTTTGGTTCACCCAGTCCACTATTGATTCGAACTGCGACATAAATTCTTCGCGCTTTCTCGGCGAAGACATGACCCTGGAGACATTTTCTACACATTAAACAATCAGGATAGAGTATGATTATGAAATTTTTAGATATAATCTTAATATAGTTAATTAATAAGTGTTTAAATGAAAACACACTTTCATTATTTACGTGATCGCTCAGTTAATTATGAAAATATCGCAGGTATGTGTTTTAAGACTTTAGACATCATCTTTGGGCCACAAACTGACGGAGTCGTGGATCTAGTGATACCATGATATCTAATAATAATCAGCGGATCATGAGTTCGATCCCCATCTGGTTCAACTTGTTTGTAAGTTAATCATATTTCTGAAACATGTCGGACTTCGTCTGAAAACCTGGATAGTAAATGGGTAGTCCATCAGGATCACTAACGACGGTCCACTGGTAAAAAGCCTTCAATCTTTAATCGCGTTTGGGTTTTAGTCTGTAGATTTCCGAATATCAAAAGGCAAAATAGGTCGATAGATAGTTTAAATAAATAATTCTATAGCTGGGGTACTGCACCTCCTAAGTAGATCCTATCCTGTATTATAAAAAAATCCTAAAGTTTAAAATATTGCCAAAATTTCTGTTGTCATTTTATTGAGAAATCACCGATCACTACAGGATATGTATGTCGACTACTAAATAATTAACCATTAACCAGTAATATTATGGGTATTAGTCTGAATAAAGTTACAAAAACATTCACAGTTTTGTCGTGCATTTCTTTTGCTATGAAGGCTAATTCCTTAGTTGATAATTTAATATCTGGGAAAAAAAAACAATAAAGCCTATATACTCACTCATCATAATTATCCAATATGGAATTTAGCAAACTCAATTCCTTTGAAGTATATAGTTTGACCTCGTACAGCGTGTTGTAGAATATATAATACTGTTTTGTTTCTTTATGCTTTGATGAAACTAGAACAATATAGATGGGTACAAATCTTGGGTAAATATAATTCATACATAATGCAGTAAAATATATCTGTACTAATATATAAAGCAGAAGACTTTGTTTGTTTGTATGTTTGAACACGCTAATCTCAGGAACTACTAGTTCAAATTGAAAAATTACTTTTGTGTTGGTTAGACTATAAAACATGGCGCTGTCCCTAACAGGAGCGAAGAAACAGCGGAAAATGTAGTAAAAACGGGGATAATTATTTATCCTTGTAGGTTTCTGTTGCGTACGCTACGAAAACGGTTACTAGAACAGTATCGGCCTTATTACTAAAAAAAACTTAAACCAGGACTGTGGAGTCTTGGTTTAACGAAGTTTAACATTTAACCATGTTAAACGTTAAACTTCGCTTTGTAATAAGGATTTCAAGTAAACCAGGATTTAAACCACGTTTGAGAGTTAGTCTTCGTTTTGTAATAAGAGTATATATGTCTATCTCTTAAGATCTTGGTAGAAGGACGGGACATGCGGGATTAGAGGGTGGTTTTGCTAAAACAAATTTTCTGTCCAGAATTATACGCACACGAAGTCGCTAGCTCAGCTAGTATTTAATATTATGTAAGTATGTCAAGGCAGTGTAGAGAAGCCTGACGAGGAAACATATTCTTATACCTTGGTTATACAGTTCCACGAATCGTTTTTCATACTGCAGAAGCTCAGCTGTACCGGGTATTTCGTCTATCGCCACAGTGTACTTCAGCACTTGACGATTTAAATGACCTAGCTCTGCCCTCGTCTTACTTATAAAATCTTTCAGCTTTTTCTCTCTTTCTTGGAATTCTTTTAACTCCTCAGGCGTTAACGGCTCTTCGTGTATCACGGCAGTTGGCTCTTGCTCACCTCTATTAGAGAAAGAAAAATAAAATCTGTATACACTGAACTTCTAGATTTTTACAAATTCTTTCATTTATTAAAATCATTAAAAGAATTTGTAAAAATCTAGAAGAAAAAACACTTTTGGACCAATATTTAACTAAATTCTTGGAAAACACATATTAACACTTGGCTATCTATTTGCTCGTCGGGCCGAAGTTAAAAATCATTTTCAAATAAGTTTAACTATATATTTAAAGTTTTTAAATATATAGCGTTTTAAACCGTTAAAATGTTTTATTTAAATCTATTTCCTTTTTTTGCTAATACCAGACAATGAGGAAGTAGTTTGTATCCTGCTTTCTATACTTAGAATTTTAAATCTTCATATATCCTAATAAATTATATAGCAATATCAAACCTTAATTCTTCTTGGAGTTTCTTGTGTTCCGTCTCTCTGTGTTGAATAATTTTTAACAAATCATTCCTTTCTTTGGCAAGCTCTTTCAATGATTTGTAGAATTCCTTCACCTTCTTATCTCTGAAAAGAATCACAATTTCCAAATATTTATTTAAAAATATTAGTAACAAGAATACAACATTTGTTCTGAATTGGTTGTTGGAAAAGATTATAAACAGGTTTATAAAAGTACTATATAATTATACTTTTTTTTTTCAGTTTAAATGTGTTAGTAATTAATAATAATTATTAATTCCGTCTATGAATGTTATGAAACACAGAATGACATAATATTATTATAGTTATAATTATTCAAACAAGTAAAAAACCATACAAACATATAACAAAATATCAATAGATGTATTAGAAATTGTTGGACACAACTATTTATGTATGGTCTAAAAATATAATATCTGCACCTATTTTAGAATTTCCATTGGCTAAGCCAATGTTACGTTTGTTGTGCTTTCCTTAATCTCTTATAATTCCTAGAGCATCAGCTTAACTATATATAGGTATTAGAAATGACATATTTCTATTCTATAGTTGTTTTGCTTATACCATTAATGATATTTTTTCTCACTTCCTGTGTTCAGTAACAAATTATTCATACCCCAACACTGCACTTGAGATAAATAAGCACAATTAACACTAGGATGAGCTATGTCTGATTTTTTTTTTGTTGTAAGAATAGGAAGAAGGGTCTTTCGTCATTTTATATGTGCAAGGTACCACTTTACTTTTTTTAAAAGGTGGGTATATGCTACCAACAACAAGTAACAAACTTATTTCAACCAATCCTAGGTTCGAGTCAGGCTTGTGTCAACCTTATTCAAAACTACTTCAAGAGTAACTAAACATTCAAAGTAGTACTATACAAAGATATATTGGAATACTTACGAGAAATCTTCAGTTTTCACTAATTTCCTAGTAATTCTCTGCAATTTACTAAGCGCATTTGAATATTGTCTCTTTGCTTTGTCCATTTTCTCTTCGTGTTCCTTTCTCACTGTATCTATTTCATTTTCCATTGAATCAATTACTTTTGTCAGCTGATCAATGTCTGCAGAGTATATCAACTTCTCACTCTCTTCTAATTCACGCGGTACATCTCCGGTTAATTCGGAATGTAGTACTGCATAATGTATTTTCGTATCCGCAACATCTTTTTCTAAATTGTCTTGTTCTGTGAACTTATCTGTCTGGAATAGCACAATACAGTATGAATACAGGGTTTATGTATGCGCACAAATGTGTGTTCGCGCGCGTTTCTCTGTGTATCTGCTCTTACTGAGGACATCTAGATTAAAATACTAGGAAAGTATGAGCGCTCCACAAAATGCCAAGCAATGACTTAGACAGTATTCCATTTTACTTTTTGGAAATAACTTAATATTTTTAAGATATCCAAGAGGCAAACACTATTACTATGAAACAATAAATGCAACTAACTTACTTCAGTTGTTATTTCTGATGGATCAGCTAATGTTTTTTCATAATCATACTGAAAATCAAAAACATAGATTAACATAGAACATTTTCAATTACATCACCACTTAGGAAGAAACTCACCAATACTTCAAGTCCTTCGTCCGGCTGTGAATCAGTTTGCTTATTAGATATATGCATTAAAATACGCTGGTCATACTCAGACAGAACCGCATTTACCTGCTCTAACTCATTTGTTTGTACACCTTCCTTTCTCTTGCGAACTCTACATGGTTTATAGAGATTCTGAAAGAAATATTTTATAAACCCTAATTGCATACAATTAAGAAGGGGTACAAAAAACAACATAACTTAGTGATTAGTATTATTCTACCACCTATTTCTACAAAGACATATTTGTTAAAAATTTTCTCATTTTAAGTTTGAGTTTTACTAGCCATTATAGCTGGTGACTATATGTGGATGTTTCTTGTCTAGCATTCACATTATAAGGCCATGTGTTTTAATAACTCAGTCAAAATGCTTATTTATGAAACATTAAATAATTGTTATCACTAACCTGAACCATAGCTAGGTTCTTCAATAATTTTTCTTGTTGCATATAATGTGCTCTATCTGACTCAAAAATGTGATCCTTCTCATATTGCATGACTGCAAACCTTCTCAGTTCATCTTCTTTTGCTTCGCGAAATTCACTTGAATATTTTATAAGCCATTGCACAAGGGGAAAAATATTAATAAAATCCAGTCCTTGAATCTGATGAGGTTCAATAATATAAGGGCACTTCATTGTAGGTAAGACTTTTACTATTTTCTCAGTGAGGGCTCTGCAAAAATAAAATTATAATTATCAAAACTGGTACAAGAAACATAAGGATATTAGACTATGAAATAGATGTATTACATTTTTTTACCAATAGTCAGGTTTTCTTCAAAAAGCAAATTTATATCAATATCAATGTCACATAATTCAATACACCAGGTGAGGCCACCAACAATTTTATCAAAAGCTGACAATCCTTGAAGCTGCGCCCTGTAGTAGCCAGCTGCTACAAGAGCGTCTGAGATTTCATGCCACTTGACCAGTTGTTCTGCATCCTCGCGCACCTCAACCTTTAATGCAAGATATATTTATATATCAATAACTTTTTACATAGCAAAGCAAGTCAGTTTATAAGAACAGTTAATATTATAAATAAAGTGTGTACAGTAACATTTTTTTAATAAAGCAATTAGCAATGGTGTTGATTTACCTCTTTTCCTTGGTTGTCCACTCCACTATAGATATTCATTAAGGGCTTGGTTCGCGTAAATATATTCTTATGTTTTGTTGCCATGACTTCCAAGGGATCTTTATACTGGTTTTGTAATAAAATAATAGGACGAATCTAGGAAAAGTATTTATTTTTGATGCCTTAAATTATATGGTGTTATATGTAGGAACATTGACCTATAAGTCGGAACTACATAGTCACCCCTAACCACTGAACGCTGAAAACAATGCGTAAGGGCGAAAAATGTTGATATTCTAACTAAATTAAAAGTAATTATTTTTCAAAATATAAACCCATTTTTCGATCTAAAATTGACGATCTGTCACACACAGATGTAGGAAATGTTATCTGCCAAATGTTTGTCATGGTCACATTAAAATCAAAATTATAACACTCGGAATTTGAAAATTGACATAGTAAACTTCAAAATATATATTTTTTAAATGTCATAAAATCGGCGTGAATGTTAGGAAAGCTTTCTATTTCCATTATTACGTTTATATTATTATTTATTATTGTCTCCCTGGTACAGTCGGCTCTTCGAGAAATAAGTGTTTTTTATTAGAGTTAGTTGGATACATTATCCTGTTGTTTAACATGAATAAATTACCAAGGATACTTTGCTGTAAGTACGACGACTTTACTAGATTACCTTAAAAGATTTACTTATAATATAACTTTAAATACACAATTTCTTAGCTATTAGCAATTTATACAATTTAGGGTTACTTCTATGTATATATGTGCTATCTTTTACTTTGCTTGTGATAGTTTTATTGTAGATTTACATATGTAATTATATTTTTACTTATAATATCTTCTGTTCTACTAATTTACCTTAATTATGCTAAATTTCTGTATGGGTACTTGTGAAGCAATAAAGTGAATAACCAGCAGTTCACCAAATTAAATCTACTATAGTACAAGTAATTAATTTCAGAGATATATTTGGACAACCACTTTTTTAATAGTACACAATGGAGAAAAAGATGGATGTTGTGGAACTCATATCAACCTTATTGGACAATGGGAAGTATAAAGAAGTTCTAAGAATACCTAATGAAGAAAAATTTGCTGATGCATTTAAAGATAACTGCTGGGATCTCATATCAGTTGCAGTCAATAAAATTCAAAATGATACCATCACTCTAAAACCGTCACTATATGGCGTTTGTGAGGAACTCTTAACTTTAATTATTGAAAAGGCATCTCCTGAAGAAGCGTTATTAGAATTTATTGAACAGATTGAAGTTGCAAAGAATGATGCACAATTTAGTATCATACTAAATCCATTGCAAGTGCTGCTTAAGAAATTGACATTAAAAAGAGGAAGGTCTTTGGAATGGTGCCTTAATTCCATAAGCACATACATAGAAGCTATTCTCTTACCAGAACACCATTTAGAAGGAAAAGAAAGGTTGTTGATGGATAGTGACACTAATGTGAGGAGAATCATCCATGTTTATTCACTATTACCTCCTTTTTACCAGCCATTCATTGATGAAATAAAAAATAACAGTCCTAAGAAAACTGCTGATATTCTCTGTGCTTTCCTAATAAGCCTCTTTGGAAAACCATTTACACACATTGATTTAGACCCAGAAGGCAACTATAATGGACAATTTCGTCAATGCTGTGCTATTATTTTAAATGACACATGCTCTCTTTTGAAAAATGTACTAAAATTGATAACATATTTAGAAAAATTCTATAAAGAAAGTAAAAGACCTCAACCTAAGAATAATGAGGAAGGAAGAAATAATGACGATCAGTACCCCTTGGATCACAAAGAAAAAGTAAATATGACAACATTATCAGGCCTCTTTTATGCAATATTTTCTGAAGACTTTCAAGTACCAGATTTAGCTGTCCCTCAAGTCTATTCGCCTTATTACATAGCCCACTCCATTCTTATAAGTGTTGTGCATTTGTTCCAATTTGTTGAGTATGGTCCACAAAAAAAAGCATTGTCTTTGTGTACTCATACCTTAGAGTATTTTCCAAGTAATTTACCATACACACTGCTTACTGTACCCATACATATTGAATTGTGCAAATCATTAATGAATGTCGCTATATATTCGTATTATGAAAATAACCGTAAAAATTCTGTCAAATTAATAGAAACTCATATTAAAAAATTTGAATACAAAGGTAGAGTGAAGCTTCTCAAATATATATTTGACAATGCAAATCATTCAGGAATGATAGGCTACGCGATAACGCTGTGTAAAAATACCTTAGATGAAGCTTTCAAGGATCCAGAGTTACCAGAATGTTTTACAGGGCCACAATTCCTTACCCTGGTAAAAAAAATTTGCTACCTCCCCCATGGTGAAGAATCCGATTTAGTTGAGTTGGCTGATCAAATTATAAGTGCATTAAACTTTTTGAGATATGTAGTAATAAAGGACAATGATAACAGAACAGGAGTAAAGGAATGTTTTTCTACCATAGAAACTGAATATTTGGATAAGTTGCGCACTGGTCTTAATATGTCAAAAGCTCATTATGAAATGAAATTGAAGGAAATTAATGAAAAGAAGAAAGCGTTACACAAAGATACAGACATTCAGTTAAATATAGGTGGTAATGTGCTCGACAAGATACCGAAAAAGAACAAGAAGGAAATTATTAACTCAGCTCTAAATGCTTTTCATTTAATAGAAGGCCTTTTAGGACGATTATCTGAATGTATAACTATTAATAAAGCACAAGGTGTTAGCGATTCACTCTAAAATAAATATATCTATGCCGCTATTTCTTGTTTTATTTTGACTATTTTTTATCAGGAAATTTACATCAAATTAAATTCTATTTCTCCTCTGTTTTCTTATGAATAAGTGAAGTAAATATTTTGTTAACAGCCTTACGAAACGGGCATAGATGTATAAAGCCGGCAGTATTAGCACCAATTAGCAGAACAATTCTCAGGCAGTATTGTAAAACTGCAGAAAAAAAAGATAAAGTAATTCCAGTCATAAGAACAGGCACGGAGGAAAATCAATATGAAGATGATATAAAAAACCAAATATTAGCTAAATCACTCGACTTCGTTCCTAAATCTGGATGGTCTGTGGAATCTCTGGCTTCTGGTGCAGAAGCTGCAGGATACCCTGGTATCACACATGGACTTTTCCCAAATGGTGGGGGAGACCTTGTACACTACTTTAATGTAAAATGCAATGAGCAACTTGTAGAGCAAATGAAAGCGGTAGGTATTTAAGTTTTAACAATCTGTCGCATACAGGGCAAATTTTAAATTTTCTAATATGCTTTTTTTAGTGGCCGAAAGAGGACGTGCTAGGCACCAAAATTCCCGTTCAGAAGGTTGAAAACGCCATAATGATACGACTTCTGATGATTGAGCCTTACAAGTAATATTCAAATATCCCATTTATACTTTTCCTAAACCGTTAGTTAATTTTTGATTTGTTTTGCAGGAGTTCATGGCCAAAAGCAATGGCAATACAAGCTTTACCTAACAATGTCCCTAATTGTTTAGCAACCTTGTTGTCGCTGGTAGATGACATTTGCTATCATACTGGAGATCGTAGTGTAGATGTAAGTAAAATCCAATTCACTAATTGTGCAAAATTTATTTGAGTAGGTAACAATTCTTTATTACGACCGAAAGGTCCCATGAAGGCGTTGTTACATCCCTATTTGCTCAGTGTGATATCCCGGCACTATTACGTCTAATACAGGACTGTAGAGTAGGGGTGAATTTATATTTTTCCATGTAATACAACTCCTTTTTGTTTTCAGTTTAATTGGTACATACGCCGAGTGGGTCTCGCTGGTATTTACAAAGCGTCCGAATTATTCTACCTTACCGATAGTAGCGAGAGCAATAGCGCAACTAGAAATTTCGTGAAATCTAGAATAAGGGATGCTGAATTAATTCAGACAGCTCTTAACATGAACCCCGTAGCAGTGGCGCCACAATCGCTAACTGCAGCCTTTGTTACGGTAAATTATTATTTGCTTTGATAGTAACCAGTTCCGGGTATTGGCCTTAAGGTTTTACCTCAAAAGTCGATTATTTGCTTTTCATTGAAGCATGTGGCATACTATATATATTTTTGGTAAACAAACGAGGATCGAACATGAAACTTTTCGACGAGCATTTGTATGCCAAAACCACTATAATATAACATGGCTCTTATTTACTTATACACCCATGAAATATTTGATTAGTATTAGGGAAGTAGAATTAAAATATAATCTTCATATTAATTTTATTAAAATGTAGTAATATATAAAATCTAGGAATTTCTCTATATAACAATACAGTTGTTATGAACACATTAAAATTTGATTTTTTACAGGCTAAGAATATGTTGGGAATAAATACACTCAAGTAAATAGCAACTCTGCAATGATACACTTAGAACCTAGCTAAATGACAAGAACAGTATTTAATATTTCAATTTAAATAAAAACTATTTTGTTTATTCATTGTTTCATTTCCCTTTTTAAAATTCTGAGATTGGTCTGGCTGCATTTAATAACAAAAACATAATATTAAACATGGTACAATAAACAAATAATTGATTCTAAAAACAACATACATATTATATAACCTTTTAATAATATGGAGATTGCGTTATAATAATTTTAAGGTTTATCTGTTCCTTAAAGTATATATAATAAAAAATATTAAGAGCAGCATTCATTAGCTAGTCTTTTTTGTTATAACTATAGAGTATACATGTACATAACACTTAAATACAGTATATGATTATAAAGGTTGGATGGATTGTTTTAATATTGATATAGTAGACTACAGTTAACAAATGCTAATATTTTTTTATCCTTACTTGGAATATATTTCTTTTTCTGTAAGGCACTTGCTCAACTTGCAAAATAATTATGTTGGTGCAATATAATCTCTACCTAAGGATACATATGAAATAAGATTTGGAGGTAAGGGTAACTTTTTCCAGGACTTTTCAGAAACAGTTTGTCTAATAACAAATCTGCAAATTTTCTGTAGTGAGTCTAACTTGGCAAACCTGAAACAAGTAAAATGCAAATCTTACCAATCTCTTTTTAAATAAATCATATCTATAAGTATATATAACTAAACATTATATGTTAAATTTTACCTGTTAAGTGGTCTAGCTAACTTCACTGGCATTTCAAATAAATTCGATTTAACATCTACTGTAGCACAATGTTCAGATATCCTATTAGCTGGTACAAAGGTTTCATTGTTTAAAGAAAAGAGTCCATCCGCATGCCGTAGACGTGCATGGAGTGTTCTACCTACACATCTAAATGACACACAAAGTATGTGCCGTGAATCATATGAATCTCTCACAAGAAACACATTATCATGCTGTCCCGCCAATAATTCCTCTGCTTCACTAGATGTGATTCCACCCCAATACCATCCGTGCCTGGAATGATTCAGAGAACAAGAATTATTGTTTGTATTACCCAGTGTGAGTTAGACTTTTGCATAATACTTACTTTGATAATTGACAATAAATAGCACAACTTTCAACAGATATATGTTGATGATGTCCTCTTAGAACCGAGTGGTCATCTGCATGTTGACATTTAATGATTTGTTTACCTAATTCAAAATCTTTCTTTGATTCATTCTTTGTTGTAAACATAAATCTTTCACCAGATGTGGAAGCCTCGAGAGGCTTATCGAGATTGCACATGTATTCATTACTACTGCTCTTATTGCCGAAATACCGCTGCAAAGATCGTACACTGCCAGTGATAAATAGTTTATTTTTGCAGAATTTCACAAACTTATTTGTGGTCACGGGAGCCTTCCGCTCGGAAAGGAAAACACAATTTACAATATCAGTATCATTAAAATCCCTCTTGTTCTCAATAGTTCTTTGTAAGTGTTTACATTCCATCGGTTTTAACCATTTACGCAAACAACCTGTTGTAAGCCATTTACGCCTGTTGCAATGTGAGCACCGTTCATAGTTTTTATTATTCATTTCTACTCACATTGATGGGTTGCATCAACAGTAAAAGCATATGACACATATGGATATTTAAGGAAAATTGTTCCGAAATTAATTAATCAATTTATTGCTTCAAATAGTAAATATGAAAATAAATCAAAACAAATATAAATAAATCTTGTATTCTGTCAGCACAGATTAACCAAATATTATTTCTATGTTTAATACAGTGTATAATAACAAGTTTTGTGAGTGACAATTGTCATTTAAAAAAGTAACGAAATGAACGGAATGAGAATGGTTTATGAAGAAGGAATGGAGAATGATCGTCTATCAAAACCATCTTTCAATAATCAATCTTCATTCGTCAATACCTACCACTGCAAAATTTTAATGCCTTTATTTTGTTGTGTTTTTAAATGTGTGATAAATATAATGACTTAAATAATAAGGTGAAAACAATTTCTTCGTGATTAAGGGAAAGCTAATTACCCAGCTTGGAGTGATGACATTAAAGAAGATAGCAAAAATGTCAATAAAATCTCAAAATATATCGTCAGAATTAAATGGTAAATCTTGTCACGATGATAATGATTAATTTTAAATATGTTTAGTTCAATATTTTATTGGACTAAAATGTTGGATATCACGAATATTTTCAGCTAGATATGATTCCGTGTCTTTTTTACAGACAGTATCAGTAACGTTCTAGGAAAAAATGTAAAAATATTATATAAATCATTGATACGGATGGAATCAAGGGGAGATAAAGTGGATAATAGAGTTTTGGTAAGTGTTGAGACCTACTAAGTTCTAATTAAACTCCTACTGTCTTTCATTTATGCATATTAATGGAAAACTTGTAGTGTGTTTGTCTAATTACTTAAATGTTAAAAAGCCATACTTTGATGTAAATTAAATATCTGTGGGCTGAAACATGGCTAAAATGTTTAATGTTAATAACTAAGCTAGCCATTTATAAAAAGAAAAAATATTTTCAACTTTTCTGTTGTTTAATTATTCTTCAATATGATGTGCTGTATTCTTGTTTCTTTCTTGTCCCTGTCACTGATTATTTATTTTTATTTTTGTGCCCGGCTTGACCCAAAGTTTCATATAATGCAACGGGGACTTAAACTTAGTATATTTTGCGCTTAGTACAATGCTAGGCATTTACCCATTCACGAGTTGTTATGACATTAGGGCATGAAGGCAGTTTTAATTAAAATTACATATAATTGTTCACCACCTTTGTAGCTTAATGATTAAACTTGTTGCTTTGCCTTAAAGCTACAAGTTTAATTATTAATAAGTTTGCTAAGCCTTAAGTGCTAGGTCCTGGGTTCAAATCCTGGGCAAACAATAGATTGTTTTGGTTTTGCATGGCACAGAAGTCTAATCAACGAATTGTCTGTAAAAGAATCAATCAGTCAAATGGACATGGATATCGCATTCACCCGTTTCCCATGTGGAAATCTGGATTTCACATGTACACATGGCTTTGTTAGGAAGTATTATGGAGAATAATAAGGAATACGAAGTAGAGAGAATATTAAATACAAAAATAATAAAATCTGTAAAGAATGTTTTGTAAGTGATAATATAAACCACTACTTTTTTCCTAGCAATACACTTTTTGGCTACCTTACATTATACAGTAGCGACCACTTGATTCAAATTAAATAAAATAGCCATGTGGGGAGTGGACAGTTTAGATCAATTAAAGTGATGAAGTTTAAATTGCTGATGGAGATTGTTTTATTATGTTTGACAATGCTACCGTGACTCATTGTTAGGTGTGTCTCACGAGTTCCTATTGTTAAATTACAGTATTTTGGATAAGTATAGCGTTTAGTTTTTGAAATATTACCACAATTGTTAAGCCTAGTAATTGTCGTAAAGGCCATTTAAAGCCACAATCTTCAGAACAATTCGTAGTGACCTACATATTTATATACACCTTTATAAAGTGTTGTATAAAGATATGAAAAATTTGCATTAATATTGTGCAGTCTCATTAATTTTGTTGAATATAAGGTTAAAAGGCCAAAAGCTCAACTACAGTAACCTAAAATCTACTTTCCTAGGACATTTTCTGCCTAAGAGAGATAAAATTAAAGGCCTAGTCACGTATGTATAGTTTCTGTAGGATAGTGTCTATAGTCTTTTGTGTTTTGTTATCTCACAACTAAATCCAAATTATATGAAATTGGTTGAACAACATTAATTAAGTATTTCTCCATAACCTTTTACAATTACACAGTATGATAACATATAGGGATATTATAAGTAACTATAAAGTAAAACCAACATACTATAAGTAAATACTGAAGGTTAAAATTAGTAAGGTTATTCAGAATTCTAATATTTCTTTGCAGGTCATAACTTCATACAGGGTTTTTATTACAACCACAAAAGTGCCCACAAGGGTAAGTAGTGTTTTACCTTGAATTTACAAAGGCAGAACTATTTTCTTGTATTTTTTACAAATTATCTTTATTTTGACTACGGTGTCTGGGCCGTAAATAAGCTTAACTAATATATTTCGCGTTTTAAACCGTTAAAAGTATTTTATTTAATTTATTATCGCGTAAACTACAATCAGTACTTAGATATATTACTGCCTCCGTTTAATTAAATGATATTGTCGATACTTTTCAATCGCTTAACGAAAAAAGTATAAAAATAGTGTAACCCAATAATTTTGTTACATAAAGGTCGACAATGGATTCCACTTGATGGAGATTGAAGCTCTGGAGAGCAAAAAAGGCAAACCATCTATCTATAACACTCATTCATGAGCACAAACCGGTATCCATTCTTATAGGTGAGTGACTAATGATTGCGTATAATCGTCTCTATTGTTTGTAAATCGCGAATGAGCCATAACATTGACATTATTTCGTTTTTGCCTGTCTTTTTTAATAGCTCATTAGTCTATTGTATTTGGCAGCAATTTTACTGCTGAGCACAATGTTATAGGGTCGTAAAGTCCCGATATATTTAGTTTATCTATACGAATATTAAAAAGCTAAGGGGTTTGTTTGTTTGAACACGCTAATTTTAGAAACTACTGGTTCGAATTGATTCTGTTTGTGTTGGTTAGTGCATTTATCGAGGGAGGTTTTAGTACATCTCGCTTTGACCATTAAGAGCGAAGAAACAGTGGGAAATGTGCAGTATGAAATCTTTGAGGATTTCCTTTGCGTGTGCTGCGAAAAACGAAAGAATACTTCCTCTTTAAATCTAAAAATGTCCGCGACAGTATATGCCAATCATTTTCTTTCTAATAAATTTAATTAATAACATTACATAGTATATTTGAATAAGGTTAACGCTAGTTTATCTTATCATAACCATTTGAGTACCAAAAATCATTTGAGTAGCATTGAATTAAAAAAAAGTAACAATTTATTTATATTTATTATTAGAAACAAAAGAGTTCTTTACTAATTCAGTCTACGTACTGGTTATGTGTTAATTATAATATGGCATGAACTGTACCATTTTTATAACACTAATACAATTTCGCTTTCAGGCGAAGAAGGTTCGTCCGACGGCGTTATAAATGCAATACACGCGCTAACTGCTGCGTTTGACGACTTATTTCCTAACGTAGCTATGGAAGACATAATTTCCAAGGTCTGTACATAACTTTTACTTGGCATAGTCATAAGAAATGGTCAGAGTGTAACAAGTTGACTCTAAAACTGTTTTAGCTAAATTACCTTATCAACGTCAATATGAATTAATCTATTGTGGAGAGTGTGTTAATTGTATAACATAAATATTACATTACTTTGAAAGGCTTTAAACTAGAAATGTATAGGTTTTTCACCTTATATAAATGGTGTTTTAAACACTTATGAGTGTTCTACTCGCTCATATTATTGTCGATACCTTCTGTATCGACAATAAAAATCGTCCACAATTTAGTCATATTTTAATTAAAACAGTATTTTAGAAGGATTGAGAAACCCAAGATAATAAAATACTTTTTCCATTTAAATAAGGTCTCATGTATATATATATGTGAAACGCAATTATTCAAACAATGGATACTAATAGGTTGTATTTGTAAATATTTTTCCTCAACGTGGTTAGAATGCAATCAAGGATGACTCAGAGATATGTATACAAATGTGATTCACGATTATCAGATTCGAATTTTTGATTTCAGGTCAATTTGCCCTTTCCTCTACAACCGGTCAGCGGTACTCGTAAACATTCTACTTGCGGCGATTTCTCTAATCAATATGCGGCGATGTGCGATCTTTGCCAAACACCTTTTAGGTAAGATAGATTTCTACACTTATCTAACTTGGTTGTTGCTAAACTGTGATATCTCACTCAACAGTCAACAGTCTATACTTTTATAATTAACCTTACAGTTATACCCCTTAACACTACTTAACAATATTCTTTAAAAATCTTGTGTGGGGTATGGCCCATACCCCACACAAGATCTAAAGATCAGACCTGTGGCCTGTTCACTATGAAGGTTCTCTGGAATTCGTTCCCAAGCCTCATTTAAGCAAGTATACAATGAAAGAAATAAGAGCTAATTACATCATTTAAACCAATAATAGTAATGATGTTTTTTTTGCTTACAGGGCAGAAGTTGCTTGGGATATTGATACAATATATTTAGCACACGACATACGACTGTTACATTTGAAGGACTTCGACCACTTAGACCAGAGGTATGCGAACCAAGAATCGTACACGCTGTTTTTAACAGCGGAGCACTATATCAATATTAGTCCCCACTACAATAAAATTTGACTACTTACTATTTTTAAAGTCTGTTATTATTAGGTTTTTAAATCAAAACTTTATTAGGATTAAACAGCTCTCTGACGCTTAAGTTACATTACTTAAAACATTGAATTTTCTAGGGACCTAATACCGCTATTAATAGCGATACAACATAATACGTGGTTTACGGGTGTGTGTGGTGACGGAGTGAGGGTAGGCAGCGAAGCTTGGGAGGCCCTGTCTCGGGTGTTGCGCTGCGCTGCGCCCCCACCACAGCAGCTAAGCTGGCGCGGTGCAACGTTACGTCACGATCATGCAGCTCGGTTAGGACACGCCCTAGCCCGCGCTAAAACTCCGCCTGCTATGCACACTATTGATCTATCGCAGAACCACATAGAAGATAAAGGTAAAAATTTGTTATTGTTTCTTTTTCTTTTTTTATGATAGAGAACAGATGAAGATTGGATTCACTTAATGAAAGGTTAAATACCGCAGCCATATATCATCAAAACAAGATGTTTTGGTTATTCGGAATTTCGGATTTAGTGTTAGTGTCGTCATCTCATTTATTCCTTATTCCTTAAAATTAAGAATTCCATTAAGAAACCTTAGTCTAATAACAAAAATCCTTTTTGCAAGTGTTTTTATAGAATTATATTTGACACTTTGTTGAAAACAACTATGTTATTGCAACTGTGGGAACCACGTTTCAGATGTCTCTATTTATTATTTTTCAGGTGCCATCAGTGTCCTAACTGGTCTAGCGAATAATCCAGACGGATTGCGGCATATAGCACTCTCGCAATGCGGGGTGACGGGAAAGACTGTATCGCACTTAGCCACATTGCTTAACGACAATCCTTGCCATCTGAACACTCTGTCACACCTTGATCTGTCGCACAACAATTTAAAGGATGACGTACATGTAAGTTTGATTGTTTTAAGTCGAATGGGGAAATGGGTGGAATGGTTAGCAGCTACTGTGGAATGATTAATCCGCCACCTATCGGAGTCTCCTACATAAAATCATAATTGTATTTAGTCATAAAGCTGTATCTGTAAGCGAAAGCAACAGCAGCTATTTCTGTAAGCAAAGGTTGTCTGGACGAAATTGCCATGGAGGATTTAGTATAAAGAACAAATAGTTTACTAAGTAATTCCTTGTATTTTTATTTTTTTGTGTGATGAATTGTTATTGCTAAATACTAAGTACTCTACTTCCAATAGTATTTATTACTATACCATAAAAACCATATTATTATATCCGTTTAACTGTTGTATTTGATTTTCTAGGCAAGTAGTTGAGTTTGTCAGGAGACAGACGACTTCTGTGATGACCAAAATATAGGATTGAAAACTAGAAAATTATTCGTTTGGTCTTTGTATCAGGCCTTTGTTTCTACCTACCATATAAAGTACAATCACATAGATAAACAACTTACAGGATTTACTTGTAATTTTTTCCAAAGATTTATTGCCGTCGTTTTCTTTCAGCATTTGTACAACTTTTTAGCACAACCGAATGTTTTGACGCATTTGAATTTAATAAACACTGAAACCACTCTGGAAAATGTAAGTACCATCAAATGTAAATATTAATTACACGAGTAGAACATAATAAATAATGCCTAGGGTCAATCCTACTTTTGGAATATGGTCTAGACTATAGACCAAGACAAAATATTTTTATAACCACATGAATTATAAATAAATAGAACATCGAAAATATATTTAATAAAAAAATACAACTTATCTAGTTAATTATTAGGTAAGTATTTTAATATTCAATATCGATGTCATAGGGGACTCGAAAAAACACCACTAAGTAGATATACCAAAATAACTTGAATTTAGTTAAATTTATTAACTCAATTAGCTCAATTTTCAGATGTGGGGAGCCCTTTTACGAGGCTGTGCTGCTAGATTATCCTCATTATACGTGGGGAGGAATCCCTGGGCCGCAGGGCGAAGGCCTAGAGACCCGCCCCCCTCGTTTCGACAGTTCTTCACAGCATGCCTTGCTCTTACGGATCTAGACTTTTCGTATTGCAAGATGCCGCCTGACGCTCTAAAGTACGTACTTAAAAATATTGCTTCCAAAACAATTATACAATTCACAATTGTAGAAGAATTATTAAAAAATAGATACGACTACACGATACCTCGATTGGATAAAGCAACAGCACAAGTATCCCAAGTATGTAAAGTAAGTAGGCCAAAGGTGATCGCACATTTGGCCTTACATGCTTAGGATACAGATTCATCAATATTCATCCCAAATATGTTAGGAGTTTACTACTGGGCTTGGCGTGCAACGAGAGCGCAGCTGGTGTAAAGTTGAACGCGTCGGGTGCGCTTGCGTCGTCACAAGCAGCGCACGTGCTGGAGTCCTGCATACACGGAGTCCGATGCCTCCGCTCCCTAGATCTTTCGGATAACAGTAAGTTTCTGTAAATAACGGGTTGGTGTAATGACACTGTATCGCTAAAGAAGAATAATTATTCTATACATATTTTTTCGGTACCTTAAACCGTCGTCGAAGCGAGCTCAAAGGAATGCCTCAAAAATTAATGATTTTCTCAGTTATTTCCCACTGTTTCTTCGCTCATACTCGTATTGATTGTCGCCTGATGTTTTATAGCCTTTCTCGTTAAATGTTTAATACAACCAGTAGTTTCTTGCGATTGGCGCGTTCAAACAAACAAACTCTCCAGCTTTATAATATTAGTTTAGATTAGTGGAATTGCTTACTGTATCCGTGCTAATTAAAACAATAATTGTAATTCAATACTGTCTATAGTTTACGCGAGTAGTACACATTTAAATAAAACACTTTAACGATTTAAAACGCGATATATTAGTTAACTAATATAACTAAAGTGTTTTATTTAATTGTAATTCTCAAAAACTATACAACATTCTCGCTCTCATTCGTGATAAAGAATGAGACCGAGAATGTTGTGCACGATTAATACATAAATACCTTTTTAATATAGATTAACAAAAAATAATACAACGGAAGTTAAATGATATTTTTAAGCGTTTAAGTTACGTTAAGTAACATATCTAATGTTAGACAATTTTAATGTCACAAAAATTGCTATCCTTTAAATAAACACTCTACAGTTCAAAACGAAAAATATTTTGTTAATAAGTTTTACAAATACGCATAACGTGTCGCATTTTACACCGTAAAAGGGGTTTTATTTAAATGTGACAGTACCTAATTGTTACCCCTTCGAATATATGTTGTTTTACTAACTTATGATGTATGAATACATTGGCCTTCAAACACATAATGCTTGTATTACTAAGATTTTTATTTTCTGTTTTAGGCATGGAGTTCGAACTGTCGGGCATAGTCAGAGCTGTGGGGAAGAACCATTCCATCACGCATTTATCTCTAAGCAAACTCACGGGAAAGCGTTCATATGCACCGCCGTTAATACAAGTTAGTATATTGCTAATATTTACACAACGTGAGTGCGTCGGTCATTTGATAGCTGAGAGCGAGGTCCATATTCGAATCCCGGATCGAATATTCCACGTATTTTTTTTATAACATTTTTGGCAACAGTCGGAATATGGAAGTAGGAGGTGTCATCAACATACTTCATTCTAAGGTCCCACTATCATCACTAATTTAGTGATGGCACACTGGATAAGTCTAGCCCTGTGGAGCTCTGGGCCCAGCAGAGGGACATCAATAACGCGTTCTTTTGTTATTACAGGCCTTAGTACATGTACTACAAGAACCGGATACAGCTTTAACCTCTTTGGATCTCAGTGATTGTAAACTTAAGGTGTGTATTGTCTGTAGTTTACGCAAGTAGTGCACAATTAAATAAATGATTTAACGGTTTAAAATGACGCTACGACAAAACAGATGGCGCTAGCGTAGCGGTTTTGACTTTGATATTAGCGTCACTCTTTATCTTAGACATATGGCGAAACCGTTAGGTTTTTTAAAGTAAAATTAATATATGTGTAATATGAGTGGTACATATGCATTTTATTTATGTTCTAACATAAAAACCTCTATAAATGCAACTTTAAAGACATTATGTCATAATAGATTGAACCTACGATACCTTTACACATATTCGTTTTTAGTTATGATTTTGTTCTGATCCTTTGATAAAGCAATAATAAAGATGTTTTTAATTTTTATATACAGGGTGATTTATACGGCCTTCTTAACGCCCTTGGTGGCGCACGGAGACTGCGCACACTAGATGTCGGTGGAAATTTAGCTGGGGACGCTGGTGCAAGACTCTTGGCTAAAGCTCTACAATGCAATTGCACGTTACACACGCTCTATATAGATCGGAACGCATTCAGTCTACAAGGTAAGTTGCTATCAAAAATATAGCCATAAACTAAACGAATGTCTGAGAGATTATTGACAGACCGATGCACTAACGCGTTACGTAACGAAGCGGTCTACCTTCCTCTATAGAAGTTATAACTTTTGAAAAATGCCAATGATTTGTATTTTTCTGTAATATTATCGTTTGATATTAGTAGAGTTTATATATAATAATAATAATAATAAATCTCTTTATTCAGCATTCATTTTACAATAAAAATAATAATAATAAAAGTAAAATAATAATAATATAAGTAAATGAAAATGATTCTAGTATAACAATAAAAAAAAATCAGTTAAATCTTTATGAATATATATTATTGATATATACCTTTGTTATTAAAAAAATACCTGAACTTGTATATTCACGAAATCTTGTCGTGCTTTTTAAATACAGCTTATGATCACGTTTGCAATTTTAATTACAAACCGATTATTGTATTAACTACACATACAAGTTTAAGCTTACATAAAAATACTATAGTCACCATGTCATTTGACACAAATTAAACTAGACAAATATTAGTATTAACTGTTACATTTAATGTTTTTTTAAATACTTCAATTGACATTTGTATTGTGATTCAGGTCTAACGGATATAGCGACGGCGTTGCGTAGATCAGTAAGCGTCCGTCGAGTGGAATTTCCCGCGAGTGACGCTGCGGCGGGTGGGCGTGGTGCCAGCGAACGAGTTGCTGCACTATGGAGGGATCTCCACGAACGGTGAAAATAATTACCTTTAAGCAATTTGGGCAAATGCTGACTGAAGAAAAACTGTATACTGAATACACGTCTTTTTTAGGTTATCAAGTAACACAACAGCGTCTCAGACGCACAGGTTAAGAGCCTTAGCACTAGAGAGAGCTTGGGGGGGTGGTGAAGCAGGGGCGGCATTAGCGGCAGCTGCTGCAGGCGCTCTGCCTCCCGCGCCGCTTCCAGCTGCAACAGAGCGAGCAGCGGCGGCAGCTCATCATTTACTTCATCAATACCTACAGGTATGTTCAGCATTTTTGTTAAATAATTTATACGGTATTGCAGTTTTAAAACTAAGACTACCCGAAGGACCATTTCCCTTTACAATTAAAATATTAACTTATGAGTATTTTACAGCGCTGTGGCGAAGTATTTGCCGCAATGGGTGGTTCCGGCTGTGCTAGCGAGCTGGTTTCTCTGCAAGCGGTGCGAGATGCATTCGCACCGTGCTCTAATACATTACAGGATTTGCTCAAGTGAGTATTTCTCTTTACATGAACGAATATTGACTTCTTGTTCCTTTTTTCACGTTTCACGTATGCATTTATCCAAAATTTTAGGATCTATAATAACATCTCTTGAAGCTTCTTCTGCATCCAAAGGTTACGCTAACAGATAATAGTATTTTAGAAACGGTTTGCAATAAACCAAGAAATCTTTATTCCGTAACTTATAAAATAATTTTATATACTAAATCTATTAAATTAACATAAATATTGCAGTGAAGCTGTAGAGAGTTTAGCGTTAGCGGCGTGTGAGAGTGTTGAGAGCGCGGACAGTGAGCACGCGACGAGCGCTGATCCAGACATACCTGATCTTCTAACGCCCATATCACACTCTGGGGTAAGAATTTTTCTACCTACCATGGGAAAAAAGCAGTAATCCGTTTAGCATGTAAGTATGAAACCTGTTTTACCCTAATGGGGAATTGGGCAAACGGGGCCTTGCCCCGATTACCGATTGAAACTATTTTTATTACTGAGACCCAACGCGGTCTACAACGTAGCTTCAAGCTTAAACCTAAGTATATGAATTGGAGAAAGCGAACATACATTAGTAATTAGCGATAACAGTAAGCTTTAACATTTTCCACGCTGCTTTAGAAACTGGATTACTTGAATTTGGTAAGTATAAGTAATAATGTTCTATTGATTTATTTAAAACACTTATAAATAAATTCACAGTATAGTCTAAGTACTTGATTATATTTAGACCATATTGTGTTTGTTCTCTTAAGGTACACAAGAAACTTATGTACTGTAGTCTTATTGTATACAATAATAGATATTTGTAATTTGATTTTATTAATTTCTTATTATAAGGTATTTCAAATGTTGTAACATACATTTAGTCTGTCTTGGTTTGTCGCTAATTGTGTGATAGTTCTTAAACCAATAAAATCGAATTTCAGGCGACACCGCTCGGTTGTCGGCGTAGAGAGCGCGGTGGTAGACGCGTGCGGCCCAAATCGGTAGCAGAGCAGCAATGCAGCAGTAACGAGATGCTGTCGCTGCCACCGCTGCATGCGGAGGCTGCTGATGCACTGGCAGATCTTCCTGCTCACACATTAAGACATCTCGTCAAAGGTTGTATTAGTATAAGTTACCTCCCTCTCTTAAACACTGGCGTAGAGAGTCGTTGATTAGTATTCCCATTTATAATGTTATCTGATATCTTACATGTACTGTTAAAACAAAATGTGTCGTACGCACCTAGTACATTTATGATAGAATAGAACAGACAAGCTTAGGTTACACTTGACGGAAGGTACAGCACCCCAGCCATATAGCATCTTGACTAAAATGCACTGTCGACCAATTTTGGGCTTTGTAAATTCGGAAATCCACAGACTGAAAGCGGAACGCAATTAAATTTCACGGTAAACCGGAAGGAATTTCCATATTCCTACCAACCATTAAATATCCAGACTTAGAAGTCGAACGTATTGACTAACAACATGTTGTGCCAGGTGGAAATCGAACCAATGGTTCGTTAATTATTAGCTTTACATTGCTACCATTAGATCGAGCCCGTATGTTGGTCAATGTGAAAACTATGTGTATATGTAATATTTCGTAGATATTTTTTAAAGCTTTCTTATAAGTCATAATAAGAAAATGCACACTGTTATTTTTTTCAAAAAAATTATGTATACATTTTATATGTAACATAATGTATTGTATGTGTATATTGTAGGACGGCCAAGGCGAGTCAAGACGAGAGCACCTACGCGACCGATAACAGATCAATCGCAAGATATCGATGAAGGTATATTAAAAAAAAAAAACTTTCATGTAAGGTGAAATATCCCAGTCATACAACATCTTAACAAGATATACTGTTTAGTTTTGGATTAAACTATTTTTCCATCTGTGAACAGAGAATCGTGACTCAAAGGGGATTTTTACATTATAATCATACATTTAATATTCAGGAATGACAACGGCGCGTCGGTTATTTGCCATAAATTGCACTGACGAATCTGTCAAACAAGGGATTCTCACTGTAACAAAAAAAAAGTTAAAAGTCAAAAAATATTTGAACATGTCATTGAACTTCACACTAGTTAAAACCTTAAAAATTTACATTTACTAAGTTAGCGAATCAAGAGCGTAGAACGAGCGAGAAGAACTGGCAAGAAACTCGCCACCACTCCTTTTATCGCCAAGTTCCTTTTGCAGTCTTCACATACTTTATTTATATGTAATGTAAAGGTTTAGAGGAGTTCTGGCGAACGTGCCGTACGCCGCCCGGCAGCGAGGAAGTGTCGTCGATGTCAGCTCGCACCGCGCTCACTTCTCGCTCTCTCCACTCGCTCTCGTCTCTCGCCTCTGCCTCGCCCGCCTCCCCCGCCTCACCTTCAGCACATCGCCACTCTCCTACTCTGCGAGATGATACTATGTAAGTAGTTTTAATACTCTAACCTCATTTGAGTTGATATTTAGCCTCTAACCTTGCTGGAGGGTCCTTAGATGAAACTGGTTTTCCCAAGTCTTGGTGGCTGGAATAAAACCAGCTTCATATAAATTATATTCTATTGACAGGTTCCTCTTTAAAAATTCCTGTGGTGTCTATTTTTCATCCACTATTTGTCTTCTTTTAGTTATACTTTCAGTATTAGTTAATTGCCGATCCGAATAATATACCAGTTTAAAACGCGAAATATATTAGCTAAATTATTATTCATTTATTTTGATGACGACTGACTGTTTCGTCGGCTCTGCATGTTCGCCTGTGGCCACGGTTACCCGCGTAAACTACAGATTTGCGCGAGTTAGTTACTTCTTAACGTTTATAATTTTTTACACTTTTTGGGTTATTGTAAAAACCCATTAACAGATCGGTGATTTTTACGTTAAAAATTTTCTTGAAATTATTGTATATAAGAGCTCCAACATTAAGAAGCTTGCTAAACCTGTTATTATCGTAATATTTTTCAGGTACAGCGTAACGTCTGGCGAGAGTACACCTGTTTTATTGGAATGTGGTAAGTTGTATATTCTCTTGCTTGTAAAATCTATAGATAGTATTTGTAAAAAGAGGGGGGTGATTATGTATATTATATTTCACTTTTTCAGAGGTGTCGCGTTGCAAATCTTCAGACAACGTAGGGACAAAGGCGACTTGCACGACGCCACCGCCGTCTCGGTCTTCAGATAATGTGAATTCCATGGGTGAGTTGCTTATGTAGCTTCTAAAATGTGAAGTTTTGCCTTGTCACTTCACTTCGGCGCGATCTTTAAAACTATACTTTGCCTATATATCACAATTTATTGTTGTTTCTCCAAACGTACATTTAAAAGCAGTGAAATAATTCATTGATTGGGTGTATTTATCCTTTCAAACGGTTCAGCGTGCTTTATACATATTAAATATTTTAAATTTCAGTGTATATTAGTTGTATTCTTAATTTTATGCAGTCCAACTAAATTGGAACAATTAATCATATAGAATATAAGATAAAGCTATTATCAAACGTATTAAACTATATTAGGCAAAGTATAATGTTTTGACACCAAGAGGTCTTTCACACCGCCTAAATGCACATCACACGGCTTTTTGCCGCTACGCTTAAAAATAACACAACTTTGAATCATGGACACAATGTGTTGGTGCTATATATCTCGTGAAGCTTACTTATGGGCCTTTTTTGCTTATGAAGACAGTAAAAATGGTGTCTTTTGTTACCATAGAAACAACAACAATTGTCAACAAAAATATGTAAATATCCTACCTACATCCTTGTAGCCTTATTTTGGAAACCTTATAAAAAATAAAGTTCTTTATCTAAATTATTTACAGTAACTACTAAAAATATGTATATATCAAATACTTTAAAGGAAGGTTGACAACATTCATTAATGCATATATTACTTAAATATCAACTGGGCCGTTTAATATCTAATCCAAGTTCATGGACACTTGTATACTAATAATTTTGAGCCGGTCAGGAAAAAAAAAAAAAAAAATTCTGAAAAATACTCAATTTATTTATCTCCGTTAGTAATATTGGCAAATGCTATCAAATGCTAAATGTCTTTGTGGGTTTTGAGCCTATACTGTATTGTGTTCGGCCGGCTTAATACGAGTGTGGTGTATAGGCAACGGATGCGCCCGCACTGCGGGCAAGGCGCGGCCTTGGTCTGTGGCGGGCGTCAACGCGGACAACTCGGCCGCTTGCACCACAGGTAACGCTAGCATGACTCACGCTTTTGATAAGGCTCGTTTCAGACTACGCTATGATATAATAACTATTATGAATTATAGCGTCGTCTTATAAGATCCTAATTCATGTGTTTAGAGATGGACTGATAGATGTGAATGAAGTAAGTTTGTATATACGTAAAGGAAACTCGTTTCCCTTTTTTTTTAATAGTTTTGAACAAATGTTTATTAATTACCCATATCCTAAGCCAAAAAAGGTCAACAGCTCATCTTGTTTAGATTTTATATGGCTGGGGTATTTGACAAACCACCATGCTTGTCTGACCTCCTCTATCATAAGTATTATTGAAGAAAAAAACATAGAAATATTTAATTTAAATAGGCATACATTGCGTTTATTTATTTAACTCATCAGTCCATCTCAGTTGCAGTTTGTTTTAGTCTTGTTCCAAACAGTCATGCATTTTATTGCATGGAATAATCTTTTAAATTCACGTCGCACGTTCAGACACCAGCCATTATTCCTAAAAAGGGAGTAGAAAGCTGCTTTTAATATTACAAACACCACATTGAAATAAAACACTTTTAACGGTTCAGAACTCGAAATATATTAGTTAATTTATATTTAATTTAACTACGGCCCGATGTTTCGGTGAACGGCCGATGGTAGCGTCGCCGTAGTCAATTAAATTAAAAGACATTTACTAATATATTTCGCATTTTAGACCGTTGTTAAAATGTGTTTTATTTAGACATTAGACTTCTCAAATCAAATTCCTAATCAACATAAAATTACTTTTGGTAACCTGCTTACATAGATATAAAAAATAAAAGCGGCTTTTTCCTCGAACAAGACAATGTCGCCGAAAAAAAAATCATTTGAAAATTCTTCAGTGTGTAACATTATTAATTAAGATTCATTTGAATTCAGTTAACCGAACTTTCAATAGCTTCGCTCAAATACAAATATTTCTAGAGTGTGAAATAGAAGATTATGTATTAGTATTATATTGCCAGTGGGTAGCTAACCTTATTTATATTTAGTAGTGTAAAAAAGGTCAATTCTTTTTTGGTATTATAAATTTTTACTGTAAAATTTTTTGATAGATTATATAAGTACTTTACGAAAGTTTAGGGGTTTATTATGTTAAAAATTTAAGTTGAAAGTGGGTTATGAATATTTGTTTATTAGTTACCAACTAAGTTAACCTTTCTGAGCGTTGGTATTGAGCGTTCGCGTAACCCTGGTGGTGGTCAACAGAAGGTGTGGAGGCGTGCGTCGGCGGGAGCATCGTGGGGATCACGCCGGGCGCCGCACTAACCAGTAACCAACTTTCTGACGCTATCCTATACTGAGCTCGCATCTATCGATATCGCCTCGCTAGCCTAAGCTAGGTAACGCTTGCCGCTTCATGTCGCCCTAGTACATCATTTGTGGTCCGTTAGCGTCGAATGATTTCTCATTGCGACTTAGATACGTTTTAGTATAGTTTAAATAGTTTTGAAGTAGTTGTATTGTGCGCTAACAAAAATTAATTAAATCAAGGCTTTGTGAGAAGCCTTTAATGCACGTATGTTGAAGCCTAGGGACTGTCGTGCATCATCGTGTCAAATTTGACAGATGTCAAATTAAATCATATAATTATTGTCACATATTCAATCTCTCTGCTCTTATTGGTCAATAGACAAAGGTTCTTATAAATCTCCTCGTCTACTCCTTCCGTGGATATTACAAATATTTCTTGAATATTACAAGAAATTATAACATACTTCATATTGCAAACGGTTCAATTATTTGAACATTTAATAAAATAACAAGGATTTTTCTTTTTTTTGTAAAATATACCACGCTAACAGATCACGTATAGGTATGTTAAAATAATACCGCTCGTACATTAAATATTTCCTTTTATTATTTGTACTTAAATTAGTTTACTTTTTTTATAAGGAAGTATATTATACAAATGTAAAGTGATACAACAGGTATGGCCCTTTTACTTTATAACTAACTAAAACTTGATGTAAAAATATCAAATCTCAGTGTATGCATGCTATACGTCCACTAGACACAACTTGATACATGTTTCTTTCGCATGTAAAAAATACGGCGAAAAATATTATGTTACAGCTCGTAGCTAAAAAGTAAATAGTTTGTTGTAATTGTCCTGTTACTTGAAGCACGGCATTATAGCTAACAATTTACTTACATTGAATCTAAGTGATATATAACTTGTTTTTTTATTTATTTTAGGCTCAATGTTACGAGATCACCCTCTTACTCCAGGTATGTCTATAAGAATACTATTTAATATTGATAGTTATTATACGCAATCTTGCAAATAGTGTTTAGAATTTTGCAACTTGCAAAAGCTTTCATGGTTATTTTGCAAAGCCACTTGGGTTTACTAGCTTGGCTGTCCTTTACCAGCCTCCGCTTAGTCGAGGAACGCCACCAGATGCTTCATCTACTTGTGGTGGTGAAACTCCAAATCAATTATTACTTATTTAATTTATACTATTGTTTAGCCGTGAAAGCGCAACTGTCTTTTATCCATCTTTGCAAAAGATCTATTTGATTTAAATGAAACAGTAACGGTTTAAAACGCGAAATATATTAGTTAAACTTAGTTGAAGCCGTGATCACGGGTAGACTAAAGTAAAAACTGTTACGCTAGCGCCCTCTGTTGCGTCGTACGTGGTATTTGCGAAATACCAACTATGACACACAGTTTTTAACGTACTTAAATAATTTTATTTAATACATTACGCGTCTTAAACCGTTAGTGTTTTATTTAAATATGTACTACTCGCGAACTACAGACAGCTCTATTTGGATTATTAATCTATGAAGGCTATAGAAGAATTCTGAGAATCGTCTCTTATATTCACTCTGTTCATTTTAGAAGACGGCGACGCCTGAGCGCACTGCATAGCGGCGAATGGAACGCGGGTTAAAGAGCAGGGTTTTCGATACGTCACGTATTGATGCTCATTGATGTGCCACTTAGCTGTAGACAACCACCGTAGTCCCACTAGAGCGGAATAGGTCACACTTGCTAGAGTATCATGGTCTGTTTGGCAATATTAGTTCAACCAAAAAAATGGCTTAAATTCCGTCATTTATTTAATTTATTTTTAGTACATTGACTCTGTAGACATATAAGATCGTTATCGTCATACATTCCTTACAGATATAACTCCCAAACAGTGGTAAAATCCATGATAACAATAAAGTACCTAAGTAAACAGTATAGAAGTTTAGTATAAAAGAACGACTATTGCCAGACAAATAATGTCAAGCGGATTCCCACGTAGTAATTTAATCTAGATTTTTATAAACAGCCATCTGTTTTTCTGTTGACAAATGTATTGTGACTATTTGAAACTAAACTTCGATTATTTAACTTATCGTTAATAGATATTACATACAATAATTAATGTAAACTAAACAATATCTGTCTTGCTTTCGCAAGTGCGCATTTTAATATAAAATACATGACGTATTCAAGGTATAGTTAAGTGAGAAAACGTTTTACCAAGGAGTATTACCGGATGTAAACTTAATTTATATTGACATAATAAATTTGGTTATTATACATATATAGTCATAGGGCTTATTTAATTGAAATAATCGTTTTTATTTACTGTGATTATTTTATAGTGTAATTTTGAAATTATTCATATTATTGCTTATTGTTTAACCTTATTTTATACCGCAATTACGTTACATGGATCGTGAATTTAGATCTCGAAATCAACAGAGCCCTAGTAACGAATAGTGAATGTCTTTGTCGCGCAAATGTCATGCGCAAGTTTGAAGGAAAAAGCTAAACATCGTTTAGCTATTTCGTAACTTGCACGCTTGGAGGTAGGAGTTTAACGTAAAACAAAATGTTTTTCAGCGAACAAACTATTTAGAGAGCTTCGTTTAATCGTTGAAGCCGTTTCTCAATGCCTATTGTTATTAACTTGATAACAAATTTTATTAAATCGGTCTTTCCTAGTCATGTTACAAAGGCCTACGAATTACGCACAATTATTTATTATTATATTACAGGGCTTAATCAAATTTCTTATAAATTATGTTTTAAAATCTTCCAATTTATGCATTCCGTATATTATGATGTACAGATTAGCGGACGAGTGTGATTTTAATGATTAAAAGTTCAAAATATAAACTCTAAAAGGCGATGTTCAATTTTACGATAATGAATTAGTATAGAGAACACTCCGTACGTTTAAGTGTTCATTAGTGTTAACTATTTTGTACAATCAATATTCTTCATTTATCTTTGGAAATAAGGCTGTCTTTTGAGATTTCACGAACGTAAAGTTATTTACCTAAGTAGATAATTGTAGGACCTATCATACATATGTTAAACGTATTGCTAGCCCGCTTATTACAGTATAGTGGGAGCGAAACGGCAATACGTTTTGATTTTATTACAATTGAATTTAGCACCACTGTATAGTATATCGATTGGTAAATTATTTCATAGTATTTTTATATTAATTCCCCTTTTGTTTTGTATTTGTCACCACCAGTGGGTAAATAGTTATGCTCTTGCGCAGATTATTTACTAACATATACTGTATACATTATTACATAGATGTGAGTGTCGCTATGTCTACAAACATCTCTTGTATTGTCTGCATATAAACAATCTAATGATTTTACCAACTGGGGGTGACTTTGGTACCAGACTGATTTTAGGTACATTTATTTTATGGTGCAATTTATGTATAGAGTTGTGATAACTTGATTTTAATTATATTATACAACAAATTTCTGTTTTTTTTTTATGAGGGGACAGAAAAGTATGACATTTTCTTGATAGAAGGTAATAAACACCATCTATATACAATAATATGTAAACAAGACATACTATATTAAAAGTCACTTTCTTTAGATTATTACACTATGTTCTGTTCCGATGTGGTGGACTGGTTTCCAAACCAGCTGTCCTTTCGGGTGCAAAATACTATGGGTAGTATTATTATACTTGTAAATACAGGCATCATGTGGAACAACAAGTAGCATAAATGAAACAAAAATCAAGTTTCATACATCCTTATATTAACAAATAGAAAAATATTTACAGTCTTATATTTAAGTGAAATAAACAAACACAATCTTGATGTACATACAGAATGTTGTAGTTAGCTATGAGGCCAATAGCTGTCGCGAGAAGAAACTCATTCGTTAATTTTAATTGAATAATATGTACAAGAAAATTGGTGATACTCCACATAATAAGAAAATTCTTAATTCATATTTAGGATAGTCAACTTAACTTTTTAATTGTATTTTTTTTACATTAATTTCATCACTTCTCTCATTCCAAAGGTTATAACGATAATGATTTCCATAAAAAAATACACGTATCCTTAACTAAATCAGAATCAGACATAATTCTTTACGCCCTCCATTGAGTTAACGTAACAGTATATTTATACTACAGTACAAAATTGATTGGATGATTAGTCAACTATCACAAATATTTACAATATTAGTTTCAATGTGAAGCGGTTAACTCATTCATAAATAGGTCTCCTCCCATAGAAGAGAGGACTCAAGACTAAACCCAACCACTCTACTTCGAAGCGGACTATCGCCACCAAATTAGTAAAAATAGCCGGTACTGTCAGCTTAACATCGTATCACAAACTCTTATGAACCTGAAAAAATTGGTTCAATTGACGATTTGAACTATATTTTATACAATATTTATGTCATATAAAAAGATCCGAAGTTTTACATTGCCTATGAAATTGTTTGAACGTGAAGTACAGTAGCACACTACTCTCGTTTGTAAGCAAATATAGACGAAAACAGAGTGTCTTACTAAAATCATATCTGAGATCTTTAATTTCCATACAAATTAGATGATAAAATATTCAGAACCATGTCTCTTAAAATCAATGTGTGGTTATTACATGTGATTTCAAATTTGTGTCTATCTGCGAGGAAACAAAAATTACTGGACGGAGTGTAATTTTTGTTGTATTTAAATTTCTTGTATAAACAATATCAGTTTTACCACCACTATCATAGGAAGGCAGTCAAATAATTATAAATGCAAAAAAATGAGGTTTATCTGTTGTGATATTGATACTTAATTTAGTTTAAGAGTCCTCGCCACAATATCGTTTCTGTTGCCATGCCATAGTACAAAGCCATAATGATACATTGTAAGCTGTTGTGTAAATCTAATTTTACCATAATCATGGTAACAAATGGTGTCAAAATTGTTCTGCTTTTACCACGGGACGAGGAGACTTGCCATATTATATTCTAACATGAACAATACATAATTCAGTCATACTCCAAACTAAAAACGCACTGTTGTACACAAATATTTTTAAATAACATTGTCGTTACAAATTGTTTCGCTTAAATAACATCAAACTTACACACTCACTTTCTGAGGATGACAGTAGTATCAGGCATTGGGAGGTATCTCTTTCTTTGGTTCCTCCAGGTTCGATACGTTTTTCACATCTTCTTTGTTGTCTTCAGCTAAGGAAGAAATATATTGTTATTATTCTGTAACTAATTTTAATGCACTGAAATTTCTTTAGACCTATAAAGCAGTATAAAGTAAGTATTGATAGCGATATATAATATTTGTCATCAAATTTGCATATTAAACTTGTGAGTTTGATTCAAATTGTCGGTTTTGTATATTTTTAGTTTTGAACTTTTACTAGAAAGAGTGAATAAATATATATAGAGTAGTATATCAGTATGCGTACGTTTGACATCATCCTTGGCGTTATTGTCCTTGTCTAACCGCGGCCGCTTGCGCTGAGGAGCGCGGTATGACCGATTGTCTCGTCGACCGCCTTCGCCCTCGTCCTCCGAGTCTGATAGCTCACCGTCGCCAGTTATGCGTTTATCCTACATACAAAATGAAAACTTAGTACTATTACATTTATAATTGAATAATGCCAGCTTAGGGAATCCTCAGCTGGCACTAAGACAAGGAGCGACGTGATATCGTTCTAAAATGGTGCTGACGGAAGTTGAAACGACCTAAGACCTACATTTCATTAGTATATTATGTTACATGTATCTTAAAATTGTAATTTACCTTCTCACTCTGTGGAAGTCTCTCATCTTTGTCAATCTTATCTTCATCCTCTGACTCATCATTGACAGCATCCTCTGGAATAGCTTGAACCTGTGGATTTTACATTGATTTATTAGGCTATTAAAAATCGGTGCTTGGACGCAGGATGAAATTGTTACGATGGCTGTAAAATTTTGATTGATGAGACAAGAAACAAACAAGAAAGAAGAAAAAACACATAATTGGAAAGTTTTTGAGGCATTTGTCAATAGAAAAACTGATTCAAAATAGTAATAATACATAAAATAAATTAGTATTAATATGTAATGTGTTAATGTTAATAGTGTCTTGTAATGATCTAACAAGCTGACAAACAGAAGTCAAAAAGACCTACACTATCACTTTACACTGCATGTCTTGAGGTAGTTTTGGTAAAATCCTACAAGTCCTAAAGTTTGTTTCTTACCTGTACTCCAGGCGCGTGTGGCAACATGCGTAAGTTTTCGAATAGTCTATTTTTTATCTTGTCAAGATACTCCGTGGTGTTCTGGTTGGACATGTTGCTTGGTGATATGTGGAGTTTAAAGTCTGGGCCAAAGTATTCAAAGTAGTCATTGTAGGGCAGCTCATTCGCTATTTCCACGCCGAGTGCGACGGAAGTCTCGTACGTCCAACAACGCGATACGTTGCGGATTGTATAACTGTAGATGAGAAAAAATATATAACTAATAATAATAATGATTGACAAGGTATAATAAAGTGCCAAGTAATGTATTTTTCTTAGGCTTGACTCGTCAGAACATGATCAAGAATGAATTATCCAAAACCACATACCCTCCACCTCCAACCAGGAGGAATGGCAGACCAAATCTCTTGACTAGCTCTACACACCGTCCGTGACCACGCACCGTAAGGTTGAAACAACCTAATCTGTCACCTGTAATATGTATAACTATCATTTTTACATTCATTTAGTGGTAAGTTACAGGTCATAAGACCCATAATTTCTATTATTGAAAACATGATTTTGAAGTTCTTTAATGTAGTGTTTATTTAAACCGAATTTGTTACTGTAAGTAAAACTATGCATTTGAATCAAATAAAAATTGCTTTATACAATAAAAATTAAAAAAAATCTTTACTCTTAGGTAAAATCTTGAAGATGCTCTACCTGTAAGTGAATCCGCCCCACACTGCAAGACAACAGCACTGGGTTGGAATGTCTCCATGACTTTAGATATGATGGGTACAAAGATAGACTCATAAGATTCATCGTCCATTCCATCACGGAGGGGTATGTTCACTGCATAGTACTTTCCCTTACCAGCACCGATGTCTCGTAGATCACCTAATAATATACTTCCATTTTAGTATCAATTATTTAAAGTTTGATTCAAACTGTTGCCAAACAATACACAGTAAACTCACCAGTGCCGGGGAAGTATTCTCCATATTTATGGAAAGAGACTGTCATAACTCTATCTGTGGTGTAAAATGCTTCCTCCACCCCATCCCCATGATGAACATCAATATCTATATACAATACTCGCTGATGGTACTTCAGCAGCTCCAAGATGCCAAGAACAATATCATTGACATAGCAAAAACCAGATGCTTCAGATTTTTTTGCGTGATGCAACCCTCCACCCCAGTTGATACAAATTTCAGATGCCTAAAAATTTTAAGCCTTATATAACCTTAATTAAAATACTTTTGGTGTTTTGTAGAAACTTATGATCTTATGAGTAAAATAATGGATTTATATTAAAAATGTGTCTGTGAAAACAAGTAGAAATATTACCTGTTTGTTCAACTTAACTGCAGCAGCAACTGACCCTCCTGCTGACAACTGACAGAACTCATAAAGTCCATCAAATACTGGACAATCTTCACCAACATTAACTAAAAATGTTTACAGTATAAATTATATTGTACATAAATAAAAAAGTATATGAAATAAAGTAATTATAGAATAACTTTACTGTAGATTCTTTCATGTCTTTTAATGTTTAGAAACATAATATAAGTCTAACTTAGTAAATAAGTGTTTGTAACTCTGAAGTTCAAAGTAAATGAAATCGTAAAAGCCTTACATCTTTGCATCTGCTTATTGTACTCTGACATATTGTCTGGTCTGATAGAGCGAAGGAATCGTATGTAATCATCTGAGTGGAACTTAGTCATTTCATCGGCGGTTGCCTTGTGTGGTCTCTGTACAATAAACCATTAGAATTCCGATTAAATATATATGTATATGTCACTGTTATTAAACATATTATTATTTAACAGAAAAACCTACGTATATCTCCATTTTTCTGTATAATCCGTAGTTTAACAGTAAATTATGTGTCATACGTATACGGTGCGGTTTCATCGGGTGCCCTTGTCCATAATAATAGTTTCCAATATCACCTAAAATATACATAGTTTTAAAAAATGTGGAAATCATTTCGAACTTTATAAACGATTGTTACGCAGGTCATTTTAGAGCTTGACGTATTTCAGTCTGTACCTTAAATACCGAGAATGAACAAAATCTCGACAGCCAATCGCGTCAAGTACAGAATTACAGACGCTAGTGAATGATCTGAATAACGGCCTCATAAATTTCTCAAGATGATGTGATTATCGTATAAAACTTCAAATAAAAAGATTGAACGGAGCGCGTGTACAGAATATTAAAAAATGCGACGGAAAGCATACAAAGTATTATTATATACAATAATTGTAGCAGACAGTAGTGTTGGCGGGGAACAACTTTTCAATACTTACTATCATAATAATAACACACTCTTTTCTTACTATGTGGTTGCATAGCCATTTTAAGTTATTACACTAATACGTTTTAACAGAAATAAATCCTATTTCCTAATTTATTTCAAATAATTACACTTGTACAAAATGCACAGCACAAACAGCGTTAACTTTCAGATGCAAGATCGACGAATGAATTTAAACAAAAGAATGAGTCGCATTTTGTCGTTCAATTTAGGGTTTACAGCTTCACATTTCATCGAAACTAACAAATGTGCTAATTTACGTGAAAGGCTCAAAATAAATTGCAATATTTACTTTATATCTTTATAAATATTTTAAATAGTTTTAGTTGGAGATAATAATCAGCGTGGTTTTTATGTCATTTGAATAATAATAGTCTCACGGGTATATCGTGAGATTTAAAAATCTTAAAAATACTAGAAAAGACTTTAGTTACTAAAATATACATTGAAATTTTGTGTTAAATCATAATAAAAAATATATATATATTCATATATCATTCCATGCTCCTACGTTTACGTTTATTATTTTCACAGACTATGCGTAATAACAACATTACGTTTTACTGTCATACATGTAACATGACACATTCGAAATTACAATCCATTCATCGTTCTCGTTCTCCATTACGAATTTCACTCCTAAATTAAAATTTTCTCTTCTTCAAAGCAGCGGTCAAGGTAAGACGTGTGTTGTCGTCGGAAAAATATTTAGTGAACACTGAAGATTAAATAGAATTTATTACGGGGTATTGAACCCACGTTGATATTTCCCTTTCTATTTTTTCAAAAGAATAGCAAGAAATAAAAAAAACATTTAGAAACAGTGCATTTATGGACGTGTGTCTTTCCAGATTGACCCTGCAAATAAAATAAGAGATTGACCATCTTTATTTATCAAGATCATCACTTCATAATATTACCACAAAATGTAAGTATTATTTACTTTATCATGCCTTGATTTGTTTCATGACTTTATTTTTGATCGTACTATTATTTTAACTAATCTTTATCTATCAGCAATGTTCACTTGTATCTTCGTAGCTTATTACACACGTAACTGACCTATTCTTTTATAATTATATAACTATTTATTCTTTTAATACATAGTTTTTTTTTTGTAATAGAACATTATTTTTTATACAAAATTTGGTAAATGTAAGTTCTCTGAATCAATATCCGCATCCACCATTTTGATTTTGAACGCGTCATCTTTTGACGCATGCGCCTCTCATGTGGGCGCCTTAAACGTTGCTATTGATTTTCTGTTCTCGTCTTGCAATGCCTTTAATTTTATAGAAGTATTTAAACATTTAACTTCTATGTGAGTTGCTTATGAATAATAAGATTATTTGTAAACCAGTGTTACTAATTATTATTTTTTGTATCAGGTCAGGAAATTGGAATAATAGCCGTGGTGGTAGCGGTGGTTCCAAGTACGGTGGTGGTGGCGGCGGCGGAGGTGGTAGGTTTGGAAACAATGGAGGCGGTGGCAGATTCGGTGGTAACAACGGTGGAGGGTATGGAAACAAAAAGGAGTTCTCAGGAGGACAAAACATGCGGCGGCCTAACTGGGACACGATGTCACTGCAACCATTTAACAAAGACTTCTACAATCCAGCTCCAGCCATATTAAATAGATCAGCTTATGAAGTTGAAGAATACAGAAATGAACATGAAATCACAATCAGTGGTGTAGGTGTACCTAACCCTATTCAAAACTTTGATGAAGCAAATTTCCCAGACTATGTGTTGCAGAGCATTAAAAAATCTGGCTACAAAGATCCTACGCCAATTCAAGCACAAGGCTGGCCTATTGCCATGTCTGGAAAGAACTTAGTAGGTATCGCGCAAACAGGGTCGGGAAAGACACTGGCTTATATTCTACCAGCTATTGTACACATTAACAACCAACAACCCATAAGACGTGGTGACGGCCCTATCGCTCTTGTACTTGCACCTACTCGAGAATTAGCCCAGCAGATACAACAAGTGGCTACCGACTTTGGTAACGCAGCGTATGTGCGTAACACGTGTATTTTCGGAGGTGCGCCAAAGCGGGAACAAGCACGTGACTTGGAACGCGGTGTGGAAATAGTTATAGCGACACCTGGTCGTTTGATTGATTTCCTTGATAAAGGAACTACTAATCTACAGCGCTGCACATACTTAGTGCTAGATGAAGCTGACCGTATGTTAGACATGGGTTTTGAACCCCAGATCAGAAAAATCATTGAACAGATTCGTCCTGATAGACAAACTTTGATGTGGTCAGCCACATGGCCGAAAGAGGTTAAGAAACTAGCTGAAGACTACTTAGGAGACTACATGCAAATTAACATAGGATCAATGCAATTGTCGGCTAATCATAACATTCTACAAATTGTAGATGTATGTCAGGAACATGAAAAGGAAAACAAGTATGTATTTTTAATTTATTATTTCAATTTAATGCATAAGAGTACGTGATGAATTATTTCTGAATGAATTTTTTGATTATATTATTTTTTATATCCTCTAAGAAGATCTGATTGTTTTTTCAAAGTATGCATTAAAAGTAGTGTTATATTGATTTAAACCAATAAACTTATTTTCAGGTTAAACACCTTATTACAAGAAATTGGCGACAGTCAAGATCCTGGTTCAAAGACAATTATTTTTGTTGAAACTAAGAGGAAAGTAGAAAATATCACACGAAACATCAGGCGATATGGATGGCCAGCTGTGTGTATGCACGGAGACAAGACCCAACAGGAAAGAGATGATGTACTTAGACAATTCAAACAAGGAAGGGCAAGCATTCTTGTTGCAACAGATGTTGCAGCTAGAGGACTTGGTGAGCTTAAGATTTAGAATTTTTCTTTAAAAATGTTTTTTTTTACAAATTGTTAAAGGTGTTTACAATGCCTACAATTCTATTGTTTAGTATGTTATGAAAATGTTTGTTTTATATTTTCAGAGGCACTGGCGGAAGGTTATTGTGTTCTTTTCGATTACTGTCCCAAATTTGTGGACATGTTACTGCACTGGATATGTAGATAAGACATTTTTCTGATGCAGTTGATAGCTTAATGCAGAATGCAATAACTCGTCATTTTAAAGGTGCCTCAAAGTGCCTTTCACTGATTGGACCCGAGGCCGGAAAGCTGGATAGTATGTCCGTCCATTCGGATACACTTGAAAGTTGAAGAAAACCTGGTGATGCACATGAGATTGACATTTACAAAGATAGAGATAGAGTGCATTGTTGAAAAACTTGACCAACGGTTGAAGTCATTATCGGCAAGAGGTCAAGGGTTTTCTGTTCTGGCCACCATGGAGTTTTTGAAGGGGCAAAGTTGATAGGTTTAATTCCCATGAAATAAGTTTACGCCCTAAAGAAGACTCCTGGGTTCTGAGTGAGAGGCAAATACTTGAGACTTGTTTTTTTCAACATATGTTTGTGTAACTCATTCATGTAAGTAGAGTCGAGTTGCATAAAATATTAATAAACTTTTCCTTAACCATTGTACCTAAAATGTTCATATTTAAGTTTGTAACAGATTATATTTTAAACCTGATTTAGAGTATAGCCATCTGTTCTAAGCTTTACTTGAACTTTTAGTTTGTTGTGTCCTTATTTATATTATATTATTTTTCAGATGTGGATGGTATTAAATATGTAATAAACTTTGACTATCCCAATTCATCTGAGGATTACATCCACCGCATTGGTAGAACCGGTCGTTCAAAATCAAAAGGAACATCTTACGCATTTTTCACACCTTCAAACTCCAGACAAGCAAAAGATTTAGTGTCAGTGCTACAGGAGGCTAATCAGGTTAGCACAGAAAAATTAATTTTTGTTCCTCATACCTTTGGCATGGGTACGTTCTTAAATAACGTGACATGAATGCAAGTATGAGGTACATAAAAACAGCTACATGCCTTCGGTGTCCACATACTCTTTATCTGGATCCCATCCTCAGATGCTGTGACATTCATACTTTCATAATAATTATATAACCAGGTATTTAAGATTTTTACAAGTATAAGATTTTTATTTTTCTGCAGATCATCAGCCCCCAGCTACAGACAATGGCTGACAGATGCGGCGGCGGTGGTGGTGGTTGGAACAGAAATAAGTTTGGAGGTGGACGAGGTGGTACTTTCAAGAGAGGAGGAAACTTTGGAAGAAGTAATGGTGGTTCCAATAGTTCTCATAAGAGATTTAGTGACTACTAGACAATTTATCATAATTAGATAATTCTCAAACATTTTGTTCGTGTATGTATCTATTTAATGTGTGGAACTGATGTCAAGTGTGTAATAATAATGTAAATCTATCACCATTTTATGTGAAGTGATTTTTTTTTCAGTACAAGTAAACATCTTGTTAATTTACTTTGCTCTGTGATAATTCTTTTGATGATGAGCTGATGCAACTGTTTTGTACCTAAGTGCTTCACATTGTCATATTTATTACTTTCATACCTTATTTAAGTCCAATATCCTCAATGACTTTGTACAAAGTTGGCATCTTATCATTCCAATCTGAAGTAAGATGAATATAATAATGATTATTATTAAGAAATGTTGTTTTATTTCTACAGTTAGTTAATTTTTTTATATACATATTGATAATAAATTGTTACACAACTTACTATGTAGTGGATTATATAATTTAAAATCAATTTAGATTGAGGAAAAAAGTGTACACAAAGCAGGCTTTAAGTTTTCAAATACTTAAAATATTCCAAGTTGTATTTTGTACATCAGTGTTTATTCGAAAGCTTATGCCATGTTTATCCATTAGATAGTATTTGTATATAGAATGTATCCTTACTAATATTATAAATCCAAAGTAACTGTCTGTCTGCTACAAAACTACTGATCGGATTTGAATGAAATTTGGTACGTAAAGTAAACAAAAAGATGCGCAGTTACCATACCAAAAGTTAATCGGTTCGTTAATGTACCTGGCTATTAGCACTAGACCAGACATTATGTATACCGTAAGCTACTTAAGCCAATTTACTACCTGTTACGGCTTCGAACATTGGCAGGCGGCAAAACGAGTACTAAAAGGACCGGAATGGCTGATGCAGATTGGGCAGCGTGTACTTTAGATACTGGCTACTGTTGATCGTACACTGGACATGTGTTTAAATATGGTGGTGACTTGATCAGCTACGAAAGCAAGAAGAAGAGTAGTTGGAGGCTAGAGGAGGCTCTATCCACAGCAGAAGCTGAATATATGGCGTTACTAACTCTGTACAATGATAACATGGCGGCAAATAAATTAGCTAATAACTCTATGACGGGCAAAAGATCCAAGCACATAAGTATAAAGGATTTCATAAGAGAATGTTTCCAAAGAGAGGATATAATTCTAAAGTACAAGCCGACTTATGACATGGAGGCTGACATTATGACAAAAGGGTTGCAGCCTTCTGCAGATTGCGCAAATTAATTTGCCTCCAAAATCTTCAAGAACATCTCGTGAGGGAGAGTGTTATAAATACTCCTTCATAAGTCACTCAACATTCTTAAGATATTATGTAGTTGCTATGGTTACACTTCTTGTTACAATACAGTTAGTAAAAGGATGTGAGTACAATAAAATTCATATACATTTTATTTTCTTTTACTTTATAATAACAGACGCTTTTAACGTCTAACAATAAATTAGATACCCCTTAACGATACAAATAATGACAATCAGTTTAAAAATATAATATTTAGAATAAAAATCCATACCTTTTTTCTTGGCTATATTATGATTTATGGTAAATAATAAATATTACTAATATGTAATATTTTTTTATATAACATATATCAGACGATTTGGCCATTTCTCATCCCAACTAGTCTTTGTCTATGACCTATGAAGACAAATGAAGAGAAAATAAGACATGGCTTAAAAGCCTCGTTACCAGGACATAAATAAAAAAAAACAAAACAAATGAAGAGTGCTCAGTCCTATGTACCAGGCCATAAAAAATTATGTAAAAGAAAAGTGTGCTATGAAGTGCGAACTATTCATATAATTATAAATACGTTTTTTGTTAAGTATTTTAATATAATACTATACAAAATATTCTATAAAGTGTTTCAAATTGTTATATGAACTGCAAATTTGTTGTGAATATTATTCATTCTAAGAAGTAACTTTGTCTGTAAATTTAATTCTAACAAAAACATATAAGACATGGCCCATAATATAATTGTAAGACATTTTTTGAGGCGTAAGGATTTATCTGTATTGTAAGTAAATAAATCTTTTTCTATAGTAACTAAAATGTTAATTCATACATAATTTTAAAATAATGTGTATCTTTTAAGGTTATGTCCAAACGTGAAACAAATAACACCAGCGAATACAATTCTTAAACAAATAATTCGCACTGTTTCCTACGACTCTATATATCAACGCGGGATAGATTATAAAAAAATATGTTGCAATAATCGATTTTATTCAATAAACGCGGTAACAAAAACGGACGAAGAGTATATAACTGAGAACAAAATTACCATTGTGGGTGAAGACGTCCCTAGTCCATACAGAGATATCGATGCGAGTGACTTTCCGGATTATATTAAATCTTTTTTGAAAGAACAAGGCATCACCACACCCACAGCAATACAATCACAAGGGTGGCCAATTGCATTAGCTGGAAATAACTTTGTTGGTATTGCACAAACTGGTACTGGGAAAACATTGGCATTTCTTTTACCAGCCCTTGTACATTTAAAGGAACATAAGGCTCGGCGAGGAAGAGGCCCGAGAGTTTTAATTTTGGCTCCAACTAGAGAGCTCGCTAGACAAATTGAAGTGGTTGCGAAGCAATTTGAAAGGCCATTAAATATCCGTTGTTTGTGCATTTATGGAGGAGTTAGTAGAGGAAACCAAGCAAATGAACTCCGATCAGGAATTGATATTCTTATTGCAACACCCGGTAGATTGAATGATTTCATTGATAGTAAAGTGACTAACCTCTCTAAATGTACTTATGTTGTCTTGGATGAAGCTGATAGGATGTTGGATATGGGATTTGAGCCCCAGATAAGAAAAGCTCTCGAAGGTGTTCCTTTTGAAAGACAAATATTGATGTTTTCTGCTACATGGCCTAAGGAGGTGCAACATTTGGCAAAAGATTATCTAGGAAAATTTGTACAAGTTAATGTTGGTTCAACTGATTTGACGGCGAATCACAATATTACACAAAACTTCTATATTGTGGATTATGAGGAGAAATTACAAAAGTAAGAAAATTTTAAAGCCACTTTATACTAAATGGTTATATAAACCTTAAATTAAACAAAGAAATCTTACAACTAAAGGAATGTCAAACATGTTAGTGATATTAAAATAAGTTTATTAAAAACAGCTTATTGCCAACAAATTGTATTCTTAAAATAATCAATTGTGATGATCAAACAGTTATTACACACTGCACTTCTGTTCACAGATTCCAGGAAATAATGCATGAGATATCAGGAAAAGGTAAAATTTTAGTATTTGCAAACACTAAAAGATTTGTTGACAATTTAACACTCAGACTACGGAGGAATCAGTGGCCAGCTGTCGGCATACACGGAGACAAGACACAGCTCCAAAGAGATGTTATCATCAACAAATTCAGAAGTGGTAGTAGCAATATTCTTGTTGCCACTGATGTTGCAGCGAGGGGCTTAGGTATGTCATTTAAACTTTCTTCCTTAACTGTACAATATTTCATTCAATGTTATTTCTTAGGCAACTCTAATCTATCTATCTAATGAAGGGTATGGGGCCACATGGCAAGTAGGTGATCAACCTTATGTCATATATAATTAACGCACTTTATATACATTTTTTTAGAATCCAAATCCGGGAGCTAAACTCCTCTACAGTTTAAAATGCTAGGCAATGTGTGTTACCATAACTATGAGATATAAAAGAAATATGGAGTGATATTTAGAAGCTTACCCTTATTTTTCAGATGTTGATGGAATCACACATGTTGTAAATTACGATTTTCCAAACACTCCCGAGGACTATATTCATAGGATCGGAAGAACTGGTCGCTCCCAAAATAAAGGTGTCTCATACACTTTGTTGACCAGTGAAGATGCCAGACATGCTAGAGACCTAATAGCTGTATTAAAGGAAGCCAAACAGGTATATAAGTATTAAAAATTAATTTGCTTTGAAGCACAAAGGGTTTTGTTTTTCAGATTGTGTATATTTTTAAAACCTTCGCCTATTCTTAATTATAAAAATAATAATCTGTACATACATTTTTCAGGAAATACCACACGAATTAGAGTATTTGGCGAGAGATTTTCAAAATAATAAGATTATTGAAAAACGCATGAAACAAAAGCCGAAGTCAAGAAGTAACTTCAGGAACAACAGAAGATGGCAGAAGTATGACAGAGAGGATTATTATTAAATTAATTTACGGTTCCTTAGCTATATACACACATTAGGTGGTTAACTGTGATTAAATGAATGGTGAGTAGAGAGTTTTGAATGATGGATTCATCAGAGATAAATGTATTATGTAAGTAGTTTAAATTCTTTATCGTTCATTCACACCTAGACATTGTTTCGGCTTTGGAAGATATTAAGAATTTTTTTTGCCTAATTTAAAACTGTATATTATTGAAATATATTGTTTGATCAGTACTGGATTTGCTTTTTATTTTCTGAATGATAGAAACAGAAATCCTTACTAAATCTTGTTGCCATATGTATTCAGATAACTAACCTGAAATTCAGCATTTAATTGTCTTTCGGGCCGATCATCGACTCCTCGATTGCTCGAAGAATTCTTCGGTAACATCTCCTGATGATGCCGAAACGTCGAGAACCTCTTCTCGGTCACGTTCGCCGAACATCCCGAAAGACAATGATATGCTGAACGATGACCGTTAAAGTCTTATACAATTTATTAACCTGGAATTATTGTGAGGCATATAGTGACTTATGAAGCTTCTAACTAAAATTTTAAATCATTTAGCATAAGTTTAGTCAGAGCAATATTATAAGTTTGTAAATATTGCGGTTTTCGTGGGAATCTTAATTTATAGTTACTGGTTGCTATGGTTACATCAATTGCCCAGCACGTCAATAATTGTCAATTTAGCGATGCTGAAAATAAATAAACAATTAATGTGAAAATCAAATATATAAATGTCGCATTCTAATGGCGCTACTACCAGATCTCGATGTGAGGACTGTACTTAATGTTGTTGAGGAAAATTATGAAAAGGAAAAATTGGTGAGGATTTGGTCCCTTTTTTAATAGACTACGTATCGCTACTATGAGAAGCTGGTCAAATCTTGAGTCACCAATTTACGTTAATGAATTATTTTAATGTAATGTTAAAATATATTAAAGTAACTTTACAATGTTGATATAAACGATGATGTAGACAGTTCTTGAACGGAACTTCTAAGGCCCACATATACACGAGTACACGGCCGTAGTTCAGTAGAAGAGAAGAGCAACGACAATATACGCTTAGACCGTAGGTTCGAGTCCCTAACTATAACACATTTTTAAATTGATGCGAGTGAACCTTACAGAAAACCTTTGCTATCCGCATGGTTTATACAGGCGAACACTGCTTGACGAAGGATGGAATTATAAAACAATTTCAACAATGTATACATGATGTTAACTCTGGTTACTGTGAAATAAATGTTCATGGACTGCTACTGGTCTACGATAGTTATTTTGTTCATATTGTTGAGGTTTGTCTACTTTGTTTAGTCTGTATGTAGTATAAAAATATATATTATATGTAAATAAATGTAAAAAAAACCTGCCAAAGGCGGGAAAGATTTTGCCAGTTAATTTCGTGAAGGCATTATTTTTTTCCATATAAACTGTTTATTTATTGCATTGTATTAATACACTAGGGATCTGAAGATACAGTACACAGACATTTACGGTTTCTATTCAACCGTGAAGTACAGTGGATAGACTGGATGAAGAAACTTGACGAGGAAGCTACTGAAGACGACGAAATGGAAGGAACTAAACTATTAGAAGAACCAACTGAAGTTGTCGAAAGAAAAATGTTTAAACGCCTCAAACTGTTGATAGTGTATCATTCAATTACAATTGTGAGTAAAGATCGAATAACGATGAATTTTCAATCAGCAAGGTGCCCAAAAGCCATGTTTTTATCAGATATTAATATTAAAACAATCGAATTTTCATCTTTTCTCCATAGCATTGAATACATATAACAGTTAGTTGTAATTTTTGTTGAAATCAATGTCCTAATGATAGAAATAACGAAATATTACCATAAATGATAATAAATTATGGGCGCCATGAAAATTCACATACTGCTTCTACATTTAACAATAAATTTTGGATTTGTTACTTTGTATGATTAGCGTCTCTTCGACGGTTGGCGAGCTGTGACCGCGCGGCCGCCATCTTTGGTTGGAAAGTTAGACGTTTATGGCCCTCTAGCGGAGCACATAGAACAATTGCGGATTTGCCTCGATAAGATCAACAAGTTCTGCACACTTGCTCATGATGATGAAGAGGTGAGTGTAAGACTGGGAAGTAAGTAAATGGGGTGTGAAGGGAAGCCCTTTGTCTATATATCTTATTTCAAATATTTTAAAGTTTAGATGCCTTGTCGTAAATTCACAGAAAAGTGCAAATCACATGTTACTTTTTCAAAAGTAAATCCACTCTTCTTGCGATACATTAATAGGTGCAAACAAACATATAGAAATATTTAATAAGCTTTTATAATAATATACAATACATAATATGTATATATAAGATTTTGTCTTTCAGCTATCATTTATGGGTTTAAGCGCTAATGACCCAAAAATGGAAACGCTCCCCGAAGTAGCTCTATTGGACTTTCTGCTCCAATCACAACATATTCTGGACCTCCGTCAAATAGTGCATTTGCATCGGCGCGTCGATGATTATGCTTTTTATTTCGGTAATTATTATTATGTTGAAGGATTACGGTGCTATTGTCTTTCTTTTGTCTGATAAATAGTGAAATATGACTAACATATTATGTCTGTCAAAAAATGTCCGGCCACCCGAGATGTACATGTTTTTCTAGCTGATATTTTCGATCTGTTTATTTCTTATTCATTATCAGTTCTCTTGGCCGTATGGCGTCTGGAGTTGGATTGGAATTCTACCTTCCTGCCTTCATAACTAACCCGAATTTATTAAGCTTAACATTTAACAACGTTATGTGGTTTTATTTCTCATCAGAAAAAGTGTGGCCGTTACCAACGCATTTTACGCCGAGACTCCTCTACAAGTTAAAAGTTGATGACTCCTTCGTCGAACCGTTACCTGTTATGCCCTGGGAGCTCGTGAAGAAGGAAGTAGCTGAAGACGAAGAGAGGGAGGAACAAAGCGGCAGTTCTTCTAGTGATTAAGATTTATTGCATCGAATCTTATTGAAGCTATAATTAGTTAAGGTAGGAGAATTTTCCTGTTCTCCTATGTCAAATCATTGTTTGTACATAAACAAATATAAGTCAATATTATTCTCACTTTTGCTGCGTAGTGAAATATTAAAAATAACAAGCCTTTTTTGATGTGCATGTTTACGTTAATAATAAGTAGGGCATTGCAATAAACTTTGTTTTTGAATCAGAAGTGTTTTGTTTTTTATCCACACTACCATATTCAATGATATTTTTGTGTACAAATCTCAATCCATAAACCGAATTTGTGTTATCGATAGTAGTATAGTAAGTTTCCATAGAGATATTGAACTAATAAGGACGTCTATATTGAGAGTTCCAGAGTTAGTTATAACAGTACCCCAACGTTCAACATGGACAAGAAAAAAGTAAAGGGATATAGCAGAACAGTCACAGGTGTTAAACTTCCACCCATAGAAGCAACTGAGAAAGCAGGTGAAGTAAAAACTATTTTAGATACAGATCCACACTTTTATTCATTAATAGACGGGAGACCGATAAGACCAAATAAGTCGATACTAAAATACAAACAGGACATCAAAAACATAGCACTGAAGCGAACGGTCCACGGTTTTTTAGTAGATGAAATATTACGAATCAACAGGGAAATAGAATTGGAGAGAAAGAAATACGAAACGGCCACTAAACACTTCGACGAATACCAATATAGTTTCGATAAATTCTTGGCTCACGACAACAACAAAACGATAGCTGTAATGAAAAAATCGGATAATCTTTCCAAAGATTTGTCCAGACAGATAGAAGAACACAAAAAAGCTAACTATGAATACGCGTCCCTCAAATCTAAACTACAGTATATAGACGAAACGCTACAAATATTGCTTTCATTCCAAAATTTCCTATACAACGCTGCTCCTATAATGTGGCGGGAGACTGTGGCTAAACCGACAGTAAAGTCTGAGATTTTCTCATCTGAATCTAATATATTTTGTAAACTGGATATAGATGCCCTTACTGAGAGACTAAACGTATTACCTCCACCGTGTCTTTATTTTAAAACGCCCGATCAATTAGTGGACGTTTTCGGTGCACTGGAAAAGCAAAATTTAAATTATTTGCTTGTAACTGAAGAGTTGAATGCAGAGAAACAACAATTTTTAAAATCAGTTCAACGTTTAAAATCTGTGATAGATAGTGAATTGAATTATATTCAGCAAAAGGTCAGTTAACAGTTTGTTACTACGCTTATACATCTTAGCGAATAAGTAGATTTTGTATAAAACAGAAGTATAGTAGAACAGTGTAGTACGCGAGTATACACATTAAAATACCACATTTTAACCGCCTAAAACTATAATATATTAGTGATTTTATGAATATTATTTTTAGTCAGTCCCCATGTGACCACGGCTACTGGAAATCATCTGAAACGTCGGACCGTAGTTAAAAAAGTTAACGAATTTATTCTTTGGTTAAAACCGTTGAATATGTTTTATTTAAGGAATAAAGAAATGGTATTATCACCATGTATGTATGGGACATACTGATTAGACTTCTATGCCCTGCCGCACCGAATTTATGATTCCTAAGATCGAACTCGGGAACTTTGGCTATTAAGGACATATTTTTTTTCAGATTTCAGAAACCGAAGACACTATTCAATGTAATAAATCAAGAGAAGCTGAATTAAAATGTTCCTTTTTCAAAATATTGAATGAAAACATCCGCTATTTAATATCATCGGAAACAGCTCTTCAGATATTAAATTACGTTGAATTCACTTTTGAACAAACCATCGCACAAAACGATACTAACCTCAGTCCTTTGGAGATGATGTCGTGCCTTGAAAGAGAATTTGATAACATAATGCTGGACTTAACAGCGTTCGACTTGGATGAAATCAAACGCATTGAAAAGGAAATATACAGCGGCGGGGTAATAGAAATTAAGAAGGCGAAAGTAGCGAACAAACTACTTAAAAATGTGGACAAACTAAGTAGAAGAATGAAATCCGCTTATGAGCCAACAAAGAAGCCTATTTTGTTTTAAAAATATGATTAAAAGAATACTAATAACAAAAAACTGTTTTTTTGCTGTAATTCCGTTAAGAATATGTTTGCCTTCACGTTACACTCAAATGTGTAATTAAAAGTGAAAATGTTGACTGTTACAATACCATGTAGAGAAAAAAGTTTCAAGTATCTTCTGTATTGTCATCTGCCAATTGTTTTCATTGTCAATCAAACTAGGAAACGCTTTTGAAAATCATTTATCTGAAATATAGTTATTAATTGTATGTTATTTTATAAATCTATTCGATTTTAATATGTCTTGCTTGAAGGAAGAACGGGCGCCTATACGACCTATAAAAACATTGGATATTATATTTCGACGCCGCTATGTTCCAAATACTCAGCACTACTTTACAAACAGAATTAAGGCTATTAAAAAGGAAGAAGGCAAAATGAAACCGTCCCGTCCCTTCCGAGTCCCGAGATCTGAAAAATTACTTTCCTATATAAAATACAGCGATCGTAATGAAAAGTTAATCACGCGACGAAGACTGTCCCAACCACTACATTTAAAAGATAATTTGAGAATCGCAGCTACGAGAGATATCTCCGAACGACTATATCAAGAGGCACCACCGGACGATATTGAAACAGTCTTGAAAATTCACCCAGAGTTTTATACAGTCATCGAAGGTCGACCTTTACGTGCTTTTGACGATATAAAAGTATACGTCAGCAACATTCGTAACTATGCAATGAATCGCCAGCAAATTGGCTACAGAAGGGATTTAATTCTAAAAATAGATCAAAGCTTATCAGAAGAAACGGAACAATATGACAAAATTGTCTTAAAATTAAAACAGCATATAAAAAACTTTCAAAAGTTTTTAACCGAAGATTACAAACAAGCATGCAGTAAGGTAGCTAAAACTGAAATGGTTTATGGTGAGTTGGCAGCGAAGAATTCGGAGTTCCTGGGATACGTTTCGAAAATCACTCTATTAAACAATATTTTGTTTAAGTATGACGCTATTAGGAGTGTTTTAAAAACATACAGAAGTTATTTAATCTTTGTTGCACCTCTTTCTTGGAGACAAAAATATGACGAGACTTTAAGAGATAGAATTCAATCAATACAATTTGAAGAGGGTGAATTCGCCACAGACAACGATTTGGTTGAAACAATGGACATAGATAAAATGATCGAAGTTGCTAAGCAGGAATTACAGAACCCTCTTCCAGCTAGCATGTACTTCAAACGCCCTGAGCAAATGATGTATTTGTTCAGAATAATGGAATTGCAAAGTAGGGAATATTTAATACAACTTTCGAAAACTGATGCGCCTTTTAGAATCCTACAGGACCGTATAAAACAATTGAAACTAGTAACAAAACAGGAATTAGATCATTTTCAATATTACATAAATTTCATAAATAACGAGATAGCCCGAGAAAACTTTAATGAGAATTATTTAAGAGACAAGTTTTTCCGGATTCTGAGTACGACATTCTATGACAGTGTCGCTAGTCCGAGTACACTGAAATTGCGCATATGCATCGAGTATGTATATGAACAAATTTATGGAAAATGTGAAGAGGGGCATCAGAGTATACAAGATCCAATGAAAATTCTAGAAGTTATGTACGAAGACTATAATTTACGCCTCGACTCTCTCGACTTTAAGATAGTCAATCAAGCTCGTAGTGACTTCTTTGCTCAGGATCTTAAGACAATGACAAACGCATACAAAGCGCAACGAGAGTTACGAGCATTTAGGGAAATGACAAACGCTATGAACAAAGCCTTTTTACCACCGGCAAAATACACTAGGCCGGTATTCAAAAAGTTTTTGGACAGAAAAAGTAGAATGGCATTAGCGATCCAGGAAAAAAGAAAGTCTCAACTCATGAGCGGAGAGCGACCTAAACCTAAGAAGTATAAAATAACCCCTGAAGAAAAAGAAGGATTACTTTTCTTCACTAATTGGTGTGAAGGCACTAATCCTGCTCCGTATCTAGAAGAGTACTATAAATATGTGAAAACTGCCTTTGAATGGGTCCCTCGTAAATCAGTAATGCCTTAATTATGAAAACCTCCTTGTAAGCTTTTTTTTAACGAGATTACATTATAAAATCAAGTTGGCTGTCGTAACACAATATAAAATATTTCGTTATACTTAGCTGTTGTTTATATTTCATACATACATAAATAATGAAGGCAAAACATCGTCCCTCAGTCGTAATAGAAGTAAAGAAGCCCATTCAACGTAAACTAGATTTTTTACAACCTTTGCCACGTGTAACGAGTAAATCAATGAAAAGGAATGAAAATTGTGAGATTGGCAATGAACACTTAACTTTACCGCAAGAAGAAATATTGCCTGTACACAAATTAAAAAGGACTCATATATTACTTCCATTTAAATCTTTCATGAAAAAACAAGATAGTATTTTATTTAGTAAACGCTTATCGATCAGTATATACGACAAACATAAGATTAACCGACCTAATATTAAAAAGTATTTAAAAGGCACAGAGCCAACGTCCACAGTTCATACAATAACTGATATAGACAATTATTTCTTTGATTCTATTAATGAGCGACCAAAATTTCGATACAATCCAGTGTTTAAATCTTTAAAGCTCATAATGAATGATTTATTGAGATGTCGCCAAGAAATTGGATACAAGAAGGATTTTGTTTTAAATATAGATGTTAATACAAAGAATGAAAACCTTGTATACGATTTAACTACGAAGCGACTGACAAAACAGGCAAACTATTTCGATTCTTATATTTCCGAGGATTACCGTCATTCTATGGCCTTGTTGTCGAAGTGGGAACGATTAGATCAAAATGTGGAAGTCGTGGTAAAGGAATTACAAAACTTAGCGAATGACATGTTCACTACGATGTCGCGACTTGTGAGTTTAGATTATAAATACAGTCAGCAACAGAAGTATGGTCGATTTTTGTACTATCTATCCCCGCCCACATGGCGCTTACACAACAGGGAATTTGCCAGATCTGTGGAAATAGAAGCAAAGGGGTTCGATTATGGGGATTCTCAGGACGACGACACATTCACTGTAGTATTTGACAAATTACGCAACATATGTTTTGGAAAACCTGTTAATCCTGTTCTATATTTTACTCGTCCCGAAGATCTTATCGAAGTTTTTGATGCAATGGAAAGTCAGCAGTTGCATTACTTGACTCACGTGACACATTTAACACCATATATAAAAAATTTAAAAGTAGGTTTCCAAAATCTTAAAGACATAATTACCATGGAAAGTACGTCAGTTTTGAATTCAATCAAATTGTTTGAAAGTCATTTAGATTTTTATGAAGCCAGATGTACCCACTTAAAAAATAAATTCTATAATATACTGCACGGCATGTTTTACGATTCAGTCGGGACTATAGACGTTTTAAAACTGAAGCTACATCTCGAATTTTGCTTTGAAAAAGTTCTTCTACAGAAGCCAACGAATATGGATATAGTTTGTATTGCAAAGCACATTGAAAAATTTTACATGGACTATTCGTATCGGTTAGATAACATTCACAGTGAAACTGTGCGTCGAGCTATCTCAAAATACCAAGAAAAAGAAAAACAAAGATTATTAAGAGGTAAAAAAGCAACTAAGGAATTGCGTCTTTTTAATCGATTAGAAAAACAATTGCTTAATGTTTATGGATTAGCAGACACAGACGTTAGGAAAAAATCTGACAATCTGCTTAATAAAAGTAAAACTACTAAGACTCGTCCACAATATAACTCAACTGACATCACCAAACCTGAATCGTTGACAGATGACGAAATAGAATATTTAAAGCTATTCACAGATTAGACAGAAAATGAAGATCCAGCGAAGTATCTTCAGCGCCTTAGCCCATAATTTAATTTACCTAAATATTTGAATTAATTAAAAAGAAAATCTTTACTTGTGTGGCTCCTTATGTAAAATTTATTAAAAATAGTGCCAGTATCATGAGAAAAAATATGTTTAATAAAAACAGACTTTATTAAGGGAATCAATATAAGACAGAACATTTACATTAATTTATGAACAATACAATAATAATGCAGTAATAAAACAATTTTTTAACAAAATATAATAATATGATCTACACATACAAATGTTTGGTTTCTTGGTATTGACGACTACATTACGGAATTTACATATTTACAAGGAGCTTAAGATAAATTGTGGTAGAAGCATTATTTGATACAGATATTCTAAATATTAAAGTTCCTAGAGTATTAAATAAATAGTTAAACTAAGATATAATAATTATAACCAGACAACTGAAAATAAGTTTAAACGTTTAGAAAATTAAAACACGCGCTCAAAACTATATATACAATTTATATACAACATTTTTTAGAGGAAACATTAAAAGCCTCTTTAAAATTACAAGTGCAATATTAAACAAATCTTACAGTTAGTTATATTTGGATCGAAGCTATAATGTAAGTGAGAGTTCAGGTGTCTTAGCTAAGGTAACAATAACTATAACGAAATAACAAAATGTATGTTTTGACATTCTTTAGCGATGATATTGCTTGTTTTTCTTTTCAGACATTGTTAACTTAGCCACAGTCCTAGATATAGTTTATGAGAAGGTACTATTTTATTATTGACTAATGTAAATTAATGTTTTATCCAAATATTTAGTTGGGCAACCATTTGTATCATATCATCACTATTAATTTATACTTGAACTTGATTGATTTCCAATGACTTTAGATAATACCGTATTACATAATGACGTGTAACGCATTCTTACAGATTAAATTTATCTTTTACAATTTATTTTGTATCATATGAAATGTTTATCTCTAGCCCGTTATTATAAATGGTCCCACACAATTCTGTGAGCCAACTGAACTTTGCGTATTAATCACTTAATTCTATTCTTATTAAATTTTTGGGGATATAATCAGTCCTATAATCATGACACACTTTACACTGACAAATCAACCTTATTTTTAACTCACGAACTGCTCCATTCTATCTAGCTATTTTCAAAAGAAAATGACTAGTTTCTAAATTTATTTATCAAAATATTCGTTTCCTTCAAAATGTTCAATATAACTTGAGCAACATCATGATGGAATATTATCATAAGACATCACATCTATCGTAAAAACAATATTTGGTGTTTCTACCGTGGACATGGTTAGCAGTATTCATACCTTTGAAGTATGTAATGCTTCATCGTTCTAGGTATTGATAAACGTTAACCATATAGCTTTTGTTGTATACGAGTTGTTTATCTGACCCGTTTCTTTTGCAATTTCGCAAGTTTTCTCCTTTTGAGTATCATTTCGTACAACGCGTCCAAACCTTCGTGAAGACCTTCCCCAGTGATGGCACACGCCGGTTGGACGTGCCACGAGTGGGCATCTCTCGAACCGTGCGGAGAGGACACTAACTCGTGGAGTCCTAATAGTTTCTCCAATTCCCTGGGTTCCTTGGCTCCAGGCAAATCCTGCTTGTTGGCGAGTACCAGTATCGGTACGCCTGTGTTATCCGGCGACTTCGCCGTTCTTATCAGCTCCATTTTAGCTTCCTCCATTCGTTCTACATCGACTGAATCGAGCACAAATATTATTCCGTCCGTGCATCTCGTGTAAGATTTCCACAGCGGCCGCAGTTTTTCTTGACCACCAACGTCCCACACAAGAAAGTTGACACCTTTTGACTTTCCTATAGTGCCTTTAACTTTCTCGCAGTTGAAACCGATCGTGGGTACGGTGTTTAGGTATTGGTCGAACTTAAGTCTGTATAGTGCTGTGGTTTTCCCGGCAGAGTCCAGGCCGAGCATGACGACGTGAAGAGTGCCTTGCGTAGATGGCAGCGCATCGAGCAGGCTCGAATTTTTGCCCATGTTTGCACCCATGCTGCAGCGCGATGGGTCGCCTATCTGACGCTCTCATCTGTTCGCAGCATTATGGACTCCTACCTGAAACGATTAGGAGGCGCAATTAGATATTTTCAAAATTAAAAATTATCTCAAAAGCAGTTCAAAATTAACACTTAATATATATTTTTATTTTATTGTTAATTATCTATCGTTTTTGATTTAACTTATTTTCCTTAACTATTAGGTAATTAATAAATGCTTATTTCAACAGTTTGAATATATTTCAGTAATTTGAATTAAAAATGCACTGAATTAATTATACGACACTAAGCATCAGCTATTGCTTTTAGCTGGCATTAATTTCAGAGTGCAACATTCCAGTACTCGATTTTAATATACATAGCGATACTTAAGCCACTTTAATAAGGAGTTCAGCGAACAGAGCAGCCAGACAACCTATATTAGAATTCAATAACGGTGCACTACGATGATAGAGGGCGGGGCGGGGAGGAGTATGTGCGGACGAGACAAAATGTCGCCGCCGTGCCCTTATACAAGTCATGCACCTTTCACATAGTGGTTAGATTAAGACGATATTAAACTAGTCTCTGTTTACGTTACTTACGTAATTTAGATAAAATGGCAATGTTGTAAGCTTAAAAAGTTTGTTGTTGTTTGATTTCAATCATACTTTTATTTTAGGAGTTTGTTTATTTTTATCTAATATATAAAATTCTCGTGTCACAGTTTTCGTTGCCATACTCCTCCGAAACGGCTTGACCGATTTTATTAAATTATTTTTTGCCAATCCGGTACCTATGAGAATCGGCCAACATCTATTTTTCATACCCCTAAATGTGGGTAGTCCACCCCTAAACTTTTTATTTTATTTTTTAGACAAAATTTTTAATTTCTATTTTTGTATGTTACAACATACAAAAATACATACAATCCTCAATTTTCACCCTTCTACGATCAACCCTTATTTTTTAATAGCAATTTTAGTAAATTAATCATTTTCCCTCACCGGTCGAAAACTTATCAATCTAAATTATTTATATGGCAAAACAATGTTTGCCGGGTCAGCTAGTAATGTATGTATATCTTTAATAGATACCATACGTACATTTTTAACGTCTTTGTTCATGAAATAAATAATATTAAAGTAAAACTGGCTATTACATTACGGATTTAAAACCGTTATAAGAAGTTTTAATTTTGTGTCGGACTTGTTGATATTTAAAACGAATTCTACAACTATTTGAAGACGCATCTCGTGTTGGGGTTCGACGACTTTTGCACGGTTTTTGCGTTCAGAGCCGCACGTAAGTCGTGCTTTTATTTTGGATTTGGCTGGTCGACGACCTCGATGCAATGTACCAGACGTGTGTCCCAGAATTATTATTGCAGTAATGTAGTGTTAAATGATCACATATTAAGATGATACCAGTGTGAGAGATGAACGAGTACCAAAAAAGAATTTATGTTTTGGCGCGATTGGTTTTTTTTTAAACTCTTAAATACATTTTAATGACCAACTTAGTACAGCTGCACTTCAGTTTTTATTTAGCTTACCCATCCCCAACGTTTATTAGAGTTGTGTTCATATCTATTCAAATTAATTTCTATTAAGCGTATATACTCTATTCTAGAGAACAGATAAAAGATACAGTATAGATACAACCAATGTGACGTTGCACAGATAAAGCACTATTTTGATTATTAAAATGTCAGTAATTAAGCTTGTCCTACTAACATCAAAGAATTTTTTAATACGTTCGATGAAAGTGTAAGCAAGTCGTAAACAGGTGCGGAATCAGGTTAATCTTTGACAGTGCGGTTTCCTCTATTTAAATTCGAGGTCATAACGAGCTAGCGGATCCTCGATCGGTCAGCTGAGGGGCTATTCTCAAGTAACCGACACGAGCGCCGATATACGTCGTACAGTATTTACAGTATTAGCTTTGTATGAAACGATTGAGAAAAGACGGCGCGAATGTTATATCAGCTCTTTGGGAATGCCAACCGTGATTCTTGATAAACTTGTGTTGCAACTTTGTTTTTATTCATCGATAGTTTTTTCACAGTCACTGTAGACATAAGATCGCAATCTGTTTGCATAGAATATCTAATAAATTAAATATATACTTTTACTTTCTCTGTAAAAAATGCGTCCCTAATCTAGTAGTTAGTTGCGAATGCACTGAAGAAAAGACAGAAAGAAAACATTAAGTTAACTAAGTAAGATTGACGGTTGGAAGTGGGAGGTGTGATGACCCTCGTGTCTTTGAGAGCATATTATGTGTAATGATAGGAATGTATGGCTAATAATCAGTGGGTCGTGGGTCCGATACCTACGGGGTCTAAAGCCAAATTAGGTCGAGAGCGTATCCTGTTAAACGACGGTATTTCATTTAAATAAAACACTTTAACGGTTTAAAACGCGATATATTAGTCTCCCCGTGACCACGGCTGCTGCAAAGCATCCGAAACGTCGGGCCGAAGTTAAAAATAATCTTCAAATAAGTTTAACTAATATATCGCGTTTTAAACCGTTAAAGTGTTTTATTTAAATGTGTACTACTCGCGTAAACTATAGACAGTATCCGACGGTATTTCACCTACCATCAAGTAAACTCGATCTCGTCTGTCTTTCCCTCTTTCATAAAATAATGTAATATGTACACATTTCCGTGTTAAGTACCATCCGGTGTGAGGTTCGCGAAGGTCATGGAGTCAGGTGAAAGCCTCAAAATCTGGCTGCCACTTTCTCTATTTGCCCTTAGGCGCACCCAAACTAGTTCCAGAGTAACAAATCGTTTACGTAAGCCAGAAACATCAATTAGCTATTAATCTTATTGGGATTGAGTATTTGTAGTTATTTAAGATATGTCTTCGGAATGCGTACATTACCGCATAGTTTAGACGCGATTGTGTTTACTGGTTCAGTACATATGGAAGATAAAACAAGTAGCTACACTTAGAAGATAAAATATTTTTTTAATGAAAGAAGAAGAATGATAGGTGAAATACAGACACACAAGAAACACCACAGACCAAAAAAGAAACACCATTAAACACGACGGCTTTTTCAATCTAATTTACATACATATTTTCACACAAAGCATTTTTCGGAAATATTATAAATTGATCCCACGACCCATTGATTATTAGCCATTGCTACCATTACACCAACGAGCAAGTCAAGGTGACTGTAGAATTAAGAAAATGGAACAGACATAATATATTGTTTCGCTTAACACCGCAGAATCGTCCGTAACCTGGCCGACTCACCGACACAAAATAACGTTCTACCGATTTTTTTCACACATTCAATGAATAATGAATCCTTCTTCATTGAATCTTTATTCAAAACATATATTTGCATTATTCAATTATTAATATCTATGCCCGGAATGGTGAATACATAGCATAGACGTATATACCTAAGCATTAGATTTAATCTGATTTTAATTATCTGTGGTCGTTTAAGTGTCTAAACAAGTCCTTTGAAACCTCCTTATACGCCGATGACCTGTAATTGATACGGCAAACACTAACCTACTGAGATGGTTTATACAGTTTTATCCGCTACACTGACTAACCTCATCTAGATTGATCAATACATTTTGCGTATACATTTTAACCGACTTTAAAAAAACATACTTAATTTTTAATGGTTCATGAAATTACTGCAAATCGCGGGCTTATTTAACGGCCTTCTGTCTAGTTTATATGTTAATCACAATAGTTTCGGATTCAAATCGTTAAAAGTAATTTATTAATTAAGTGACATACACACAGTGAATCCTTCGAACTAGGAAGGCGGAGACTTATAAAATTATATAGTATATCTATATTTTTACTCATGCATTATTAATGATCGGATTTAGCTTAGATGTTTGTGAAAACTAGCAATTAACTCGACCTAAGGAGGATAAATCATCAATTAATATTCTTATAATTTAATGAAATGTCATAAACATTCAACTCTTCTATAGCGCTTTCTCTGTTAGCTTTCTACGAAACTATTTTCGGTTTGGTTTGTTGGTTTGTCACGAATGACGATGCAGAATGACTTAAATTACATAAAGATTTCTATAGCCAAAGTTCTCTAAAGTTGATTTGTAAGTAGAAGTATTGGCTTAATAAATAACTGTCGTATTTATCGCGACAAGGCTGTGATTTCTTTAAAAATAATTAATGCTAATAACTAGTTTTAATTGTATTTTTAAAAATTAATTCAAGTAACACAAACCATTTGTGGTTTAACTTACTTCAAATATAACACTTTTAACAGTTTAAAACGTAAAGTACATTCTACTGATTTCGTATTTTTAAATTACGAGGGTTGTATTTAATTTGAATTATTTCCCACACAGGCTTCACTTACAGAATTCGGTAACGCAAATTCAGTAGTAATATATTCGTATTAGTTTCCGTTTCTTGAGATTGACTAATTTAAAACATTCTCTGTAATTACTAGAGCCGGAAAATTCAAAGTTTTACGTAATTTTATTTTAGCTTACGGACTAGGGAAGGGCCAACCTTCGGTTATTTTCTCGATTGACTGCTATGCTGAGTTCAAACTTCGGTTCAAGAAAAATCTTAAATATCCATTTAACAATTTGTGTCAGGTTAATAATTTTGTTATGTTTAACCTGTATAATTATTTTAATGCAATTTAAAAGTTCTAATATATAGTTAAAAGAAAAAAAAATATTTTGCATAGTAACTGAATAGTAGAACTGCCCACACCACACCAGTGCACCACACACCAAAGTGTGTAATCGTACCAGAGAAATACAAATTTATTGCAATGTTGTGCATTTAAAACACTACTTTTCTTATAATTATATATATTTAAGGTAATCTAACATAAACCGAAAATCAGAGATAACGCGAAAGAGAGAAATTCGGTTTCGGATCAAACTACATTCAGCCCATCTCTAATATAGATGTAAACAACTCCTAATTATTTTTACCTCTGTAAGTTGATCGCTACGTAATTACGAGGCTTTTCGCTCTGTAACCTTTGCATTAATTATGTGAAAGAATGTGGAGTGGTACATGTAACCATACTTTTATAAAGCTGGGTAACATACCAGGGTTGAAGATTATTTTGAAATAAAAGTATAGTATTTTATCATTGTTTAGCAAATAGTGTTTTTTTTTCATGTTAGAAAAAAAACACTATTTTGAATAAGAATAAAATGGATGCAGCTTTTTGAATTTGGAATAGTCAAAAAGAAGCACAGTTAACTATTCAACTAGAGGTCGTGGGTTGGAGGGTCGAGTCTAGCCCGTCTAACAATTTTATTAACCTAAGTTAATGTTTAACTTATTAAGTTATGCAGTTCATATTTCCCTATTAAAAATGTACCATTTTTTTTTCATTCATTACGTGAAATTGTAGTAATTTAGATTTTTGGTTTTCAAAGTTTCCGCATATTTTTTTGATTTGATTTTTTTTTCTCTATTTCTTTATCACCAAAAACACAAACATAATTTACGCTTACATCGGACTCCCGTATATCTTTAAAAGGGTTTATATGTTACAATCGGCTTAACACGGCCATTCATAGTCACAAATATGTAATTTGTAAGCGCTGGTTTACATCAGAGCCCAGCATAACTGGTTGTGTTAATTAAGGAAGGCAAAGCCTAGCATAGACCGCTAGTAAGCTTGACATATTGAATATAATTTTGACGGTTAAAAACACGCTGAAATTCCGTTCGAGATTTCTGATTCTTTTCATACATGTGACAGGGAGTAACAAATGAAAAGAAATGTTTTCTTCGTAACAAAAATACTTTTAAGTAGTAACAAGCCTTGAAAGTAATTTGGAAATACGTTTTATCCACGTGTACGACCTTCGCTAAGATTACGTCAATATTTTTTGCTTAGTTATTAAATAAGTCCATACTTACGTTGTTCAGAAGAGGGTAAGACAATTTCCGAGTATAAAATGAACGTCTTGAATCTGAAACAATATAATACAATATATTATTATATTGTATGTATTAGTATGTACTGTTGAGAGTACAAATTAAGAAAACAGTTTAAATCACGTTGTAAATCTATGTGAGGCATAATACAATAAGGTATGTGCAATTCTTTTTATATCTATAAATTGTATAATCACAAGTTGCCGGACATAAACTACGAGACACGATCATTTTGATTTTTGCACAGGACGTGAACTTATTACTTCAAGATTTTAATAATACAATAATACAACTGAGCTACGGAAGAGTACGTGTAAAACAGTGCATTAGAAACAACTCGTGTTGATAATAGCGGACGACAATATCCGTGTTTCCCCCTCTCATTATGGAAGATGAGGATTTCCACCTTCCTACTTCCCATGGCTGTTGCGGACGCAAATGTTACGCATTGTGTAAACCATAGTGTTATAGTTGTAAGCACATAGTTTTTATTGGTCAATTAAGTATACCTACATTGAAAATCTATGCCCATATCGGTCTTTATCGCAAATAATAAATGATCGGTAATTTTAAAGTACCCGATTGTATGACAATCTAAAATCGATTTTTATTTATGTAAAGCTATCGTGTGCTTGTAAAAATAATAAAGTTTAGAGTACGTTTCCCTGGGATACAAACCGGTAATTGTTTGTACCCAACGCAATGCAACTATTGAGTCCTACAGATTGTGTCTGATGAGGTCAAGAAATTCGTTAATACGCAGAAAAAAACATTTTTAGTGTATTAACAGAAAATAAATGTTATTGCATCTAAATGAAAAATCATCGTTTTATCGTCGATCTTACGCAACTATGAATCAGCGAAAGAGGCCCAAAAACAGTTTTCTCCTTAGATAAATATAAAAAAACTCGTGAAATCTTGTATCTCACGGTTATACAAAAAGCTGTGACAAGCACTGTGTGCAAGCTAAATAAAGCGAATTCGTGCAAACGACAGAATTGGTAACGCACAGTGCGAATGAAAAACGAAAACAAAGCAATTACGACTGTTTAATTTCTCTACAGTTTCGTCATACTAAAAAACGTTGAGTTAAAATTATAAAAAGCGACACAGTGGCAAAAAGCAACAATTTTTACTGGGAAACATTAAAACGGCTTTCATGCAGTCACACGAATGAACGCTTCGGAACATAAGTACAAAGATGCATCCCTAGCTTGCGCGCTTTGAGAAAATTTTGTGTACATTTTTTTATGATAGAATAGGATTGACACTTTTGATAATCTACAGACAGAAAAGAAAACTTCGCCTCCTGCGGACAGTATTCGGTGACACGGACTGACCTTCTAGATATTCTTTAGGGTCTAATTTGACTAACATGCTTAGAATATTTGAAAACTGATTTATAACTGGGTGGACGCACTAGCCGTGGATGAATAATTTTTATCACTAATCTATTTTGTACCATAATATGAAACTTCCATTTCCACTTTTATATATTATATTAGGGAGAATATACAGTCCAATGATTTGGGTAAATTTTATAAGTAGCTAACTTTTTAGTTAACACGTTTATCTACACTCTCGAGAGAGATATATCGTAGCGAGCATGCTTGCCCGGTTGGTTACCATTAAATTTTCCATGCACATCTGATTTCACATAAAACATGCATTTGAGATGGCGTCGTTATTAAAACTATATAAAACACGCGTGGAATAGTACTAGCGGGATTTGTTACAGTTTAATTATCGTGAAGTTATTAGGACATAAGGAATGCACGAATATGAATAGCACCAAACTTCTATGGTATGGAGATCGATTCTCGAGCGTGCTATAAAAATAATATATTTCTACATTTAAAATCTTCCAGGAGGTTCCAGTCCCAGTAGTGGGTTATATTAAAGTTCTAATGTTGAAGTTTCAAATTGTTGAACATACTTTACAAGTATAAATAACCAATTTAAATTCATAAGAAGCAATCTTATTCATGAATTCAATAAGTCGTAGTTCTATTTACTTTCGTTAGTGATTTCATATTATGTTAGTTGTTATATTGTATTAGCAGTAGCAGTAACATTAAATATCGTTTCGTATATTTTTAAACAATAAAAAAAATATATACCTGGTTTAAGACAACTTGTATTGGCCTATTAATATCTGAGTGCTAGGTACCTTCTCTGATATAAGAGAAGCAGCTTAAACCCACCACGCTACTCCATTGCGGGTTGGCGGACTTTTCAATACTATAAATAAAAATGGATATTTACTTTAATATTATGTAATTGTATGATATGTAGGATGTCTCGTGCTAATATCGTCTTTGTTTTGCTTTTTTGTCGATTTCAATAAACGATGTAATTCGACATAAACAATAATATTTTAATAAAAAACTTTATGGAACTAGTAAATTGTACAGAACCCTTCATTTGAGACTTGGTCGGTTTTTATGTAGCAACGTCCGATGTGCGATACTCTCATGTTCGTGCGTCGTTTGATGAGATCTTTTTTTAGAGGCCGTCGAAATATGTAATGTCCTCATTTATCACTGTAACAGCATTTCTTCATTGTACTTCGTCTATTATAGCGTGTGACGCAGTTAGCACTTCAACCATCAATAAACCTATGTTGCAATCGGGTTTGGCAACTGGATGTTGATGTTGTAATAATGTATAACCAAGTCGTATTTATAGATCTGAATATCTGAATAATAAGAGAAATTATAAGCCGCAATCTTATAATATAACTTTTTAGTTTTAATAATCGTTTTATCTTGGGCGTCACAAATTGTTGTGATGTCACTATCCCAGCTGTATTGAGTAACTATGTCGTCGTAAGATTGTAAATACTGTAGTGAAGTATCTCGCAAGTTTACTATTGGCAGCTTAAATATTGTCTATAGTCTACAGGAATACGCATTAAAAAAAAACACCTTTGACGGTTTAAAGCGCGAAATATTAGTATCGAAATATTTTTCGCATTATATACCTTTAAAAAGATTTATCGAAATGTCGATATACGTATAGATAACCGTACTACTATAATTTAAACATTGATTTTTATAGAATGCAATAGGTATCTTAAAGAAAATCTATTACATCTTAATATAATATTCAGACCCTACTTAAGAAATTAACAACAAAGACAAGCGGAAGCATTTTTTATTTGATTTAAAAAGGCACAAACGAAATAACTTATTTTGTTCCTATTGATTGCTATCTTGAATTAAGTGTAATCACCGTTTATCAATCTATCATCTCTATTATTCACCAGACCTCGTATATAACATTTATATTAATACAGTTGTATGTTAAAGTCACAGAAAAAAGCATTGTTTCGCAGCCGAATAACTAAAATGAAAACAAACCCAGATTCTGTAGACACTTTTCAAACTTTCTAGGTTGAATGGACGTCTGAAAAAAGAGGTCGAAAGATCCTTGTTACGAGCACCGGTGTAACGGTCTCTCTAATTATTTTGGCTTTTAATTAAATTTTTATTCGTAACATTGTTGGAGTCTGACGTGCATTTTATTACACTCAGTGTTTCTTCCTACGTTGTTGCGTAATCCCGCAACTATACACGAAGACTTTTGATAAATGAAACTTGGCTATAAAAAGAGGCGACGAGTTTCTTGCCAATTCTTCTTGTTCGTTCTACGCGCCTAATTGTGAGCAGGATAGTCTAAGTCTAGTCTAAAATGATGAGCAGCGACCTTATTGAATATTTTATTACGAAACTTCGATATTCCTAGTATCCATTTAACATCCATATTTCCAAAAAAAGTCCAAAGGATGGGGTCGAACCCACGACCCGTGGATTATTAGCCGTACATTGCTAGAATCAGACTAACAAGCCCGTATTTTGTTTTTACTTAAATAATGTATTTTATGACAGCTGAATTATAAATATACAGGTGAATAAATAAATGTATATTATCAATTTGATTTTAAATTTATACACTCACACTGTCAAGCCTTCCTATCATCAATAACTCTTAAGGTCTTTCTTGCATTTCTAAATTTAATGATAGGTTTGCATTAGTATGAGGTCTAGTGTTATATATATGTATATCACGCTTAGACGAAAATAAATTGAGACCGGAAAGAGATATTTTAGGTACGTGGATTACGAGCACTTGACCTTAATCAAGAATAGCATAGGGCTTCCTGGTCTGAAAACTCTTTAATATACAGTGTAAACTCCATGTAACGTCACTCTATTTAACGACAAACTCTCTTAAGCGTCGAAATTAATTGGCTTTGGTTGGTTTAGCTTGTTTTTCATACAATGTTTCTTCTCTCCATTTAACGACAACTCTCTATAACGCCATAAAATGCACAGTCCCTTCAGTGTCGCTATATAGAGTTTACACTGTATTTAAGTTTAATCGATATTTTGTATTTTAATTTATAGGAAACAAGTTCAAGCATTTTCATTATGTGGTATAATATACACAAGAAGTACATAAATCGGAAACGTCTCTCATGTAATGAAAATAATAACATTTTTCCTTAAAAAAACATACATTTAAAACACTTTAACGGTTATAAACGCTATATATATTAGTTAAGCTTGTTTGAAAATAATCTTAACTACAGCCCGACGTTTCGGATGCTTTGCAGCAGCCGTGGTCTCGGGAAGACGTATCGCGTTTGAAACCTTTGATTTGTTTTATTTAAATGTGTACTACTCGCGTAAACTACAGAAATTTTTTACATTGTACCTACTGAAAAGTAAAAATAAACATTTTTAGCAGGTAACACGAAATACCTATATTACTTTATGAACTTATTGCCACGATTCGAAGTTTTGCTTGTATTAAAAAAAAATATAATCACAACCGCAAATAATGCGAAAATTGGCTATGTACAATTATTATCGATACAGACGTATGGTCATATTTTTAGTAACGATCGTAAACCTACATATTCTTGCAGCCAGAACAAAGCCCTAAAGCAGAAGCCATTCTAAAAAGGGCTTTTAAATAGCACGCCTAAATATTCATTGCTTTAAGTATGTCGCACTAAATCACCGTTACG